AACAAACTTCAGAAGCCAAACATCTCTTAGCCAACTGACTGTGTTTGGGTAAAGGGGAAAACTGTGTAAATTTAATTTTTCGCTAAACCAGTGGAGAAACTGCTGGGAGAGGCAAGGGAGGCAATTGCACTTGGGCCCATGGTGCAGCGGGGCCCGCAGTGAGTATGCTCCATAGAATCTTTATTTTGGCCCCTCACACAGATGCTGACACAATTATGCACCCATGACTCACACTAAGATCAAATTTCCTAACAACATATTGCACCAGTTAGCATCCATCAACATTACACAGACAGTCCTGACATCCATTTATCTCCCTCATATTCATAATGCATCTCATCCATGATTACCATTTTTAAACATATTTCTTAGAAATGTAAATATAAACCCAATCCCAAAAAAAAAAGATTGGGACAGTATGGGAAAACAGAAAGCAGTGATTAGTAAGTTCTATGTGACTTTATTAAATTGAAAACTGTATAATAAGACAACATTTGATTTTTTTAACTTATGAACCTAATTGTTTTTTTGTAAATAGACACTCATTCCAAAGTTGACCTGCAATACCTTCCAGAAAAGTTGGGACAGGCACATGTTCACCACTGTGTTATATCACCTTGCCTTTTAACAATATCTGATAATCATTTGGGGACTGAAGGCACAAATTGATGCAGTTTTAAAAACTGAATATTTTGTGCAACCGTATGGGTCCTTTATATTTTACATATGTTTTCAGGGGAGATAGGTCTGGATTGCAAATCTAGCACCCACACTCTCCGACCACGCAGCCATGCAGCTACAACATGCAGAATGTGGCTAAGAGTCATCATGTTGAAATGAGCATGGACATCCCTGAAAAAGACGTTGCCTGTAAGGCAGCATATGTAGCTCCAAAATGTGCTAATAGTGTCTTCACAGATGTTAGCAATTACCCCTTACTACCCCTATACCATGACAGACCCTGACTTTTGAACTTGATGCTGGTAACAACCTGAATGGTCTTCCTCTTTGACCCAGAAAACACAATGTTGATTATTTCCATAAACAATCCAAAGGGATAATTTGTTAGACCACAATATACGTTTCCACTGTGCAGTGACAGGCGGTGCTTATTGAGTTTGCTTACTGACAGTTTGTCAAAGTATTCCTGAGCCCAGGCTATGATATTCATCACAGAAGCATATGCCAGATTTTAATGCGGTGCCGTCTGAGAGATTTGTGGTTTTCGGTCTTGCCCTTTACATGCAGAGATTTCTTTGGGTTCCCTAAATCTTTTGATTTTATACTGCACTGTAGAGGGTGAAATACCTAAAGTCCTTGCTTACTAAGGAACATTATTTTTAAACTGTTGGATTTTTTCTGATGCTTTAAGTGGTGAGCCTTGATCCATCCTCGTTCATAAAGTACCAAACTTTTTCATGGATGTTCATACCCGAGTACAATTGCATCACCTGTTTAAAATGTTTTTTGAAAATTAAACAATTGCTATAAATTTCCCCTGTTGTAACTTTTTTTTGTTGCTGACATAAATTGTGTTTACAATACAACAACAACGTTGATAAGGTAAAACATTACATCTTGTCTTTGTACTGTTTTTGTTTAAATACAGGTCAAGGTAAATTTAGAAATCACTGCTTTCTGTTTTTATTTGCATTTTTTTGGTTAGTAGGTTTGTAGGGTTTGTAGGTAGTCTAATGTAAACATGAAGGTTAACATTAGAGAGTGGAGAGGAACACCATTAAAAATAAAGAGTAAACAAACAAATTACTTTGTCATTCTTTATTAACTGAAAGTAGTTTTTGTATCAGGGCCTATTTATTTATTTTTTTTCAGATCCTTGTTACGCCACAGCGTAAGCTCCTGAAGACAGAAGGAGTGGACGTGGCAGACTGTTTTCATTTCTGACTGATGTAATGGCTGTCTAGTTTTCCAACCTGAAAAAAAAATTGGTTTTGATCTCGCGCTTTAATGTTGCCTCCAAGTTTCACATTTGCCAACGTCATTGTTATCCCTTGAAATGGTATCAGTGAAATGGATTAAGCCACTTAGCCACCAAAATAGAACTGGAAAGGTCTGATGACCTGTGTTAGAACATTAGACCTGATTTAATTGGGCAAAACCATTCGATACATTTGCAGGAAGATGGATTTCTAAATTAATTGTTATAATCTGACAGTGGTCAACCGTTCTGGCAGAAGATTAATGGACAATCTTTATTGATCTTTTCCTTTTTATAAGGGTTTTATTTTCAAATAGTCAGTACAAAAACAGAAATAAAGAGGAAACTGAATGATAAATCACCACAGCACTGACAAAGCCTCCTAACACACAGTAATTCCATTCCAGCTTTGGAAGTATAACATGTTTAAAACAGCAAGCCATGCATGCACTGATTAGGTTGCTATGGTCTTTGAGTCTTAAAGGAAAAAAATGACAAAATAAAATATAAATAGCTAGTGGTAATTGTGAAGATGCTAGGATACAAAATTGGATATCACAACAAACATTTTTTTTAAACAAAGAAACAAATTTGAGTACTGTAGTTTTTTCCAAGTAACATAAATCCTGGAGTAATTTAAGCATAATGACAAAAAACATATATACTGATGCTGCATTATTAGATTTCACTATAAGTCTGGAATGATTTTATCCCATCCTGCTATGGATTTTTTTCATGGTTTCCAGCTGAGCCTCCGTAATTGTTCTCCTGATACACAGTGTTTATTTGCAAAGTCTTTTCATTATCATCTTTTATGTGAGGGAGGACATTGCTGTTTAGATTATTATCCTCTTGGATTTGTATAGAAAATAAGCACATGCGACAATGGAAAATGTGTTACCTAACAAGCACGCACACATCTCCTTCAAGCTCAAGACTAATGCTATGATTGTTCACATCAAGTTTGCAGAATGTACGTGCTGCTCTTAAAGATACAACATGAATTATAACCTTAGTGAAAGAATTGTGCATGAACAACATTTCACGAACGTAAACATTGGAGCTTCTGAGCTTCTGCGGTTCAGTTCAGTGACTGCTGATTCAGACTTCCAAGGCTGTGATTCATTCTTCTCAATTATAAACTGTCTTTCAATTCTAAAGAAAGTTGTGGTTTGCTATATACAATGAGAGTTTGAACTTAAGGCCTAGAAATAATAACTTGCCGTTAGTTGAATTATCACACAGCTTAAAGGTTCTGCATGATTCTGTGATTAAGATGTAAACAAAGTCAAGAATGGTTTAATGTGAAATGCTCCATTTTAGACAAACTTACCAAGTCACAATCACTGTGGTGGTAGGAGCCAGACATCTGAGTCACCGAACGTATTACATGAAATGGTTACACAAATTTTGCCTGATGCCTGAGATATTATTTAAGGAAAGTTTTGAGATAAAGATTTGGCCTAAAGCATATATCGTTTTAAATCCATCAATGGTGGATAGGTACATACAGGGTGTTGTAGGGAATAACAGACCCCAAGGAAAACCTGTTTTTTCAGATGTACTTCTATTTTAATATGATCAACATTACATATAAAGATACATGTAGTTTCACCATATAGGTCGTTTTGGACTGTCAATAAAATTGTTTTGTTTGTGTTGTAGACTTTGCAACCCTTCACTCTTATCACCATTTCACATCAAACCTCTTCATATAGCTTTTACATCTCAATGATTGAATTATGCAGAAATTCAGTGAAATTACCTACTACTTACATTATATTTGTTGTGTAGATAATAGGTAATAGAAGCTATTTGCTTACATTTGAGTGCTGTCATTATTTATTCAAGTGTGCTCTTTGAAATGGATTACATTGAAATTTTACAGATTTGTATTAGCACGTATCAGTTTATTACAATAAATGTGCTACATGGTGTTTCCAACATGGTTAATAAGTTAGGTTATGACCAGATATAATAAATCCACACATTCTTTTATACACATTTGTAACATAAAATTATGCCAGACCTCTTTTATTAGTACTGAAGAACAGCAGTGCTGAGATGGATTCCTTGTTTCTGGAACTTGATCACTGGTGAATGTCTCCACCATCTGGTGGAATATGAGAATATAACTATTAACTATAACTATCACAATAAAAACACAGTGATTATCTGCTCGAATACATTTTTTGTTACAATTTATTTTAAAAGTCTCCAAGAGATTGTCTACAGATGCTCAAATTATTATCTATCTGGTAAAACTTTTTGTACTTCGTTAAGGGTTTGGCTTAGAATTAGGTTTTGAGTAGATGTTAGGTTTAGGTTTTTTTATTTTCCTTGTTAGATGTACTAGAATCTATTACATTCAACTTACAGTTTAGTTAAATGTAACATATTTACTTGCATTTGAGTTAAAAACAAGCTGATCATTTACAAAGCATCTACAGTGGATTCTCAAAATAAAGTGTCACTCATTTTCCCCCCAACATCTTCAATTATCTGTATTTTTATGGCTTAGAACTTTACACAATATTTTGAACTTAGTATATAAATAATTGAGCTTTATAATAAAGTAATATTAAGCTTAATATGTAAAAGTAAAAGAGCAGAGCTGCAAAAGTAGACTATTTTTAATGTGCTTTAATGTGTTTGTGATGTCTATAAATGTGCTTGCCCTGTTAATGTGAAAATATGTGGTTCTCCCTGCCAATCAATTTGAGGAAACTCCCCTTTAAAAGTAAACACCATCCCTCTCATGGCAAGCACCTGCATGACTGAGAGGTGGTAAATTTTAATGAGCCCCAGTGACTTTGCTGTTTAGGACAGAGGAAGGCCCTGATGTGACAGCTCTCTTGCACCCAGGGGCCCTTGCGCTGTCTCCAATGACTTGTCCAGCTGGCAGGTCTCCCTAGCATCACAGGTCAGCCTGGGTGTCCTTCACCCGGACACGCGGCCATCAGTTAAAGTTACAAGTTAGTAAATAAATTAAAGATGCCCTCAAAAGGGAAAAAAACGCGTCAGGGCGACGAAACCGAAGAGGAAGATGTGGACGCAGAGGAGAGGCAATCAAAGTCAAGAGGGAAAGGCAAGAGCGGCGGTATAGATTCTAGAAAGAAGCAGAACGTAAAGGAGGCTGACACAGACAGTGACGTTCCTGATGTGAGGAAAACCAAGAAAAAGGGTGAATCTGACAAAACCAGCAAAAAGAAAAGAAAGAAAGCAAAGAAAGAGGATGAAGTGGAGGACGAGGTGGTGAGCAGCAGCGAGGCTGCAAGTGAGGATGAACACAACAACAATAGACCAAAAGCCAAGCCAAAGACAAAAAGCACTGAGAAGCTTCCTGATGTTGTTCAAGTGATCGAGGTGAGCACAAAGGGCTCAAAGAAGAAATCATCTGTGAAAGGCAACCAAGAAGGTGTGATGGGAGCAAAAGACAAGAAGTCCAAAGACGAAGGCAAGAAGCAGAAGAAGGCTGAAAAAGAGGAGCAAGAAGAAGAAGATGATGATTCTCAAAAGAAAAAGAAAGAGAAGAAGGCCAAGAAAGGGTCCACAGATAGTGACGATGAGGGCAAGAAAGGCAAGGGCAAGAAAAAGAAAACAAAAAACGTTGACTATGTCGAGATCTATGAGAATGAATTAAGGAACTATGAGCCAGAAAAGGTGGAGAACTATGAAGATGAATATCATAAGAAGAAAGGTAACGGATTCCAACTTCTGCTGTTTTTCTTTAGCTCCTTCACTCAACCTTTCATTCACTCTGGAGTAATTTATCCATTCAAATTTCAGGACCATATCATGTATTGACAATTACAGTGTCTTCTCAATGCTTTCTCTTTCTCTCTTTCTGATTCTGATTTAGTTCCTTCAAATAGTTTTTTCACAGTTTTCTTTGTCTTTTAGACATTTTAGAAATATGCTAAAATTCCTTCAGCCTTGCCATTCTGGTACAGATCATAGACTTCTCATGTTATGTATGATGACACAGCGCTTATCCGCTTTCTTCTACAGCCTCTTTTGGCTGTGCTCTGTGAAAGTGATCTGAACCTGCTTAGCATAGCCATATGCCACTTTTCTATGGAATCTGCTCCTAAATTATTCACATGGGCTCTTCCTGGAACATCCTCCATTTGAATCAGCTGATACTTAACACCAAAAAGTCTAAAACTTTCTCTGTCGACACATACTCCCACAGTGTATGAGGTGGTCACCGTCACGGGAGACGTAACTGGGGCGGGCACAGATGCCAATGTCTTTATCGCTCTGTTTGGCGAATATGGCATTACTCCCAAGTTGCACCTTGCCAGCAAGTGAGTCCATATATGGTATCGTAGGTTTTACTGGAAAAGCATAGCCATTGATGTTTATCTATGAAGCTGTTGCAATTCAGACCAGACTGTGGCTTGAAGCAATAGTTCAGCGAAATTTAGATATACACAAATTTTCCCTCAGCCTAAATGTAGTTAATATTGAGCTTCAAGGCTAATATACCGTGGAATGGATAAGTAATGGGAGCATATAACCCCCAATTGGTACTGTGCAATATGGATCTCTAAATGGATCCCCATGCATCCCTTAAGCTGTATTGAGTTGTTAAGGAATCTCGAATAGACTTGTTTATGTGGCTTCTGCCATGGTTTGATATAACGTTATTTATGATCACGGTAAAAAGCACAAACAAAATTCAGGTTGAAGATTGCTGGTACTATTATTTTTAACCATGTGACATACTTTTGTCTATTTGTATAGAAAACAGTATGTCATACACTGTAACAAATGATAATTTGAAATGATATAGTGAAATCAGCTTAGATTTAGGCGATATATCTATTTTTTCCTCATTTTGAAGTTGTAAGAATATTATAAGATTATTTAACTTGTTTTATGTTTTTTTTTTATTTGTTTGTCACTTTATCTGGAGAAATGATCTTTTTCTTCTGACAATGTTGCTTGTTTCAGTGTTATATAAAAGAATAAGACGATTTCTCTAGACACAGTGCCTTAAGGCAAGTAAAAAAAAGCATTTTTACAACAAAAAAAAAGTGAACTAAGTTGAACATGTTATAATATTCTCACAACAACCTCATAATGAGAACTATTAGATATATTGATTAGATGTAAGATGTTTTCACCGGCCAAGATATAATTTTTTTTAATTGTACAAAGTTAGAAGACACGTGAGTAAGTCTATATGAGATTATGTAACAATGCCACACTGAAGCAAACCTGATAATTTAGGTAAGTGGTTTGCAGGATGCTAACTGGTGGATAAGCATCCATTATTTGTTTACATTAGCCTTGCGGCTCCAATGCGAAGCTAATCATGTCTTGGCTGATTGACTACACTTGTTGTAAGAGGAAAGCTCGGTCAATTAAAACTATTGTTTTAGGTCTGAAATGGTTTTATATCATTACTAAGACTTGTTAGTGATTTTGACAATGACTGTGTTGCTGCTAAAAAAAAATAACACTAACTTTGTTTTTCTCCAAACCCACAGCACTGACAAGAGGTATTTGCCTGCTATTCTCTGACACAACTGTCTTTGTGCTGTGATGTTTACTTCCTGGGCACATAATATTCTAGTTCTGGTTTATTTATGTGACACTGTTTTTCATAAAGAGCAACCATCTGACAGATTATTCGGATTTCCCTGCTGCCAAGACAGTAGGTGTGGGAAAGTAATACAAGATTAAGGTTTGATTATTTTGATTATTCTATAGAGCAGTATCTACATACAATAATAGTAGAAAGATAACTGAATCTTTCTACCCTCAATCAAATTTCCCAAGGAAATGCCACAAGTAAATGGGCATGATGCATTAACAAGCATCCTCTTGATAAAGGGCTAGAATATTCATGTGCTGTACATTAATATGATGTGTGAATCTAGCTATTTCATCTGATTAGGAATGTATAGCTCGGAGCTAGGCTTTCTTTTCTTTAGATTTACAAGAAAATGAAAGGCTTCAGCACATGACTATTGTTCCCAAATACACATCATTCATATTTAGTCATTCATTAAGAATATACTGCAGAATGTGTGTGTTAGGAGGATATTATGAGCAGATCAATTATGGATCTACTGGAAACATTTGTATATTCTTATTATCTATACTGTAAAATATTGATCCTATTTTTTTATTAAAATCAGGCAGTACAATGAAAATGATAAAATAGTTCCTTTTCTCTTAGGATTGCCCAAAACAAGATACTGTCTCAAACTACCTCATTTTGCTTACAGAAATCGCACTGCTTTTGAAAAAGGGAAAACGGATGTCTTCCGTATAAAAACTCACAACATTGGGCATTTAAAAAAGATTAGGTATGGTAAAATAATCCTTCATATGGAATAGTTATTTTGTAAATGTCAGACATGATATGCATCATGAATGTGATAATTCAAACAATTCAAAAAGAGTTTTTTGTGTGTATTCTAAGGATTGAGCATGATAATACTGGCTTAAATGCTAGCTGGTTCTTGGACCGTGTGGTGGTGACAGACATGAACAGACCTCATCTACGCTTTTACTTTGCCTGCAACAACTGGCTCAGCAAAAAAGAAGGTGATGGGCTTTTCGTGCGGGACCTGCTTGGCTCTTTGGACCCCTCAGATATGCCAAAATGTGGGTTATGCTTACTATAACTGTTTTGACATTAAATATAAATCTAGGAAAGCAGTTCTAATCCTATTTGAGAGCAACTACACTGCATTGTAATCACAATCGTTTCATCTTTTCGATTTTTTTTTAGATAATAAGTATGTAGTGAGTGTATTCACTGCAGATGTCAAGGGCAGCGGCACAGATGCTGATGTGTTCATTAATATTTTTGGAGAAAATGGAGATACAGGTAAGCAGCATGTCCACTACAATCAATCATTCAGTCCTCCCTGGATCTCGCAGCCTTGTTTTGGTATAGTTGCAGGCTGAAATGCCTGATTTTGCAGCAACTTTTCTCAGTATTTGTGGCAACATTTGCACTTTGTTTATTTGATGGAGAACGCAATAAAACTAGAAACCTGATGATGACTGGGGACCTAATATATTTTTTAACTTGTTCTGAATGTAGGTTAACTAGTTCCTGATAAAAAAAAGGGAGAAACAAATTGAAAATTAAGTAGGCCTCTGAGAAACAAGTACATAAAGAGATACAGACCCAAAATTAAAAATTATTTGAACATTATTACATTCTCAAAGAAAATACTTTTTTAACGTTTGATATTGAAAGTATGTAATTAACCTGTTGTATATAAACAAGTATCATATTTCTAGAGTCAAATATTCCATACAGATAAGCAAAAGAAGATAAATGCTCTCAAACTTGGTAGAACATAGACTAGCACTGTGTGACTTTGAACTACGCCTGTGTGATATCTTACAAGAATTAGTGCAATTTTCTTGTTTATAAATCAGGATTATTAATTACTAGAAAATCACCCATAAAATTGTACAGAAATTCAAGCTAAACTTATGTTTCATGTTGGAACATCGTTACATAGTGTACAATACAGTTTTTATGTAAAAAGTTTGGACTTAAAATTAGGACTCAATATCTGCTTTACACTCATAACTGCAAAACTGACATAATGGTTTCCTAGATGTTTTCAAGTAATTCATAGTAGTTACTGAAAAATAGATCTTAAGATAATACCTGAACGTTAAGTCTAGGGTTCAAGATGTTAAACTTGTATCTGCTTTCAATGTTTCATTTTTTTTATGATGTTTTCCAAAGGCGAAAGGAGACTAGATAGTGACAAAAACAATTTTGAGAGGGGAACAGAGGACAAGTTCACCATCGAAGCACCAAATCTTGGAAGAATAAGGAAGATCACGATAGGCCACAACAACAAAGGCTCCTCTGCTGGATGGTTTGTTGAAAAGGTATAAGATCAGTTATTATTTTCATAGGAAAAATGTTGCTAGGGATAATTCAACTGTTGTTTTTTTGTGTCAAATGATTTCAAACCAATCGTCAGCATGACAATATCGAGTTCATTTTATGAGAAAAATCTGCTAGCAGTGTTCCACCTCTTTGGTTTTCCTTCACACATATGTTCTCAAACCTATTTGAATATTCACAGGCTGGAGAAGCATGACTCTTTACTTAACTAATGAGGGTATCATTACTATTCATTACCAAACTACAAGCAAGCTTAAAATTTGCTTATTAAGCTCTAAAATGGACCCCAAGCCCCATAATTTAACAAATGTGAATGTGACCAAAAATTGGCAGCTCTATGAATGTCACTTCTCCATAAAATAACTCCAGGAGACTTTGACATATTTGGCAAATAATGTGTGTCAGTCTTTGAAGGTTGGCCACAGCATCTGTGTCACTCAAAGCAATTTGGGATGAGGTCATTCTCCCAGGCTGTAGTCACCTTATCTACGTTGAAAGGAAACACCACGCTACTTTAACGGATTGTTTTTCCAATTCATGAGACCCACTACTGGGAGATTCGCACATAGATTGCATACATTAACACTGTGTTTTCCAAACATACATACCATGTTTGTAGGTGACTGTTAGTACAGATGGTTTACATTCAGACAAACTGTGTTTGAGCTGAAATAAACGTACTTTTAAAAACCTTTTATCTTTCACTAAATTCATTCCAGGCTAAATGTAAATCATCTGGTCTATAAACAGAACTAAAGAAAGTAAAAACAAGGAATTATTTTTTGTACTCATTACTACTTAAGCTTTTGTTTTTTTGCATTTCTATGTCACAATTTTTTTTAACTTCTTTCAATTTAGGCGATAGTGGATGACTTAGGAAACAAGGCCATGTATGAGTTCCCTATAAGTCGTTGGTTTGCCATAGACGAGGATGATGGAAAGATTCAAAGGGATGTTTTAGTGGGAGGAAGTCAACCCACAGGTGGGTGACAGTTTAATATTTTTATTAAATTTGGAGTCATTCAGACCAAGCAAGTTCACATACACTGTGAAAATGTACAAATGTTGTGGGTTTTTTGTCCCAATGTCAAGTAAGCTCGTTTTGTAAAGGTTTTGTTGAATGATTCTGGAATAAAAGGAATGAAGGAATGAAGAAAATGTTAAAACTACACACTGTTCATTGACAGTGAAAACCTTCAAGTCAGTGTTTTTACCCTTCAGTATGGTTTAAGAAATAATTCAGGTCATTTGTGTTGTTGCATTTGCCAGGTGTCCCTGTTTTTCATGACACTTTCTGGGGTGAAATGACAGACTATGTTGGTTAGTGTTTGTCACATTGTCAGGCTGGCTGAATAAAACTGAGCATTTTCTGTGGCCCTTAGGAAAAGTGAGTTCTATCATTTCTAAGACTTAGGTCACATCAACAGCATTATGTCACTGTAATAAACACTACAAAGTCAGTTGTTATAACATGCTATGTCATTTCACCAAAAAAAGTTTTATGACACATCCCTGCAAAAATTTATATCATCTGACATTGTGGTGTTGACATTAAAACTACCAAAAGCAGCCATTATGACAGACAATACCCATTGGAATAAGCCTTATATGTAGGTTTAAGTCAACTGTCACAAGAAGCTTATATAGGTATCATGTAGTTCTATGAACACTGCCCTACAGTAAAGCCTTACGGTGTTTATCCAGGTTACTCGGTCAAACAGTCATGCTCTGTTTCACACCACACTTTCTTTGTGTTATAGATTTTTTCAGTGGATTGAGGCCTGTCTCAAGTTTAAGAGAATCTGATTGCAATGCCTGTAACCCTATCTTGCAGGCATTGTTTACAACGTGCAGGTGGTGACAGGGAACATTAGGGGAGCTGGCACCAACTCCAAAATCCACATGATCATGCACGGCTCCAAAGGCTTAAAGAACAGTGGAAAGATCTTCCTAGAGGGAGGAAAATTTGAACGTGGGCTCACAGACATCTTTAACATAGAGATCGCGGCTCTCCTGAGCCCTCTCAGTCGCATCACTATTGGCCATGACAATGGAGGAGTTAATGCAGGGTGGTACTGTGATAAGGTGAGATATTCTGTTTGTCCATCTTTATGAGAAGGATGCTATTTAGTGTTGCAAGCTTTATTTTAAAGGTAAATCCATATTAATTCCACTTCTATTGTTAATAAGAGTTTTTCTCACCAACTAGTGGCTTTGTGTCCTTATTTTCACTGCCTTCATGCTTTCTTATTGCATCTGATATAGGAATCACTGTGCAAAGCACTATTGATCATGCCTGTTTTGTTTCAGGTAGTAGTCTACTGCCCATTCACTGGCATTGAGCAGACCTTCCCTTGTTCAAAGTGGCTGGATGAGCATGAGGGAGATGGACTGGTTGAGAGAGAGTTGTATGAGATGGTTTCCCTGCGACAGAAAAGACAGAAAAGTGAGTAATCTTGTCGCTCTTGAATCAAACTTTAATTAAACTTTCATGTAATAATTTAACCTAAGAGAGACCCTCTGAGTTCCTCTGAGAGTCTGGTTCAGGCCTCACCTGAACTGGGGCTGAGATGATGTTCTCCTATTCCTCAGAACATCCATGGTCTCTCTGGATATGGACGTCTGATCTTCCCGGAGCAGGCACAGATGCCTCTGTACTTCTTCAAATCTATGGAGAAAAGGGCAAGTCTGATGAGATGAGGCTGGATAACAAAACAGACAATTTTGAGCAGGGTCAGCTTGATAAGTTCATGGTAATTACAGTGTTTTAGGAGCACAAATCTTTGTTATTTCACAAATAGGAGAAACACATAATTTCTGTTCATTTCCAGTGGTGGATTCAGTTTTTATTAATGCCTCCAGATCGAACTTCCTGATCTTGGAAAGCTGACAAAATTAAGAATTTGGCATGAGAAGAGACATCCATTTGCAGGCTGGCATCTAAGCCGTGTAAGAAAATGTGGAGTTTATTTTATGCTTTTCTTTTTCTTAATTATGTTTCTGGCATGTGATTAAACATTGGTTTATGTCTCCAAAGGTGACACTGATGAAGACGTTGACAAAGGAGAAATTCAATTTTCCTTGTGAGCGCTGGCTAGATACAAATGAAGATGACAACGAAGTTGTCAGGGAGCTCCCTGGCATGGGGGATCTTATCCAAGAGCCACTGACAGGCAAGACACCCAGATGTTTCTTAAAAGACCTACTTAGCAAACAAATCAAGTTTACACATTTTGCCCTTAACCCAAATGTAGCTGATCAGTCAACTGAAATCAAACATTTATAGATATCAGTGTATCCTACAGTATTGGGTACAAACTTCCATTGATTGTTAGGGTGTTTTCACATGGAGTTCTTTTTAAGATAATCAAACACAGTTCTGTAAAGGTCGACCTGAATGAGAACCAGTTGCGAGAGACCTCCATGCTTTTTGTGTTCATAATGTATCGCACTTTAAAGGAGACTCAATTCTCTTTCTCTTAACATTAATGAGGCCTCAAACCACTTGTCGTTCGCAGCACAACTTCACAATCCATACCCAAGCAGGGTAACATAGAATTAAGAGGTATTGTTGCAATTTTATATTAAACATAATTTCAGCAGGTTCAACACGTTCTCTCATGTTATCACATATACTTACAGATTTCTGCCCTTTTTTATTTTAATGGATCGTTCCAGTTCTAAAATCACTCAAAACCTCTGTAAAATACTCAATATACAAACATATGACTGCACACATTTCATTATGTGACAAGTTATTAAAACCAATTCAATCATTACTGTTGTTCATGGAATTATCTTTAATTGTTATGTAGCTGGCAACCTTAGCTTAACAGTGCTTGGCAGAAGAACTGTTTACTGCAATTATTAATAATAAATTATTTTCTTCTGAACATTGTATATTATTGAATTGCATTTTATTCTAGTGTATATTATTTTGTTTGTTGCTGATTTATGAAAGTGATAAGACACTTAGGTCAATACATTACAGAGATTTTATTTCTGGTATGAAATTTAACTGAGTAGTTTGTTTTTATCCCCTGGGACATTGGAATATTGTACATGTGAATGTGCAGTAAGCCTAAGGTTGTTTAACAACAAAGCAAAACACAAAGCTTTCACAATGCACGAATCAATCAGACCTCAAAATGAAACACAAATTAACTGTCCTGAGACCACCTCGGGAGCTGGTTTGAATTTGGCTCATTTGTGGGCCTGTATAGAAGGGTCTGCATTTGTTTGACATGTTTACATATGCACAGAAAAAAAAAGTGAAAACACCCTCAGTTAAATTGCTCAACTATTTCACTGCCGCTTTTATCATACTACACAATATTAAAAATAATCTTAGATGATAGTAGCCTTCATGTTACTAGCTTGTGGACAACAAATTTGATTATTGTGTTGCAGTCATAAAGTATCGAGTTACAGTATACACTGGAACTGTCAGTGGAAGTGGGACCGATGCCTCAGTCTTCCTTTGCCTGATTGGTGATTTAGGAGACACAGGTGACCGTACATTAATCAACTGCAAGAACAATGTCAACAAGTTTGAAAAGGGCAATGTAAGTAGTGCTATTGATCTGAACTTCTGGGAAAGGCTCTGCATTCATGCATTTAAGATTTTGTATCTGTGTTTATCCACAGGCTGATGAGTTCATAATTGAAGCCGTGTCCATTGGACAGGTGCGCAGAGTACGGATTGGCCATGATGGGCGAGGAGGAGGTTGTGGTTGGTTTCTAGACAAAGTGGTGGTCAGGGAGGAAGGGCAGACTGAAACTCAAGCTGTAGAGTTCCCATGTAACAGGTCAGTAGTGCATTTTTTGTTGTAGCAATGCCATTATTTGTAAGGCTTGAAGGAATTTAATTTTAGTTTCTCACAATACAGTCTCCCTTTATCAATTCAGATGGCTTGACCGTAATGAGGACGATGGCCAGATTGTTCGGGAGTTAGTTCCATTCGCTGATGGACAGAGACTCTTTAGTAAGTGTCTGTCCTAGAGCTTCTGTTCTATTCTGATGTTATAGGAGTTCAATTCCACTCATCAATGGATTATCAAGCCCTTCATGAGATGGATCTGAGGCCTGTCTTACGTAGCACATTCAACTTAGAGTTCCTGACATAAAAACCTGAGAAAACCTAAAAAATGGAACTGAGGTTAACTCGTTCTACAAAGGCAGTTAACAACTTCCTCTGTTAACCAAGGTTTAAATAATCTATGGTTTTAAATCTATGATTACTTCAAACTATAGTTAATCCTTGATAAAAAGTGATCTGCCATCATGAGACAGAAAATACAGGGGTAGATTGAACTAAGCATAAAGTTAACTAGCTAAGCAAAAAATCCTGCTTTGTGAGACTGGCCCCAGGTGTTCTGGGATGTGAATTATTTGAGACCGTGTAACATAATGACTTTAAGAATTAAAATGAATAAACACTTTCTTAGACCTGGATTCATGGACATGGATTAAGCCTAGTCTAGAATCAAATTGTAACAGCAATATTTACTGATCACTGAAAAGCCTTTTAAGTCTAGTATTAAACTTAGTCTGGGTCCAGGAAAACAATTCTTATGCCCTGTTAACATTTGGTGTTAAAATCTGTCTCAAGTGATCTTATCATAAGTGGACAGTGAGTATGCACTTGTGACCAGATTGCTTGACTGGAGAAAGAGTACCAATATTTTCTATGTCAGTCTCTTGCATTTGTTGTCAGACAAAAATGCACCACGAGTCCTTGTTCATGCGGATGTTACGAACATTTGGATCACTTGGATTGCTAATGCAACTTGTAAGCAAACAGGGGAGAAAACAAAAAAACAAGTTTGGCAGCTGCTTTTGTCTCTCCAGTGATGCGGCTGTTTAAGGTTGTCCTTCAACGTTGTCAAGCATGCATGAAGATGCTTCAGCATCCACACCACAAAATGTTATGTGTGTCCCTGTCCACCTCTAAATGTGGTTTGGATCCTGATGTGTCTCTGAGACATACTGTATCCAATTTACACCTGTACTTAGCCCTGTCCACTATGTTCGTATCACCCATGTTAATGACAAGTGTTAACAGGGCCTTAGGGTCAGTTTCCCAGACAAGGATTAAGTCTGGTCCAGGACTATATTTTCCTTTCAATGGAAAATTGCCATTTAGAATGTTGTGTAGCCCAGGACTAGGCTTAATCTCTGTCTGGGAAACCAACATTTAGTGTCAGTTTAACTTAATACAATGCACTGCTCAAAATAATCAAAATGATGTAGTAAAGTGCGCCATGCAACTGTCACTATGGAAGGTGACAATAACTTAAATAAACCAAACTAAATGGTTTTTGACAGTCTCCTTCAAGCACTGCAATGGTAAATGAGCATGTGGCAGTGGATTACTAAGTGAAAGAGCAGGCATGGGCAGTGTCCTAGGTCCCTCCTAGACTGATGGCACTGCCTTGCAAATACAAACTCACACTGGAAAAAGAACACAATGTGTGAAAATCAAGCAAAAGTTTCATAGTTTTAAGGAAGTTTTAATACACGGGTTAAGAAATCCGTTACAACAGATGAAACTTGCTTATCAATTTTGAAAATTTTGTATTTCAGATGTCAGCTATCATATCGCAGTGAAGACTGGAAACATCAGCGGTGGCAGCTCTGATTCCAGAGTCTTTGTGAAGCTTTATGGGGAGAAGGGTGACACCAGTAGAATGATGCTGGTCGTCTCTGACAATAACCTGGGGAACTACTTTGAAACAGGGCGGGTGGATGTCTTCAAAGTTGAGACATTAGACATTGGACAAGTGTGTATCCCTTAATGGCAGAGCCACTACTTGACAATTTCAATATAATAGCAACCTATTTGTTATTCATTCATTAAACAGTGTCTCATTTTACTGAACCCAGATCAACCGTCTGATGATTGGCCACACTAATGAAGGCATGAGAGCAGGCTGGTTTCTGGACAGTGTGCAAATCATGGTCCCCAACCATGGCAAACACTACATGTTCCCCAGCCATCGCTGGCTCTCTGAAGACGAGGCTGACGGCAAAACCGAAGTGGAGATCTACCCAAGTGAAATACTGGACGTGGAAGAATGTACTCACTTACTTTGTGTAATATGTGATGTCTCTGGACCATAGTATTTCTTTATTCTTTAAGAATAGCCAGAACTTCATGTGTGTCACTTGTTTTTCTCAGTAAAAAACTATGAGATTACCGTGGAGACAGGAGATGTTTGGGCTGCAGGAACCAATGCCAATGTTTGCATCCAAATATATGGAGACCAAGGAAAGACAGAACTTATAACTTTGAAAAGCAGGTCAAATAGCTTTGAAAGAGGAACTACTGATATATTCAAGGTAAGAACCAACATTTTATGACAGTACTAGCCTGTGATACCTTTGTGCTGTCTTTGGCCTTATTTTACATATGCCGTTAATATTGTACAGTGCTTCTTGATGGGGTCTGAGGTGACAATTGTCTATGCTAAAGTGACTGAAACCCATGAGCACACATTTAAAAGTGGTGAACTGAAGAGATAATTGAATGTATTGAAAAACTGCAGATTCTATGATCATCGTCCAAATTGGTGCAATGAAAAAACTGACATTAATGGTGATGGGAATAGAAGTCAGCTCTTTCAGTCAGCTGTTGACTTCACTGGGATAAACATAGCAAAGTAATGATATTAAAGATCCCATCAACAGCAAAGCAAAATATCTTGATAACACTGGTTTACAATCATTTTTTGTTTTATTATTTAAAGGGGAATTCTAATAATTTTTCAAAATGTCTGTATAATTTGAACATTGAGATGTAAACAAAGTCATTCAAAGTAGTCTGATGTAAAATGGTTTATTGTAGAGAAACTCACTTATACAGATTTCTTACAATGGTGGTGATAGGAACCGGGGTCACGGTGTCTACTACCACCAGGGGACCTACATATGTTTACTATAATGTTGATAAAAAATAAGTTTCCTTTGGGGATTATTTTGCCACACAATGTCCAGCGTCCACCTCTCTGCCCTGAATGGATTTTAAAAATATATATTAGGACAAAATCTTACCATAAAACTATCAAAAACAATGTCTTAGGCATCAGGCAGTTTATCTGAAACCATTTCATGTAATAGCTTTCTGTCAGGGAGTTTATACATGTTAATGATTCAATTATGCAGTAATTTGGAAAAATGGTGGAATTTCTCTTCAATTAATTATAAAAACCAGATCAACCCACATTGCTTTGGTGCTAGCAGCTGGGTACGCAATGAAACATTTTACTCCCATCTCACTCTGATTGGAGATTGTCTATTTTGTCCATGTTTAGCTTAGAGTTGTTTGTTTATGTCTAGTCAGACTTTGTTCAGTCTATTTCCTCTGCTCTCTAGAAGCTCAATAATCAAACCCACTGTTTGTGCTACAAACCTATTATTCCTAATAACCACTGTACCAGTGCAAATTACTGTAATTACTTTTCACACATATACTGATTATAATAGAAAACCACATCTACACTGTCTGGATTATTACCCCACTGTGAAAAAGCGAAATGCATAAATGAATAATTTTCCAACAGACATTATCCTTTGATGAAAATGTCATGAATGAAGTGCAAACCTTAAGATGCGTTTTGCTATTTTTCTGGAACAGACTGAGGCTAAAGATGTGGGGCAGATCTTCAAGATCCGCATTGGTCACGATGGATCAGGAATTGGCGCTGGGTGGTATTTGGACAAGGTAGACATAAAGTACCTGGTCATGGCCATGGTGAAGAAAGAGAAGAAAGAGGATAAGAAGAAAAACAAAAAGAAGAAAAAGAAGGAGGAGGATGAGGATGAGGAGGGAGGTGAAGAAGTGATGCAAGAGGTAGTGAAGACGCTTTCCTTCCCTTGCGATCGCTGGCTGGCTGAGGATGAGGAGGATGGGGAACTGGTTGTGGAGCTTCTGCCTGAGGACAGCGAGGAGCTGGAGGGTAAAGAAAAGCATTAGAGCCGTTTATTTATCTGTCCTGCCATTTATCCACCTCAGCCCCATTTCCACCTTTCCAATTTTTTCCTCTCTTCCTGTATATAAGCAACAATGTATTAAGTATCAAATTCTAATCACCAGCAACCACTGTTAAAATATGCCAAACAGAACCAAAAAGTGTCCTTTATAAAAATGCCTTAGAAGAATCACTTATGGTTTCCCAAAGAACCTTTCAGTGGATGGCTCTGAGAAGAACCAAATTTGGTTTCACAAAGAAATCTTAACGAAGAATTTGTTACAGCTTTTCAAAGCACCTTTAAATACTACTACTACTACAAATAATAATAATAATAATAATAATCATTATTATTATTATTATTATTATTATTATTATTATTATTATTATATGTAGAAACTCTTCTTCATTGTTTTTATATAGATGGCTCATTAACTTAGTTATGAATCAAACATTAAACAAAACCAAATTAATCGCTTAATTCCAAAATGCTATATTTCCATTTACAAAAAGATATTTGAAATTAACAAATCATTCATTGATCTGATAAAGTTGGTAGCGTTAGCGACTTAAGCTAATATAGTAATTTCTCATATGTGTAAAGACCACTATCAACAATGGTTGGGTTTTATGATGAAATAAAAAGAACATTTATGAAAGCGGTTTGGAACAAAACCCTTCACATAACAAAGTAACCAGACAAAACAATTATCAAATTCAATTTCTTTTATAATATTAAACGCTAAAAATGAAAAAAGAAAACAAACAGAAAAATGTTATGTAAGTAATTTCTACCTACGCTACCTACCGTGCTAGCTACCATATGCATAACTTCAGGTAGCTTGTAGCTAACTAGCTAGCTAGCTAACAACAATATTTCTGGATAAGACTGCCGGTTCAGCGAGATACTTTTCTGGGACACATATCTGCACGTTGTTAGCAACTAATAGTATATCGTGAAACATGTTAGTGTTAATAACAGTTTAAGAAATCTCACTTACCTGACGAGTATGTTAGCTAACAAGCTAGTTAACGTGCTCTCTCACAGCAGTTTCACTCAGATTGGACCCAGGGAGAGGACACAAACCCCTCCGACGAACACATTGAGTTCATAAGCTTTCCTCGATTTCATTTTGGGAAGTGATAAAAAAAATAAAATAAGAAAACTGTCTTTGTTTGGCATTTTAGTTGTGCATTATTAGGCCTATTCCAAAATAAATATTGGCTAACGTTATTTAAATCATCTTTAGCCTGTTGTCTTATACAGTTGTAAGAGTATTTCAGTAGGACTATGAGCAGTGTCATACAACACGACCGTACAGGCGCGAGTGTTGATAACCTTTTAAAGTTTAAAGAACCTCCGCATAATGTGAAGGTTCTGCACCAGTTAAACGTTCCCTGGAGCCGTAGACCCAAGCCAGAACCCTTTAGAAGCCTGTATTTTTAAGAGTGCAGTCTGTTCATGGAGGCAAACGGCTTTTTACTATTTCCTCTCCAAGAGAACACGTACGAGGTGAGTGTGTTCACGGGGAACATGCTGGGTGCTGGAACAGACGCCCATGTTTACATCAACATCTACGGAGAGAAAGGCGACACTGGGGAGCGCCCCCTGAAGAAATCCAACAATGTCAACAAATTTGAGCGCGGCCAGGTGAGTGGGACTCAGATTACGTGATGCCCTTAATGTTGGCTATAGCTGACTCGGAGATGAGTTGCAATCGCTATGAGACTGACCTCTAACCAGCAGGAAGAGACCGGGGAACCTGATCGAGTCCCTCCTGTTATTCAAAGTAGATGTTCTGGTATACTCTTACTCATCTGTTAATGTGAGCCCATCAATAATTGATGTCACGCATTAAACATGGTCTCTGAATCAGGTCTGTTCCGCACGCCTAATCTGACAGCCATTTGTGAATTTGTCAAGGCATGCAGACAGCAACACATGTTGAAAGCAGTGGTTCCTCGCATACCTTAGCGCTTTCCCAGCTCTAACACTCAAGTCAGGAAAAGGTTTATTAGCTGATTAGTTGGATCAGGTGTGTTAGAGCAGGGAGAACACCAAAATGGTTGGGCTTGTTCCAAGAGCCCAGCTTTGGATCACTAGTTCACAGCTTGTGCTAACTGATTAAAAAATGATTAACCACAATCTCAATGAATACATCTGAACCCAATGACTAATTGGAAACTTGCATCATTAAAATGCATATTAAACATCCTTTTCTGCTCTCTGTTACAGTAAGAAAGGGATTGATTGCCATGCTTATGTGCCACACAGTGTTTTTCGTATTTGTTTTAAATTAAGTATTTTACAGTCATTCCAGTTTATCTGCTTTCTAATAAAGTATTTTGGATTTGAAAGTCTAAACATGGTATAATATGGCCTAAAGTATGTGGACACCTGACCATCACACTTATGAGTTTGTTGAACACCTCCCCCCACAAACTTTGCTGCTATAACAGTCTCCACTCTTCAGGGAAAGCTTTTCACAAGAATTTGGAGTGTGTCTGTTGTAATTTGTGCCTATTAAATCAGGCACTGTTGTTGGATAAGAAGGCCTGGCTGGCAATCGACATTCAATTTCATCCTAGAGATATTCAGTGAGGTTAAGGTCAGGACTCCTCCACACCAAACTTGTCAAACCATGACTTCATGGACCTCGCTTTTTGCACAGCGGCACAGTCATGCTGAAACAGGAATGGGCATTTCCATTTCACAGTAATAGCACTTACAGTTGACTGGGGCAGATCTAGCAGTGCATGAATTTCATGAACTGACTTGTGGCAAAGGTGGCATCCGTTGACAGTGTAACGTTTAAAGTCACTGACCTCTTTAGTATGAGTCATTCCACTACCAGTGTTTACCTATGGAGTTTGCATGGCTATGTGCTTGATTTTATACAACTGTTAGCAATGGATGTGGCTAACCTGAACTCAATAATTAGGAGGAGTGTCCACATACTTCTGGCCATATAATGTGTGTCCAGGTCTGTTAAGTACATTTTATTGTTTAGCTAATTAAATTTTTTAATGAAATGTAAAAATTATTGACATTAAATTACTCAATTATTAATTATGTGATTACAAATTATAATTCTAATGGCATCATGATTCTACTAAACAACTCAGTTGCTTATGTGTTGCAGGAAGACATGTTCTCCATAACAGCAGTTGAACTGGGGCCTTTGAAGAAGCTAAGGATCCGTCACGACAACAGCCACTCCCACTCTGCCTGGTACTTGGACCGAGTTGAGATTGTAGACACCAAGGACGACACCACGTGAGTGAAAGACAAAATAGTTACAACTACTTTCAATACAGTAGGACCTATGTAGAAGTTTACATTGAATCACTATGCAGGTACTACTTCCCATGCAACCGCTGGCTGGCTATAGATGAAGATGATGGGCAAATTGCCAGAGAGCTGGTGCCTGTGGACGAGGCTTTCATGAAGAAGGATGAGGATGAGGAGGACTCAGGAGCTACATTAGGGCTGGAGCAGAAAGGTGAAGAAAATGTTGCATGATGCATTGTATGATCAGTGGAGGAAATTATGGCAAATTCTGTGTTCACTATTTATAATATTTTTGTATTTAAAGGGACATTTTGACCTAAAATTAGAGTTATTGTGTTATGTGTCATATTATGCAGTATTCTAAAGCACAGCATTATATCCCTCAACCTCATTGGTTTGACACACGTCACGATTTTAAATTGTTTTTTATGTTTTCATTCATCAGTTTTCTGTCACTATGATAGTCAGCATGCATTATGCAAATACATCATACAACCATTGCAAATCTCTGCGGTGCTCAACCAGTCTTGATTTTTGACCTAGCCACTAAACTACAGGCTAAATACAACCAAGCTAGCATTAGAGACATCATCAGAAATGGGATTTCCTAGTCTTTAAACACGAAAGTCTCGCTCTAGATGCAGGGGTCTCAAACTTTTGTCCTAGGGGGCCAAAGCGCAATGTTTGGCTGAGGGCCAAAAAGACAAATCAAAACTCAAAGAAAGGAGCTAGGTAGGTTTCAAATAGTGATATTTAAAATGGATTTCATAATATATTATAAAATATTATATGTAGTATACTGAATAAATATACCTTATTTTCATTACTAAAAATCTTTAGAAATATAATTTTGAGAACAATAAGAATCATATATATGTATAAAAAATATATATTACTGTGTGATGGAGTTGGGTTAGAGTATGCTTCTGGCAGACAAAATGAAAGGTCCTCTCTGGCCACCTTTGGCCCATGGGCCACACTTTTGGCAGCCTTGCTCTAGAGACTACTGTGGCAGTATTGTAAGATGGGAATATGCATGTTTACAACATATGTTGCAATGGCTAATTGTTTTCTCTTTGGCCAGAGTGTTCCTTTAAAAACTGCACATATTTAGAGGGTGTGATTTTTCAAGGGAATGTGTAATGTCTCACAAATTTACATCATTTTTCTGCAGCCATGTCAACAACATACACACTGAGGATAAAAACTGGGGAGAAGAAATATGCTGGAACCGATGCCAATGTTTTTGCCATTCTTTATGGAGAGTACGATGACACAGGTTAAAATTCATAATTCAGTGCTCAGACTTCATAATTTCAATTGTAAATGATTGCCACTTTTTGACATATTGCCTGCTCTTCATTCTTTTGTGAATGCTGTAGGAATAATTAACCTGAAGGCCTGTAAATCTCACAAGAATAAGTTTGAGCAGGGAATGATTGATGAGTTCACTGTGGAGGCCGTTGATCTGGGAGACCTTCAGAAGCTCAGAATTGGGCATGACAACTCAGGTAGGCCTTGGCAGCACTGAACCTTAAAAAAATAAATGGAACCTGTTGAATTTCAAGGAGATTTTGTGAAAGCGAAGGTTCAATAAATGCTGAACTGAGACACGGTGACAGGGACAACTGAACGAGGCTTTGTGCTGACAGGATGCAGTCGGCTGCTTCTAAAAGCTGCTAGCAAAGACAGCCTGTCAGGTATCAAGTTGCCTGGCAACCTTACAGGAACTTGGTCCCGCTATTCATGTTTGATTAGTTGTCGATGGAGCTCTTAAAGGGTCCATTTAGAGTCTGTCTTTGTCAAGCATTGAACTGGCTGCAAAGAAAGGAAGCAAATCGCTCAGTTATCACTCAAACCCAAGTGTAATACAGACAGGTACATTTACTGCTACAAAGTCTCATCAGACAGTGATTGAGAGACATTCTTTTATGTTTGCCAGCATCCTGAGCAGCATGCCATGCATTTTGAATGATTTTAATGCACATTAAATTATGACATGATGCCAAAACAATCTTAATGTAAACAATGAGTAAAAATACCATTCACCCTTGTTTCTTATTTAGGGGGGTCATCTGGTTGGTTCTTGGATTGGGTGGAGATTAATGCACCTTCCCAAGGTCAGAAACTACGTTTCCCTTGTGGCCGCTGGCTAGATAAGGGAGAAGATGATGGGGCGATTGTAAGAGACTTGTACCCAGCTGAACTGCAGACTGAGCTCTACACTCCATGTAAGGAACAATCCATCTTAAATTGTACATTCAGTTCTCTGTATCAGTGATGTAACTATTCAGTGGAAAAATGAATGCCCCTCTTATGAAAATTTCCTTCAGTGAATATTAAAATTCTTAACCAATTTGGTGCTCTAATACAGGCTAAAGGTCAAAATATATAATTAAATTATCATGAGACATGGGTGTAAAATTGCATAAGTAGTGATATAAGATGGTCAGTAAAGATGCTAAGGGACCCTGTTGCCATGGACCCCCAAGGGCCACAGGCCCCAATGTGATTGTCCTGCCTACACTGTCGTGTTACACCACTGCTCCATATCCTTCTGGTGAACTACTTCCTTCAAAATTCTGTTCCAAACTAAACCAACTGGGGTTTTCTGAAGACGGATGTTAGTCCAATTAGTTTTGGCGTAAAGGCGGATAAAGAATATCTGAATATACGTCCAAATGTATCCAGACACCCATGCTAATTAGTGGATTCAGCTACTTTAAGGTGAACTCATTGCTGGATGTTCAAATGTGTGCACACAGCTTATAAAGTCTCCATGGAAAAGCAATGTCAATAAAATATGACACTCTGGAGAGCCTAACATCACCATGCCTAATGCCATGTGTCAGCTAGATGGGCATAAAGCCCCCCAGCATTGGGCTGTGGAGCAGTGGAACTGTATTCTCTGGAGTGATGGAGCTCTATCCAATACCTTTGAGATGAGCTAGAGTGGCATTTGTGGTTCAGAATTGATCATCCAACATAAGTACCTGACCTCACTAATCCACTTGTGGCTGAATGCACTCAAATCCTCACAGCAATGCTGTAATCTAGTGTAAAGCCTTCCCAGAAGAGTAGAGGCTGTTACTGCAGCAAAGGGGGGACAAATTCCCTATTAATAACCTTGATTTTAGAAGAAAGTTTGGATAAGCAAGGGTCTACAAACTTTTGGACATACAGTGTCTAATGGAAAAGACCGTAAAAAAAAAAAAAAAGATCTTGTGTTATTTTTATAGGGACTCAACATTCAGTTTCTCCTTCCCATCTGCAGTTGTGCCATATGAGATCAAAGTCTTCACCAGCGATATCTTTGGAGCGGGGACGGATGCAGATGTCTTTATTGTTCTCTATGGACAGAAAGGACTCTGTACTCTTCAGAAATATCTTTGTGTGAATAAGCGAGAAAGACGCATGTACTTTGAGAGGGCAGCGGAGGATATGTTCATTGTGGAGGTACGGTACACTAAATTTGTTCCCAAATGTTCCCCATTTTGGAACTGCTATCTTTTGTCTGTCAATGGTATTTTACAAAGACAAATACTTCTGAACAACGGAAAATGTAATCAGGTAAATTCACTGATGTCTTTGACAAAACAATACACTGTGAATGTGTAGCTGGAGGATGTAGGTGACATCATTGAGAAGATTCGCATTGGACATGACAACAGTGGCACAAACCCTGGGTGGCATCTAGACCGAGTGGAAATAAGAAGACTTTTAAGGAAAGGAAAGGTAACGAAGGGTCTTGGGTACAAAGGGCACTTTGTTACCTAAAAACATTTATTTCTAAAAACAGATGCCAGCAGTATTGAATTCAACTGAATTTGCCATCATCTTAGACTGTGTGGCTGGCCATCACAAAAGTGAATACATTCAAACAAACATACATATAAAGTATATTGTCACTGTTCGACAAGAACCTTGTATCTCCAAAATGGTAACTTTACAGGAGAAGTAAAAAAAAGCATTCTTAACCTTTAATGGAAGTCAATGTAAAAAGATTTCAAAAAGACTTCACAAAGTGGCCAGAGAGTATACTTACAGTAATAAACTGATGGAAATTTACCAAGATTGGGACCTGCACAGAAGATTATATTCTTATTTAGGGCTCAGAGACTACTGTCTTTCCATGTGAGCGATGGCTGGCTAAGTCTGAGGATGATAGTGAAACGGTGAGAGAGCTGGTGCCCTCAGACATCATCACAGAGAAGCTCCTGAGAGACGGCACACTGAAGACCACGGAGACAGAGGTGGATGACGCGCTGGAGAGTATGTCCTCCTTTCCTGATAACATACAAAGAGGGATATATATGTGGTGTATACACTGCATGTCAAGAGTTTGGGGACATCTACTATTTCAAAATGTTTTTATTAAAAGAGCATGTTTTCCTTGTTAGTTTGTGAAAACTTCACATATTAAATAAAAAGTTGTTCAGGTCTTTCCATTTTCAAAAACTACAAAACTAAAGGAACAGCTGATAAAAGCACAGCGTTGGAAATGTCATAGCGCACTCATTTTATCCCCTTCTTGTGATGTCAGCACTCAGAGCTTTCAGTTGAATAAACCACCTTTGGGCCAAAAGAGATTCAATATGTGCTTTTAACAGTAGTTTGAACGAGAAAACTGTGAAATTATTATTTAGGTAAGATCTACACTTTAAACCAGGAACAACACAAACATATTGCAGCATATGCCCAAAATAATAGCAGGCACATGTATGTGCAAATGTTTGGGCACCCCTGGTCAAATTACATTGTGTGTTGATATTCTAAGTCAAAATAAGTGATACATCCTCTGCAGAGAACATACATATGCACAGTTTAATGCACAGTTACTGTTAACTTCCTGAATTTAATGCATTGGAAAAAAATAAAGCAAAAGTTATGGCACATTTTATACTTTGTTTTTTTTTCCAATGTATTAAACTGTTAAAATTTGCAGGAAAATCCAGTATTTATGTTTGTTCATGTAGATCATGTTTTAACCTTTTTCCCCAAACAGAAAAAAAAATTTGCACATAACTGTAGCTGTTTTGTGGTAATAATGCCTTCTTATAATAATGAAAAACAAACATTACAAAGAAGACAAACTGTTCTTCATTAGTTGTTGTGCATTAGCTGTTTTGAAGTCATAGACATAATGATATGAACTAGATCTTTGTTGCTAAATTGAGTGCTGAACAGTGTTTGTAGTTGAGTTTATAGTAGAATTAGAACTACAGGAAATGTTTGTGGTTTGAAATGAAATGGAATGAATGGAGTGAAAATGAAGTGCATTTTCCTTTTTTTCTGCCATTCCTCAGCTCACACTTATAAGGTATCTGTGAGAACAGGTGATATGTATGGAGCAGGTACAGATGCCAATGTGTTCCTAACCATCTACGGGGACCTTGGAGACACAGGAGAACGCAAACTCAGCAAATCAGAGAGCAGCAAAAATAAGTTTGAGCGAGGAGCAGTACGTATGGACTAAAACTATCCTTAAACTTACTTACAATCGTAATTCCAGTTATAGGGATATTTTTGTGTGTTTTTTTGCAAATCCAACACGCTTAGTCACCTAAATCCCCAAACATATGCAGAAATGCCAAACATAGGCAAAACATTAAGTCCCTGTGCTGAAAAAACTAATGAGCTGAAATACTTGGTTCAAATGTTTACATTATTTGTACATTGATAAAATATATTGCATCAGCATTTCAGTATACTCACTTCTGACAATACCTGTAATAATGTAATATTTTTTGTCCATGTGGAAACTACGTACATATTTAAATGAAATAAATGTTATCACTTTTTTCAATGCAGGAGTGTGAAATCCTGTTTGTATACTGCATCAGTTTATTTACTCATTCATCTGTTGCGTGTCAGTTATTTACTGATTTCCAACCTTTGATTGCAGGTTGATAAATTCAGCATTGAAGCTGTGGACCTGGGCCAGATCTTTAAGATCAAAGTACGCCATGATAATTCCATGCTGGGTGCAGATTGGTACTTGGACCAGGTCGAAATTGTGGATGTGGACACAGAGGAGGTCTACATGTTCTTATGTGAGAGTGGCTGTCAAAAAAGAAAGAAGATAAACGTATTGAGAGAACATTTTTTGTCAAGGTGATTTAAGTTGCTTCCTCCATGCCCACTTTGCATTCTCTTAATTTTAGAAATGACTGAGCTGTCTTTGTCTGAACAATCTGTCTGAGGTGTTTGCCATTTTCTCAGGGGTATGAAGGTGAAAGGAACCCTCAGAACTCAAAGAAAAACATGCAGAGCTCCAAACCAAGCCTAGACAGCAACATGAACAAAAAGAAAAAGAAGAAAAAAGCAGTGGCTGTGGAGGAGGGTCCAGGTAACCTTTGCTTAATCATATGAAAATCATCTTCAAAATGCAACCCCATTTCCAAAAAAGTTGGGACGCTGAGCAGAATGTAAATGTAAAATAGAATGCAATGATGTGCAAATCATTTAAACCCTATATTTACTTGAAAATGGTACAAAGACAACATATCAAGTGCTGAAACTGAGAAACTTCAAAATGAATGCCCATTTTCATTTGATGCCAGCAACACGTTTCAAAAAAAGTTGGGACGGGGGCATGTTTACCACTGTGTTGCATCAGCTCTTCTTTTAACAACTCTCTGTGTTTGGGAACTGAGGAGACCAGTTGCTGCAGTTTTGAAAGTGAAATGTTTTCCTGTTCTTGCTTGATATAGGATTTTCACCAGGTTCACCAGAAGGTGAATTCCTCCCCATCTTTACTTCTGAAAGACTCAGCTTCTCTGGGATGGTCTTTTTATACCCAATCATGTTACTGACCTGTTGCCAGTTAACCTCGTCAGTTGTGAGATGTTTCACCAGGTGTTTTTTTAAGCATTACACAAATTTACCAGTCTGTTGTTGCCCCTATCCCACTATTTTTGAATCGTGTTTTGTTGGCATCAAATTCAAAATGGACATATATTTTTCAAAAGACAATACACTTCTTAGTTTCAATATTTGATAAGTTATCTTTGCACTATTTTCAAATAAATATATGGTTTAAATGATTTCATCAGTGTATTCTGTTTCTATTTTCATTTTTTTTTTACATTTATTTACATTTTTGGAAATGGGGTTTTAGTTACTTTCCTTTGTCAAACCAAAATGCTTCCTGCATTCTGATTTGAAACACTGCTCACTGTACTATCAATGACCTGTAACATTTTATTTTGATGGATCATTGTAGTTGTTTTGTAGAATTTCATCTTGTCTCTAACTGATATTTATCTACTCTCTTTCCTAACCTTAACACTCTTGGTAATCAACTGAATTTCACCAAATAGTCTGTTAACAATTTCGTGATCTGTAGATAAGCAGTTGGAACAATCAAAACAAAGTGTGACCATGTTTTCCAATGTATTTTAATGATGAGAAAATGTTGATTTCCTTTCCACAGTGATCCCGTACCACTTCACGGTGTCAACAGGGGCAGACCGTGATGCCAGTACCACCAGTCGAGTTTATGTGATCATAATGGGTCCAAATGATCTGGAAACAGACCGGCTCTGGCTCGACCTCATTGAAGGAAAGAAGTGTTTTGCAGCAGAAACTATGGAGAACTTTGAATGCTATGGTTTGGACATAGGAGAAATTAAGAGGGTGGAGGTAAGATTGATTTATCATTAATGGCCTTTCAGATACACTCATACACATACACATTATCTAAGCCGCTTATCTTTCTGAGTGGGGGGGTGCTGGAGCTTATCCCAGCGGTCATTAGGCAGAAGGCAGGAAACACCCTGGACAGGTCGCCAGTCCATCGCACGGCCTTTCAGATACAGTGAATTCAAATGACAAATGTCTGATTTCTTTTAAAAAGCTGCAAAAAACCCTGTACTTGAGTAGAAAGTGAATTGCAAATGGTTATTGCAAACAAAAGTTTTTTTTACATGTTTTCTTTAGAATCATGTTGCCAATTTTTCCTTTTGCAGTTAGGTCATAATGGAGCTACTCCAGAGAGCTGCTGGCTTGTAGATGAGCTGTCTGTGGCAGTGCCTACCAAAGGCATCAAGTACATATTCCAGTGCAAGAGTTGGCTTGCCAAGGATAGGGGAGATGGCCTGACAGCAAGAGTGTTCAACGTTCTTGATGCCACCACTATCAGTATCATTCAAAAGGTTAGTATGAATTCTTCATAGGAAACAGCATGTCACGCTGCCTTTTTACTATATTAATGTAATGTTATATGTAACTGTGACTGAGATGTACTGTTATCAGAGTCTGTGATCAAACATGCATCCATCTCCATGTGACTCCTGATGTTTGAAGATTATTTCAGCCAAATATACATCCAAATACAGATATTTTGCCTCACTGTCTTTAGGTCATCTATCAGATTACCGTTGTTACAGGAGATACCCAATACGCAGGGACAGACACCAACATATTCATAACAGTGTTTGGGGCCAACGGAAGTACGGAGGAGATCCTGCTACCAAAGAATGGGGACAGGTGACACATACTGCTTCATTCATTAACAAATGCAGTGAGTTACTTAGAAAGATTCAGCATAATAACACAATCGTGTTTATATAGGATACGTTCAGATGGGTGACCAATTAAAGGATAAATCTAAATAAAGCCTGAGTGTAGAAACATAATGAGTGAAAATGGTTCCAGGCAGGTGTACTGCTTGATACACTTAAGCAGTTAACATCCTACCATGAAGTGACTTTGAAAGAGGATTCGTTATTGGGGCACAGATGGCAGGAGCTTCAGTCACAAAGACTGCTCAACTGGCTAGTGTTTCAATAAGAACAGTAACTAAAGTGACACCTGCATTTATATCTACAGGAAAGACAGCAGTAAATGGGTTGGAAATTATGGTTGAAAGCACACCTTTAGTAAAAGTGATGCTCATGCATTGGTGCATTGAGTAAGGACAAACAGAAGAACAGCTGAGAATGTCAATGCAGGACTGCGTCAGCAAGAACACCTAGAACAGGGATATTATAGTAGGGTTGAAGTGTATAAACCCCTCATTACAAAGATGAATGCACATTTCATAGTTCAGTGGTGTGAAAACCACAGGCACTACTCTACAGAGACGTGAAAAAATGATTAGGTCACCTTATACTCCACAAGTGGGCAAGTGCCTGTGTGGCATACATCAAAAGAACAGTACAGGCCTGAAAGCTTGACCCCTACAGAAAGGTGGTCCGGTGGCTCTGTTATGATGTGGAAAATTTTGCTGTCATAGTTTAGGTCCACTTGTGCTCTTAGAAAGAAGGGTTACTGCACATCAATACAAAGCTATTTTGGCTGACTTGTGGTTGCCCAACACCTTACTCGTACAAGTGTTACTCAGACAAGAAGCTAAACATGACCTACATCAGGTAAAAAAAAAAATTATATCAGGAAATCGTGAAAAATATTACAAACACACAAAGTTGTATGCATAAGTTGGGGCGTCCTTATCCAATTACATGTTTTGTTGATTTTATATATATAACTCAGAAACTGTGTCCTACAATTTGCAGAACATGCCATATTTAAGTTTGTTCTCTGCAGATGGTAGGTTAACTTATTTTCACTTAAAAAATTAACATGTGTCATTTGACCAGGAGTGTGCTAACTTTTGCATATAAGCGTATATATAGAGATTATAAGAAGAATAGATGTTTGATAAGATCCATCCTTTGCTATTCACTCATTATAGTTTGTCCTAGGTTTGAGAGAGATCAGGAGGACACATTCAACTTGGAGATCGATGACATTGCTCCCCTTAAAAAGTTAAGAATTCGCATTGATGGGACAGGAAGTCGGCCTGATTGGTTCCTTGACAAGGTTAGTTGAAATAGCTTGCTCTCGTTCGTGAGTCCAGAGAACTTTCCATTCATATCTCTGATAGCAGTTACACAGAAGCTGGTAGTGTTCCATTTGGTCCTAAATGTCAGAACATTGAGTTAAGGCTGGAGACAGTAATCTAGTTGAAGATGGATGACGATAAACGGTGTTTGGGGTTTGTGTTGCATTGTTGTCAATGTCTTCTTGTCCTGTTACATGACCTAGATTATCATGCGGAACCTGAGCACAGAGGAGGTGTCAGTTTTCACCTACGAGAACTGGCTGTCCAAAACGAAAGGGCCCAAGAGGACAAAGGTGTGTGAGCTCCCCGCAGTGGTGGATGATGAGGAGATGGTGGAGAAAACCACTTACATCATTCAAGTTAAAACCAGTGACATCTCTGGTAGGTCAAACACAGCAGAGGCGAACACATCTTTTTACGTGACATTGTTTGTAATAATAAAATACAATATAGGGATCCATTACTTTAGTGGATTGTAATGAAGCAGGATGACATTGTAAGGTGTCAGATACATATTTAATTATACATATTTTTTAGCAAAAAATGTAAAAATGAGTAAAAGCAGACAAAATGCTACCCTAAAAATAATGTAATAATAGTGCCATGCCTTTCAAGTGTTTAAATTACCTTTGCTAGATTTTCAGTATGTGCTTTGAACAATACTTTGGAAAAGAAAATATTTTGACAAAACCTACAATCTAAAGATCTAAAGATGATCCTTGAGACTAAAGCACACAATGTAAGCTTTTATTTTATTTTATTTTTTCTATACAACATAAACCATTACAGAAAAAATATTATATATACTGTACTATATGTATAGTATACAAATATTATTATAGTAATAAGTGCTGCAAGCCTGCAACCTACTAACATCACTAAAGTCTTGATAGCTACATTTGGGATGCTCTGCTAAGCCTTTATGACAGCCAGTGCTTGTTTTGGGGGTGTTTTAACTTCAGTTTCCTTCTCAACGGGTGAGATGAATGCTCTCTTGACCAGGTTGTAACTTTTTTACCTTTTCTTTCAGATAAACTCCTTGGTTGAGTGTGCAGTACATTTCAGTTCATTGTCTTGCTGCATTATGAATTTCTACTCTCTGAGTGTGAAGGCATGTGCTTGGACATGGGAAGATGATTTTTATGTACACTTCAGGATTTATTCTGCTGCTACAGTCACCCATTACATCATCAGTAAAGATCAGATGTAGCAATGTGCTGAGGATCATTTGCAGTTCCTCTCTTTCGCCACACTATTCCCTTCCCATCACTCTGATAAAGATTAATCTTTAACTCATCTGGCCACAAACTTTGTTTCAAAACTCTTCTGACTCACTTTGAACTTCATCATGAATTCCAGCCTGGCCCTTTTCTTATTAGTGCTGATGAGAGGTTTACATCTTGTAATGTAGCTATATTCTCTTGAAGGTTTCTGTGAATGACGAATACTGTCACTTTCAACCTTGGAATGCCCAGTTCTGCAACTGATGTTTGCTTTAATCTGTTCAAAACTGCTTGCTTTCCCATCATAGATGTTAGTCAGTGCTCTAGTTTCTATCTCGTTTTGTACCCTTTACATCAAAACAAGATCCCTAATGCAAACTCCAATAACTACAAGCACATTCTCAGCTCTTTTATGTCTTTTAAATTAAAAGAAACCTAGGACATCTGAGCAACCAGAATCTGTCATTCGTGACAATAATTATGCAGATTGTTGTGTGATGGCATATATACAACAAGTGACTTTTTTCCTCTATGGTTTATGTTATATGGTAACATTGCCCAGAAATGGAAAGTGACGTTCTGTGCGTCAGTCTAATGCTCATCTTTTTATCTGGAATACAAATGTATGAATGTACAACAAAAATAACAACACCTTTCATTTAATTGTCCCGTTTTATTGCTCCTCACTGTAGTTTTCATACCAAGGAAGATATTTTGATTTAGATGAAGCTTAGTGTTGCAAGTATTAGAGGTTAGCACATCCTTTACAGGAAACACATGAAAATATGGCAATTTACTGCAGATTTTACAGCACAATTTCTATTTATTACACATATTGGAAAAAAAATAAAACATATTAAATGTGCCGTAATGTTTGTACATCCCACATTTTATGTTTGTTTTTTCCTTACATACATACATATATATATATATATATATATATATATATATATATATATGTATATATATATATATATATGTATATATATATATATATATATATATATATATATATATATATATATCAGAAAAACCAAAATGTACCAATGCAGTTTTGTTCATATTTCACACATCTGTTTTCACATATGGGTTTGCAGGTGCAGGCACAGATGCTAATGTGTTCCTGATTGTGTTTGGGGAGAATGGGGACACTGGCACTTTAGCACTGAAGGAGAGCAGCAACAGGAACAAATTTGAGCGCAACCAGGCAGACGTGTTCCGCTTTAGCGACATCCTCAGCCTGGGAGAGCTTTCCAAGATCAGAGTGTGGCACGATAATAAGGGTGAGAGAGAAACGCAGCAACATATTCACTCATGTTAAGTCATTTTCAACTGCCAACAGTTTCTAATGTAAAACTTCTCCAGTATGAATAAGCTTGATTTATCCTTTTATATTGCAGACTTATTATTCAGCAACAGCTATAAATTATTTGATAACTGTTGTGATTTGTAAATTATGAGAGACAGGAACTGAAGTCTATGCCTCCATACAGGCTCACAGCTTGAGTTAATTTTGTCAAAAGCAATATGGACGGAACAAAAAGCTTAATTTTCTTCTCTTGCTTTCAGGCCCTGCTCCTGGCTGGCATTTAGAAAGTGTTGATGTAAAAGATGAGCTCATGAACCAAACCTTTCGCTTCCCTTGTGACCGTTGGCTGGCCAAAAACGAGGACGATGGCCAGATTATGCGGGAGCTGGCATGTGCCAACAATGACATCCTGGACCTCAGTGACAAGACGAGTGAGAGACAGGCTTCAGTTTTAAAGCTTTCCACTCATATGCTGTGTTTAATTTATGTACAGTTTGTGGTCGCTGCATCAATGTGCTGCAATAATATCCACTGCAAAGAGTGCATATTTGGCAATAGAAGCATATATACACTATATTCACATTTTTACTTTCTTGTCAGAATATGAAATCGACGTTACAACAGCCAACTCTGAAGATGCAGAGACGAAGGAGAATGTCTGGATAGTGCTTGAGGGGAAAAGAGCACGTTCAAAGGAGTTTATGATGGAGAACTCTTCAAAGAAAAAGAGATTCTTGCGGTATGAACTTGCAGAGCTAGCCTAGCCTAGAGGACATTAAAAATCCTGCGACTGATGTTTTATTTACTTGTGGAATATAGTGTATTCTGTTTCTGCTCTCCTCACTGCTCTTTTGGGCCTTCTGAAAGGCATGTTGATAATGAGGAGTAAAAATGTTAAAAAGATACAATTACAATGTTTTCATCTAGAATGTCTTGAAATTGGCATTTTTTGTAAAATAATTATTGTCTTTCTTTGCCAATTTAGGGGGGCAACTGACTCTTTTGAGTTCTCCTCCAAAACTCTGGGAGAGATTGTTGGTATCTCTTTGGGCCACATAACAAAAGATAAAAAAGTGAAGAATGGGGCTCACTGGCATGTTCAGGAGGTGGTGGTGACAGAAAAGGAGCTGCGGAACAAGTAAGTTCCTTTTAATACCTTGTAAAGAGGGTTGAACTAATTTCAGAGTGTTTTCCCTCTGCTTACTCTATTATTGCATTTTAGCTATATTCCAATTGCTAATACTGTAAGGTACATACTGCGCACTAATCTAATTTGCTAACTAGTATAAGACGTTGCCTGGTTAGTACACAAAATATTGACTGAACCATTTTGTAGTAACAGGAAGTAACAATGTAGCTTAGCCAACAAATGTGAGGCTACTCAGGAACTACAATGTAGTTCAAACAAAAATAGTTTTATTCCAGGACTTTGTTTTTGGTTTTTTTTTGGAAAGTTTTGGTCTAGCCCTAAGCTTTCCAGATGGTTATTGGCCATGTGACTTTTGATTTTAGCCTCAAACCCAGAGAAGCTATCTTTTTAAATGAGAAGCAGCCTACCTGAATCTTAAACAACACTACATAGGTCATTTGTTTAGTCATTAGTCTTTATATTTTGTGAATATTATTAACGTTTACCTTGATTGTCCCAATAGAATTCTGAAAAATGTATTCCAGGAGCACCTTTTAAAGCACATTCACAGAAATATCCCAAAATAAAAGAATTACACTTGGTCAAAACTCACAGAACAGAAACACGTGTGTTTATTGGATGTGATTCACAGTTTTTAAAGTACAGTAATTATTAATATAAGAGCAAGTGAGCTTATTAGTGGGTCTTGTCCTGCTACATGCCATAGTTTGTCGCCAAAAAGTTTATTGTTTATTGTTTGTATTGTCGCTATGGAATACTGTAAGTTTTGCCCACAGTAAATTTTGCTACTGTGGTGCTGTTAATTTGAAATATTTCTTATAATTGTTTTTATTCACATGATAATTGCTCCGTGAATTCAGTAGAATTAGTGTTTACTGTTCTAGAGCACAGCATCTGAATTCAGCTCATAAAGGTCTTTAGTAATTAGCTGATGAGTTGAATTGGGTGTGTTTAATGAGGCAGAAGTCTAAACTCTTTAGTGCTGTAGCTCTCCAGGAGTCTGACAGCTAGGATTGCCACCTGTCCAGGATTTCCCTGGATTGTCCAGGTTTTTGATTGCCTATCTAGGAAAAAATAGAAAATGTTCTGGAAACCAAGCATTTTCATATGTTAGTACTTGTACTTATATTTTATGTAGTTAAACCATTTGTATGCAAATAATGTGTTTGATTAGTTCAGATTACCCTCAATGAAGGGACAGTTGCTTTGGAAAGGTGCACTGCTGGTAACATGTTTAAGCAATAGGCAGCACTGCAATGCAACATCTGAGAATATTAAGTTCTGTAGCTGAACTGCAATCTAGCTTAGTCACATTGAGTACAGCTACCTGTCCACTGAATTCAAGCCACTAATAGAGTGTCCAGGAATTTTATAGTGTTGAGGTGGCAACCCTACTGACAGCCCATCTTGTGTGGTTCCCTCACTCCTCTACAGGTATGTTTTCCACTGTGATGCGCGCATCCCTCTCACTGCAAAGAAGGACGAGTTCATGACCTTCGAGTGCACCAAGTCCATTGAGAGCTTTGCCAGTAAAGTCCGCAGCCTGGTGCCTGTCAAATATGAGATCATCGTCATCACCGGTGATGTGAAGGGAGCGGGCACAGACGCCAACGTCTTCATCACCATCTACGGAGTCAACGGAGACTCAGGGAAGCGCGCGCTGAAGCAGAAATTCAGAAACCTGTTTGAGAGAGGTCGTACTGACCGCTTTGTTCTAGAGATGCTGGACCTGGGTGACCTCCTCAGAGTGAAAGTGGAGCATGACAACAGTAGCCAAACCCCCGGCTGGTTCCTAGAGTGCGTAGAGATCACAAACACTGCCAACTGGGTGACCACTATCTTTGTCTGTGGGAAGTGGCTGGACAAGACTAAAGCAGATGGGAAAATCGAAAGGGTCTTGTACCCCAAATACTGACAATTGTACCCTTTTTGGCAGATTTTTCATTTTTATTTATTTATTAATTTATTTAGATCAGTACTTTTGTTTATTTTCAGTTTGAAGCAGGTGAATGAGTTGTATTTGTACTTTTTTTAAACTGCAATGAAGGCCAATGTTTCAGAGAAAGCAAAACAGCTTACATCTAAATAATGTTAAGACCCATTTTGAAGCATTTTAAACATTTTATTTGAAAAACACATACAAAAAGGTCATATACAAGACAAGAAATTAAAAAAGAAAGAACAGTTTGGGTTAAGCTATGCAACTTTTTGCATCATTAGTAATAAATACAGTACAAAATCCACCAAAAGTGAATCTAAGTGTTTTTTTTCTTTTTTTTTTACGCAATATACACTTAATCTAGTTATCGTACATGATGATCATCGAGCTATTGCTTAAATATTGTCAATACATATTTTTTTTCTACTTGACTATAAAATATTAATGTCAGAAAACATTGCGCAGTAACAGCAACAGCAGTGTCTTATACAAAGATAGCCACTTCCCTTTCACTGGCAGGTTATTCAATATTTTTTTTTTCTTTTTTTAACGTCAGCAGCAGAAAAAACATCAGAAAGATTTATGGTAAAATATTTTAACATATCTATCCATTCTCATACGTATATTAAAACCTGAGAAAGACATGCATTATAGAGCTTGTGCTTTAGGATCTACTGTTCATTCTGTTTTGCGAAACATAATACTATTGCTGTATGTCCAAAATCTGCTAGGGTGGTGGAGCAAAGAATAAAGACTTTAAGGCTGGTGAGGCAAATCATAGGACATGGCATGTCTTCACTCGAATCGTTTTGTCTGCAAATAAATAGGGAATCCCAAGTGTTTGTTAACGCAACCAAGAAAGAACGCCTTGTATAATGGCCTGTGTCAGTGTCCCATGTGGCACAAACACAATGAAGCAGGAAAGTGGTTTGCCGTCTTCGTCTGAATTTCATCCTTAAATGAATCTACCATGTTGTAGTGTTTCGAAGTTGCACCTTTAAAGAAAATCAGTGGTGGAAGTTCACTGCAAAATATACTCCCCTAGAGAAAGGTCCAATAATGACGTTTTTGATTTTGTCCATGTCTTTACATTAAAGTATCAAAAGAAAAAACAATGGCCATCTTAAATGTACTACAATTAGCGATAGATACATCTTCAGACAGTCATTTAGCTCCAGACCCTGTTACGAAGTAACAAAAAAAAGGTTTTTAAAAATGGGAGTGACTTAAAATAAAGTCATGTGGTCATCACAAACATAAGCGTCAATTGATGTGACCGGTCTCAGTGTAATATAAATCCAGCTAATGTAAAGCATTAGGATGACTCATGGCTAATCACAGTACATCTCACTCTGCACTAAGCTGTGTTGTAATATGACCTTTTTTTAAAATGTCAGATCACTAACCAAGTTAGAAGAATTAAAGTAAAGAGAGCATGGTGCACATTTTTCCAAATGCCAGTGAGAGGGTAGCCAAGCCGAGAGTGCAAAATAGGAGATACATGCAAAACATTTCCAGTCTAAAGCGGTTTTGTCTACTAGATCACAGCTGAAGAATTCTTTGAAATTGCATTAATGGAATGTAACCAAATCCACAGCACCACACACTAACACATTTCAGCACACCCTTTTTGATATATTTTTTTTCTCGTTTTGTCTCTTTTTCTCCTTTTAAAGTACAAATGCATGCAAAGCACTCCCATTAAAGTATGCACAATGAGGTATTTATACACGTTATGTCTATGTAAATAAATAAACAGATTAAATCAGCAAACTAAATCAAAACTTAAATACGCACCCATAGTAGCTAAAGTTAGTCATAAATTATGATTGTTAAATACTTAAGGCATTTTTTGACGCACAACATCCTGTGTAAACTATAGAATGCTGGACACAGGACATGAGAGAAAAAAAAAGATTGCTCCGTACCCTCTGAAGTAAAAACGGACACTGATGCCACAGAAGGAAGCTCAACGGACGTAACACTGCTCACACATAGAAAAAAAGGCTATCAAGGGTCAGCGACACTAAGCTCTCACTGAGACAATCATAACAGTAATGCCAATTTGTGATGAAAGTGAAAGCAAAAAAAAGGTATGAAAGCCTGTTTCTGCCAAGTAGGAGAAAAAATCCTCCTTTTATTTCCTTCTCTGCTTCTTTGTACAGTTTGCGAAAATCTTTACATATTTTGCAGAAAGCTCTCAAAGTGCTCGATTTATGACTGAGTTATTTTTTGAGATTTTGAAATACTATGTTAATAGTTCTCAAATTGTCTGTCAATTTTTTTTTTCCAAGGGTCTCTGGGCTAGCTGAGCATTTTTGCCCGGGTGGTTGGAGGGGGGTTAACACATGCTATTATTGGTTCATATCAATTTCCTCCCCTGCTGGTGTACGATGATGTAATTAAAGCTCAGAAGATGTTTTAGAGGCAGGCAAAAATCGTTTTGATGAAGGATTACGAAGAAACAAGAATTGTGTCCTTTACATGTGACATTATATGACAAATCATGCAAAACAGAACCATAAACTAACAAGGAAAAAAGAGTCAACTTTAATTTCAGGTTGACTTTAAATCTATTTTGGGATAGGTCATTACACTGATAATAAATCAAGATTGTGAGAAAATAAGTCATTATTTTGAGCAAATAAACAATAAGTCATTCTTTCAAGGTAAGTCGAATTGTTGACATTACTGCTTCCAAAACCAGAAAAGGAAGGAAAAAAACACATTGTTTTCTCCTCTACCTGGCGGAAACAGGCCTCTATAAAAACGTTCTCCACTTCTTTGCTGCACAGTTCAGCACAATGCTCGAAGTGGACACCTGGGAAAGTTGGCAAAGAACAGAAGCGAGCACACGTCAGTCACTGCATTATGGCATTTCAGTGCATTGTTGTCAAAATTCTCTTCAGAAATGCTACCGAGCCATAAAGTCACATACATTTAAGCGCAACCAATGAGGGTTCAACGAATGCTGTGCATGTAATACAAGTGGAGCTAAATGGTCAATGTCAGGCTATGCTACTGCTTTTTCTATTTTTTGGATGGAGTATACCGTGAGGACCGCAGTGTACACGTTTTAGCACTAGTCAAAGAGACAGGTCACTGAGTGCAAATGCATAAGCAAGGGACGAGAGAAAAATTCACAATCACATCGAAGTCAGGCAACCTCATAATATAGTGCATTTACAAAAATAACAGCTAGCTACATTAAGACAACAATAAATATTATTCCAGCATTGCAGCTACTTATTTGAAATGGTGAGAAGCTGAACCAGCCCCACAGCTAGGTTGGCATAATCATCAATAGAAGGGAAACAAAAAATAAGAAAGAAAGAGGAAGAAGAACAAAACAGGAAGAATGAAAACAATCAACTCAAAAATACAGCTTAGAAAAGTTATGTTTGGTATCTATAAAACAATGGCTTTTCTCCCTTTTCGTCTCCTCCAGAAATGGCAGCAACAGGTTTCATGCACAATATGACGTTAGAGCTGCTTTCTTAGCTGAGTAACTCTACATATACTGTACGTTCAAGCGATACCACACACTTACATTGCTAATGGAAACACTGAGAAGTAGGCTGTTGCTATTAGAATGTGTGCTTGTCCTACAGGCATTAAGGTATACATCTCACTCTTTGTTACGTCAGTGACAAGTTGAGAACACAGTGTCTTCAGAATTAGTAAGATATCTCTCATGCACGAACCGTCCGTCCTATCCGGTATGTTCCCAAAGAAGAAAAACAAAAAACAGAAACAAAAACAAAAAACAAATCAAAAGCCCCGGCCACTCACAGAACATGCATTTTGAAGATACTTTTCTAAGCATGGAGATTTTTCACAAGCACAAATACATACTGTCACAGCTTAAGTCAAGCCTGGCCTTGCTGTCACCATGATTACAGAAAGTACATTAAGCATCACTTCTGATAATTACAGTTAAGGATTGTTTGTTAGTATCATTTCATACAGTTGGATTACTTGACTTGTGAGAACAAGATTATCCTTACATGTTGCTTACTTGGATTTTGTTTGAAATCCACTTCACCTCCCAATCTACTCATTACATTTCACAATAACGCAACGTACCATCCCCGTTCGTGGACTGTTCCCATGTAGTGCTCATTCTGAATACTTTGAGTTGATCGACTGCACTCCCCTACGCCACAGAAGACTGCAGTACATCTGAGATACACGACTGTCTACTTCTAATGTTTGGAAATTTAGAGGCTCTCGTAATATTTACGTCGTAATGCAATATCAACTCTAACATTGTGAGGGAGGAAAAAGCTTTAGGTTATCTGCAGTCGAGATCATCCAGGAGCTGCGCTTACTGTCCTAAATACACAGAAAGGTGCATGCAGGGGACCTTGACAGGATCTCATTGACAGACTCAGCAAAAGCCCACTGAAGTCCCACTGAAAGCTGCCTTGGACGCTCGCACAGATCTGAACATTCTTTCTCCATGAATCCTCCCGCTCCTTTCCATTTTCGCTTGCGTCGTGGTTTGTCTTTAATCCTACCTGCTTCACGTCTTCGGTTGGCTCAGAAGGCAAGGTCAAAGGTGAGAGGTGATGGAGAGACAGACATTTGGCAAAGTACCCAAGAAGGGATAGGGAGAAAGGGCAGGGTTTTCACCGGCGCTACAGAAGACATCAGCTGTCCGGAGTCAGCTGCGTCTCAATGTCCACCCTGCAAATGGGACACTTCTTATTGGTCGCAAGCCACTGGTCCACACAGGCCTGATGGAAGAGGTGCATGCAGGGTAATCTCCTGATGGGGGAAAAAATACATTAGGTTAAATCATCCTGCTGAAGCACAGATAGAAGCAATTATGCATCAATGTAGAAAAAATTAATAGGGATGTCCTGATCTGATCTGAAAGAGTGAAAAAATAGTGGAGCTGATCAAAGCATATTTTCATAGTTTAACACTAGCCGTAGTAGACCCTATGCCATTCTGAGCTTCTATTATAGGGACATTCCAAGATTTTTTTTTTTAATATCTGCATAACTAAGTGGTTAAGATGTGAGCTAAGTCATTCAGAGTGGTTTGCCTGTCTGGAATGCCTGTAAAGCTACCTTACACAAAGTTTTACACGAAATGGTTACAAATATGCTGTCTCATGCCTGAGACATTGTTTTACGATTGCTTTGAGGTTTTGTCATGAAATATATTTTTACAGTACATCAGGGCATTGTACGGCAAAATAGAACCCAAAGATTTACCACTATTTCACCGTTACCAGCATTACATATAAGAGCTCAGAAGGGTCGCTGGTTGTTTTGGATAGTAAATAAACAATAGATATCACAACCCCTGGTTCCTATCAACACTATTGTAAAGAAATCAGATTCAGGGAGTTTCTCTATAATGAACCCTTTCACATCAAAACACTCTAAAAGGCTGTTGTTTACATTTCATTGCCTGAATTACACAGAAATTGGCAAAAGAGTGTAAATGTCTGCAGTAAATACCTTTTTTAAAACAAAAAAATGAAAACAGGCCCACAGCCACTTTTTAATGTCTGCAGTGGTCCTGGTTCAACTGACTTTCATGAGTGGAACATTTTATGTACAGAAAACAAGTATACAGCTATTACAAGCTGTTAAATACTTAGCTGTAGCAGCACATTCAAATGCAAGAGAAAGGGCTAAGCCACTTTGTTCAACTGGAAATATCAAACTACCACCATAAGATGGTCATTTCAAAAACAGTACACAAAACACATGATATGTATCACTTATAAACAGGGGGGCCTACACTTTTTGTCTTGTGGGGCAAAAGTGCAGTGTTTATGGTGGACTGAGGGCCAAAAACATAAAATAACAAAGATTTCAAAAAAAAAATGTTTGTTACTAAAATACTTCACAAATACAATTTCAAAAGTAAAATAAGAATTTAATAAGTTATATATAGTATAAAAATTATGATTTCATTAACTTTCTGGTGGGCTGAATCAAATGTCCTTACAGGCCACACTTTGGGCAGTCCTGGTTTAAAATACATCCCACAGTGCACATACTGTACCATTTTACAATAAGAGTTTATTAATGTTTTGAAGAATTAGTTTATTAATGGTTATTAATTAGGTCTTAAACACCTTGAAAATCATTATTAAGCAGTTCATCCATAAAAAGAGCAACCTGTTATATCTGATGAATATCTGTATAAGCTAACAAGTATAATGCTGGCTGATGGAGAAGACAATGTAAGATAAGTAACCAACAAGATCTGATGTTAAAAGTATAGATTAATCATTATTTGTCCTATTTATGCTATTTATACTATTTGGCAAGCAACATGTTACTGTTGCCCTTTTTATTTATGTGTCATAACTGTCTATTATGGTTTTATGGTGTTCATGACCTATTTAAACCATAAACAAATTTTGAACCTTTCATAAACTCTTTACAAGGGTAGTCTTGTTGTAAAGTGGTAACACACATACAATAACAAAGTGATTTCACAGTAGCATTTTATAGTATTTGGCATTTTATTTGCAGAAGAGGTAATTGACCTAGCACCTAGAACTTTAATTTACTTTAAGTGTGCACTGTGCAGCTGTACTTCCCACAAAAATCCAAATACTGGCTCGGGACTTGGTACTGGCAGATACTCAATGCCAAAATGCCTAGATTGGGATCAGGGGCAAAACAACCAATCAGGACATCCTCAGCAATAAATACACACATGCAAGCTGCTTAATAAAAGATATCAAGTTGTTAACTACCTCACATCCTCTCCATCCTCAAGCATCGACAGACATATTGTACACTTCTCGTCTGTGTCCAGCTCATCCTCATCCATCCCTATTTTCAGCTCCAGTGGTCTTCTCTATAGAGAGAGTACAGGATCAAAATTATATACAGAGGCACTGCAGTGGAATCAAACAAAGACTGTTATGGGATATGCGCATCACTAGGAAATGTTGGAACAACTGAAATAATAACAATATGAAAACAATATGTAACCAAAGCTGAATGAGTTCCTGGTGAAAGTAAATGTAATTCAAATAGGAACTGTTTAAAGGGAACGTTGTTGAATTTCATACGTACATATCAAAGAGAGAAAGAGAAAAAATATCCCTGTAGAAAGAAAGGATCCTCTGACCAATAAATAATCCACCACTAAGAAGGAAAGAATTCCTCATATCCAATCCAATAAATATAAAGATGATGAAAACTATACTAAAAAGCAGAAATATCCTCCATGTTGATTATAACACTATCTCCCTTTTTAAGAAACCTCCACTAATATTCTACAGATTATGAAAACATCAAAGACGTACTAGTTAGAATTGATCTGCTGGACTGTTGCATGAAACCAATCAAGATGTAGCACAGCAAAGCAGATGGGCAGACGTTTAGCGTTGTGCTTGTTTTGGCCAGCAGAGGGGGCTGGCTGCTGCAATCTGCTGACCACTTATAAAACGGATAGTTCCGGTCCTAAACTCTGATTAGCTCAGCCGCAATCAAAGCTGCTGTAAAATACACAATATACGCCCGCCTATGACCGCATCACAACAACTGAATTCTGTATTACTGTGCCACATCACAAAAACCTGTGTTTTTCTTCATGTATGCCGTTAATAGAATAATCTTTGACTCCCATGCTGCTCACAGGGACCCCCGTATGTATTGATGCAGTAAGAACCTGTTTCTGTTTAAACTGGGGAGCTGACTACTTAGTGTCTTAACTAGAACAAGGCTGGTCAGCTAGCTAACAGGCTAAAAGATAGCAAACATGCTAAACAATGTCATCAATAATACCACAGGCTTGAATTAAAGTACTCACGATTCACGGTAAAACGGCAATATAAGATAAGACTAAAGAATGTCACACGAATGGCTTACATGCTTAAAACGTCCATGTTCAAAGGACTATTTTTTAGCTATATTATGCACTGTTGGGACGCAGGAGCCAGTATTTCAATTCCTATGTAGTTAGTGCACTGGCTACATAGAGAGCAGGGAATTATTTCAGACTGAGCCCCAGTGTCGGAGAAGGGGCGCCGTTGGATTGGTGCTAAATAAGACTCGCTGTGTTAATTTGGCGACCAAAAAGTACCTACAAAGCAAAAGTTTTGCTGATTTGACAGCATATACACTGATGGGCGACCGAACGCTACTGATGGATTGTGGACTCAGAAGTGTACAACATCATTTTAAATGTAAACCTGCAGAAGTGAGCCAAGAAACTTCTCAATCGACAAAAGTGGAAGGATCTCAAACAGTCCAGCTGCTTAGTGAAAGGTCTCGGAAGGGTCTGTTTACAATAAATGCCACTTGGTTTGACACCTAACACAATGAACTCACAATGAAACAATGAAATGCACTTTTAAGTATGGCACAAGTGTCCAAATATGTTTTGGGGCCACTATATATGTATAGATTTTTTTCCATATGTTTACTGTATTCTTTATATTCTTGTTTATTCTGACACAGAAATGTTCTCCTCAAATGCTTTAACAAACATTAGTCTAGAAAACTAATACAAAGGACACACATCAAGATTACTCTTTGGAATTTTGTGTACTGTACATATACATTTAATTCCGCTGAGCTCACCTTTTTGTACTTATGAGGGAATGTAAACCGCTCAATGGTGGTTTGCACAGCCCCTCGGTTCACATTACCGAGCCTGTCTTCCAGCTGTAAAAGCTCCTGTAATTAAAAACACATGCATTCATATTTTCTCTCTTGAAAGCATTGTTCTTTTATACAAGAAGGCTTATAGAAGAAAGTTTCAAATAACCATCTACAAAAAGCTGAAGCGTAGCCATATTTTGTCAACAGTTTCTGAAAAGCAAGGCCTTTTATTGAAGCTTGTGTTTTGTAAATTAGTTGATCCATTAATAAGTACCTCTCCTGGCTGAATTAAGAATTGTTTAGTGAGAGATGAGGCGAGTCAGGATGGAATCTGACAGTACCTCGTAGCTTTCCCGCACAGCGGTGGCATGGCGAGAGGGATTGAGGCCTTGCAGGGTCAACAGATGTAACTGCGGATATGGGTAGTTTCTGATCTCATGGACAACCTGTAAAAAAACAGCACCGTTAGATAATCTGAATCTGGATTACTTCTAATGTAATTCAGTTGCTGTGGGATTGAGATAAACATTTCTATGAGCCTGATCTCATAATCTGTTCCACAGATTTAGATTCATTCTAACATTAGAGATTGTGGGGATTATTTACCAAAAAAACTGCAAATCTGCTAAAGCCATCACAGTAGTGGTAACATTTCCTTCTCAGTTTGCATATTCTCAATTCGACCTGAATGGTCTTCACTTTATGTTACTAGCTTAATTCATTAAAACAGATCTAAGAGGCATACCACTTGTGCTGAGGATGCGTTCCTGGGGAAATGGTGCAGCCTGGGAGAGGCCAGGTAGTGCTGATAGTGCTGAGGGAGCTGAGGGACGTGGTACTGTGGGTGAGGCAGTCCAGGGTCCACACTCAAATCCCTGAGAAGAGAGGTGCAATCATTCAACATGATGTAAAGAAATTCTCTTCCTTTGTTCAAATATCCTCTGATACTTACATGGAAACAACTGCTAAGCAAATGGTAATAGAAAAGGATGAAACAATTCTGCTTTGAGGGCCCATATCATGGGAAACCCTTGTTTTCCTTGTTTTTTAGAAATAAAAGAGTGTGTAGATAATATTAGAGTTTCAAAACATATCATTACATACAATCCATACAGTCCATGTATGAATACTTAAGCTATAAAAACAGCTAATTTTGAATTCATTATTTTTGTGATGTCACAAAAACCAGCACCTGTTTAGCCTACTGCCGTTTGGCCCTGCCCATTCACACTGTAGTCATAAGGAGTGTTTCAGCCCAGACTGCATTTGGAATGAGGCACAATACAGGATATCCATTCAGAGCAGTAATCATTTACATATATCACTCTTAAAGGCACACAGAATATTTCATTCTAAGGGAGGTTGGAAAAGTGTAAATGTAATGAGCTATTTCATATAGTAGTAACATAGTAGATGCTAATAGTTGTGTTGTCATTAACATAATCATTCATGAGGAATGGGCGTTTGTTTCCCAGTATCTAAACTCAGGACTAGCTTTCTTTCTAACCTATTTGTAACTAGCAAAGATACTTTCTCTAGATAGACAATGCAGCTCTGGATAAGAGCGTCCACTAAATGCTGTAAATGTAAATGAGGAACAGTACTTCACTAAAATGACAGGGTGGTGACAAAGAGAAAAAATAAAGCCATTTTCCAGAAAAAAAGCAGAATGTGTAATTACCAATCTGTTCCTTCAGCAAGGTAGCGTGGCTGCTGTGGGACAGGTGGAGGAGGAGGGACATGGATAGAAGGGGCGTATTCATAGGGGGGGCGCAGCGTCTGGGGATGGTGGGGCGTTCTCTCTTGGGCATGTCTGCTTGAAAGAATCAATTCCAGTTTGATTATTGTTTGGTTTCTCTTTTTTTTTTCTCAAAATTCCAGCATAATTCAGTTGTTAAGATGTATCCAAAGAGTGTTTTGATGTGAAATGGCACATTGTTGAGAAATTTACTGACTCTAAGATTTCTTTGCAGTGGTGGTGATAGGAACCAGGGGTTGCATTGTCTACAAGGCAAATATAGCCATTCTGTTTGCTTTTGTTAATTTGGAAATATTAAGCTTTCTTTAAGGACTATCTTTCCTGACAACAACTTGCATGTATCTTTCTGCCCTGCATGTACAACCCCAATTCCAAAAAAGTTGGGATGCTGTGTAAAATGTAAATAAATGTAAATAAAAACAGAATGCAATGATCTGCAAATCCCATATGTTATTCACAATAGAACATAGAACACATATCAGATGTTGAAAGTGAGACATTTTACCATTTCATGAAAAACATTAACTCATTTAGAACTCGATGGCAGCAACGCATCTCATAAAACTTGGGACAGGGCCATGTCTACCATTGTGTAGCATTCCTGCTTCTTTTAACAAGTCTGTAAACGTCTGGGAAGTGAGGAGACCAATTGCTGGAGTTTTGGGAGAGGAATGTTGTCCCATTCTTGTCTGATGTAGGATTATAGCTGCTCAACAGTCCTGGGTCTTCTTTGCTGGATTTTTCGTTTCATGATGCGCCATATGTTTTCTATTGGTGAAAGGTCAAATTTAGAGAGTACTGCTGTGTAAAACTTGATCAGAGTCTAGCAAGTGTCAAATGAGTCCACAACATCATCACAAACGTCTTTTCAAATTTTGATTCATCTGACCACAGAACAGTTTTCCATTTTGCCTCAGTCCATTTTAAATGAGCTTTGGCCCAGAGAAGACGGCGGTGCTTCTAGATTGTGTTGACATATGGCTTCTTCTTTGCATGATACAGCTTCAACTTGCATTTATGGATTGAACGGCAAACTGTGTCCACAGACGATGATGTCTGGAAGTGTTCCTGAGCCCATGCAGTGATTTCCAGTACAGAATCATGTCTGTTGTTAATGCAGTGCCCGAAGATCGCGAGCATCCAATATTGACTGTCTGCCTTGTATACCTTCCAGATTCTCTGAATCTTCTGATGATATTATGTACTGTAGATGGTGGAATATCCAAAGTCTGTGGCGGCACATAACAAAAACACCACTGGATGATCGAGAAATCTGACCGGCTCCCTCTGCATTAAAGCCAGGTTTGATCAGGAGTCACAACACAAATGATAAGAAGAGCCATTTTGTCATTCAACAAAAATCAAACCTGCTTTGCTCTGCTTTAAGCTTTAGCTATAGCCACTTTTCTTCCATCTCCGCCAGAAAACCGTTCCACCTTAAATTCTGACTGAGGCGCCGAAGGTAAATGCGGCACCATTTAAGGTGGAACGGGGAAGAAAGAGAAGCGACTTCATCTTCGCAACATTTTAGTGTGTGACAGTCTCTCGTTGCAGATTTAATGTATCAGGAAACCAACTGCGTTGCTTATAAATGCGAATAAGTCCATTCATCTCCAAATGTTCATCTGTCTTTCTCTTTTTCCTTTTTCATTCGCTACTAGGTGACCTGCAGTCTGCAGGCCAATTCTGAGTCGTTGAGAAACAGGTCTTTTGCACACGCCCCTTCTCAAAGATATTTTACTGACACTTTCACCTGTATTTAAATCAAAACAGTGCAGAAACAAGATACAGTATCTACTGTTTTACCTTATCAGCTTCACTGGATTTTGTAAATGTACATTGGTTCTGAAATTAATGCCTGCAACACTTTTCAAAAATTCAAAAATTGAGACAGTAATTTAAGACTAGGGACTAGGAATGTTGTGAAATGTTCAAAAAAAATCTTAAACAGGGGATGACATGAGCTTGGCTTGTCAGTAAACACAGTTGATCACTACATCCATAATTGCAAGTTAAGACTGTACTGTGCACAGCGAAAGCTTATGTCCACATCATCCAGAATGCTGCTGACTTCTCAAGCTCATATGAAATGGACTGATGCACAGTCACCTTTTCAGATTGTTTATAGAAATAATGGATGTCATATTTCCAAATCATCAGGATCATCCATATTGTTATCAGCATAGTGTAATGAGTGTATATTAACAAAACACACATACAAAAAGCTCATAACAAAAAACATGGAACTTTTTTTTTTTACTGTTTTCATTTTAATACAGGTAAAACAGGAATTACTAATCACTGCTTTCTGTTTGCATTAGCACTTTAAGTACTGTCACAACTGTTTTGAAACTGGGGTTTGTAGATTAATGTAACACCGTGCCATTTTGTGCCATTTCTGTTGGTCCATTGATCATGAAATCTTCACACTATGAAAAAGGCATGTGGAGTTTTCAAATGGTGTGGGGAAAAAAAAACCCTAGCCCAGGAGTATCACCTACACATTTTAGTGTTTGCCCTGCTTCCAAAACAGCTGATCTGAATGATAAGTTATGCAACAAGCCTTTCCTGAATTGAAGTGGATGTGTCACAGCAGGAAAACACAAAAATGTGCAGGACAGGGGACACTCCAGGACCAGGGACGGAAAGCCATGCATTAAAATAATACATCTGAATGTTAACAAGGTACCCTGATCATACCTGGGCTGTGGAAGGATCCTCCTGTGCTGTGCCTCCAGGATCTGCTGCTGGATGAGGTATTGCTGGTGTAAAGCCTGAGGTAGGAAAGGGGGGCCTTGGATGTCCTGGAACTGTGGCGCTGGCATGTGGCTGAGGGGAGGATGGAGCGGGGCGGCTGGCTGGTGCGTCGGGGCGAGGTGCGGGTTCATCCCCGTCTGAGATTGTCCTGGATGGGGCATTGGGAAGTCAACAGGGATCTGGGCCTGGGGGCCTACGTGGAAATGCCGGCAAGAGGTAGCATGGCTATGCTGATGCCTGTTAAACTGAGATCCTGCAAGAACAACGACACCACATCAAATAACATCGGGCACAGAAAGGCTGATCTTTAGGTGAATGTTTGAGCCCTGTTTTTGTTGTCACCTAGACTAAGTTTGCAGAGTTTCTCTTTAACTAAAGTCCATGATTATGGTAATGGGTGTAATGAAGAATGCAGGGTGAGGCAGAGTGCTTTGTGTAGACTTTACTGGCTTGAAATACTACCAGGGCATCTCGGTGTTAGTTGGCAGCAGTGCGTGTGGTTTGCTTTTGGTTCTCAATGTCGCTTCTCACCTCCCAGCAGCTGACACTTGGACAGATGTGAGTGAGCTACTATTATTTACTGACTATTCCAAGCAGCTAGCCGAACCTCTCAGAGGGAGTTCCTTGGCCAGCTGATGGAGTCCACACCTGCTGCTGCTTCAAGTGCTCTGCTAAATCTATGGCTTTGGCTCAGACTGATTCATCAAGTCTTCATGAGGTGGCTCCAACAGTTGCAGTGGAAAAGCATGCAGTAAAACGTTGTAGTAAAATGTTACAGCAAAAATAATTACATTAAAAGAAGAAATAAAAATAAGGCTGTCCCAGATAACATATGTATGATGGAATACTGGCATGCATTAAAGGGCAATTCCACCATTTTTTCACATTTTCTGCATAATTTAGTGGATGAGATGGACACAGTCATTCAGAGTGGTTTGATATGAAATGGTTCATTGTAGCAAAAATGACAGATTTTAATTTCTTTAGTGGGGGTGACAGGAACCAGGGGTCATGATGTCTACAATGCTAACATAGCCATTTTATTTACTATACAAAACCACCAGTGAACTGACATGTGTCTTCTGAGTTTTTATATGTAATGTTAATAATGGTAAAACAGTGATAAATCTGGGAAAAAAGTTTTTCACCAGCCAAATTCACTGGGGGACTGTCTTGTCTTATAACGTCCTGCATGTATCACTCTGCCTTTAACAGTTCAAAAAAAGTATATATTTTAGGCCAAAATCTTTAATCTTTTGTCTCAAAACTATCATAATAAAGCCCTGCAGGCATAATGCAAATTATTCATAACCACTTCATCTATTTTTTGGTAATGTAGCTTGTAGTGGCATTAAACTGCTTTGTACTTGTGGTTCCTATCACCACCACTGTGAATAATTCTGACTCAGTAAGTTTCTCTAGAATGGAGCATTTCACACCAAACCACTCTGAATGAACTTTGTTTGCACCTTGACAGTTTAATTTACCAGACATGTTGAAAAAAAATCTGTGTAATTTCCCTTTAAGTAAACTAAATCAAATAAAAAGTAAAACTGTGAACATTTAAAACTTGTGTCCGGGTCATGTGTGGGTGTGCTGAAAACACAAAGTGGTGATCTGAAAAAGACACTAAATTAGCAAATAATGACAAGAATTAGCATAGAGCTGAAGCAAAATGTAAGCAAAAATGAAACCCAATTTGCAACTTCTTAACATTTCTGGATGAAGATGTAAAAATAAAATGGTGAATCCAATGTGAATAAACACGTCTACACAGGAGAAATGCATGTGAACCTCAAACGGCATTAGCAGAGTGATAAGCAAGCTATGGCCCATATGTTTTGTTTTCCCCCCACTTAGGGAGCTTCTTGTGCACTCCCAGTCTATCTCCTGCATTCTTCAGAAAAAAGCTGGGACTTCACAAGGGTTCCCCACCCAGTCCATTTTTGTTCTGCTCCAGCTCCCAATATACATGTGTCATGTAATCTAGAGCTGCAAGGCAGTAATTAGCCATTTCTTCTGTTTAAAACTACAAAAACTTGGACTGGTTGTGGTACCAAACACTACATTACAAACCTCCGGGCTATAGCAACAAAACAAAGGCCTATATAGTACTACAAAGAAAGGCATTAATTCCTTCCTTTTATCAGTAAAAAAAGCCTGAAAACTAAAGATGGCATACCAGTTTGGGACCAATATCAGCAGAAAATGCTGGATCAGACATTGGAGGGGGAAAAATAAATTTGACACAATCCTGTAACAAATCTATCCTGAAATAGCACTCACAGTGCGTGATGTGATGTTAGCGGGGTATTTCTTCTGGTGTTTGAGTAGCTTGAACATGACAAACTACTTTTAGATGATCACTTAGGTGTAAAATTAGTTCATTTTAAAGATTAGCAGTTTTTAAAGAATGAACATCTGAGTGGTATTGGCTGACATTCAAGGATTCAATATCTGTATCATAAAAGTGGTATCACGCAGTGTCTACTAAAAACACCTTTACACTGGACATCAAACTGCAGTGAAGGTGATGTGGAATTCTGATCATAAACCACATCCTAGACGTCTGAAACACTTTCACTTTGGCATTTCCTTTTCAATGCATTTCCAAGTCAAAGCCAAGTCTGGACCAGTTCATGATTATTATGTTAGAAACATAATAATGCAGCCACTAATATGAACCTTTACAGAATTAGACTTCATACCTCCTGTTTCTTTCTAGGGATGCACTGATATGGGAATTGTGGGCTGATGCAGATATGCAACGTTTTTCATGCACATATCTGCTGACGCATTAACATTTATAAAATGCAAAATGTGAGACTAGATTAACCTGCAGACACTTTAGCTCAGTACCCCAGCGTCACCCAAATTGGGCTCTTCTGGAGTACAATAAACCTGTCATCAAACGTTGGTCAAATCTAAACATCTGTCCAATGCCAATATTTTTTTTCTGCTGATATGATTCCAATATCATTGTGCATCCCTATTTTTTTTCAGTTAAAGCTCCAAAACAAGATGGCTAAAGACTAAAATAAAATGGTGAACCCAATGTAGGTAAATAATTCTACACAAAAGGAGAGATGTGTGTAATCTGTATAAAGCAAATGTGATTAGAAGCTGTGGCCTGTGTGTTTTATTTCCCCTGTTTAGGGAGGCTTTTGTGTGCACTTCTGGTGTACCTCCTGTTTGACCTGTTCATTCACTAAATTACATTCACAGGAATGAAGACCCAACTACATAAATTGTGAATTCAGGAGGAAAAAAATTAAGCGAAGGCATTATGAGTAAAAGATACTGAAAATATGCTTAATATATGTGCAATGAATTCCACCCGGTGCCAGAATGTCTTCCAAGTGTTAGTGGGAAAAAGAATAATCACAGAGATGGAATGTTTGGATACCTCCACACGCCACAGAATAGGGACATCTACTTTGCATTAGGATCATTTACTGGGAGAAGACTTAAAGGTGCAGTTCAAAATTTTCATAGCCAATACCACATGAAAAATGAATTAGGAATATCCAATTTTCCAAAAAATAAATAAAAATAAAAATTAGTAATTACAGTTCAGTAAATGAGTCAGTACTAAATTCTGCCCCAATGCCTTTGAAATACAATAACAATAAAGAACCTAAAAGGCAAGGGGGTCATCACACTGCACCTTCAAGTGCCTAAATAATCAACATAAATGACCACATATAAACTCATTGAGGCCTCATGATGAAAAAGCAAGGAAATCAATCTATCTTTGTCACAGCAGGAGGGAGGAGGTGGGGGGAAGACAATAAATGGAAATCAGCAAGAAGCACACTGGAGGTTAGGAAAAATACTATATTCTTTATTGAAAAATATTAGTATAGGTGGATCTGTGTCATAATAATAATTCCATGCAACAAATAAAACAACATTGACCAAAGGCAAGGCCCACCATGCTCCGTACAGGGTTAACAGAACAAAAGCAGCATCCAATGAGCAGATGTGTTGGCTACAGCACATTACAGTACAGCAGGGTACATCTTTTCTACAGAAAGATTACATTGGAGTCTAGTCAATGTAGAATAAAATAATATGAATAATGTGATTCATGCATTGAAATCTATTACCAGAACAAAAGGTAGAGAAACCACAACCAAACAATAGACATTTCCACTCTAATAGAGGATATTTGTAGCAGTGCAGGAAATAAACATCCCTGTGAAATGGATAGCATTTTGGAATTTGTTAGTGCAGAGATTGGGTAAGGTGCTTCATTAATTTGAGTGATTTTATGCTGGTATTTATTTATAAGCCTTATTTGAGCTACATTCAAAGCCATGTGGTCTGTGTCTGGGTGATCAACACAGGCGCAGTGTAACAAATTTGTGTGGGCTTTCGTCTTGCTTCTAGTATTTCCCACTGATTAAAAGACTTATTTGAAGCAACATGCATCCAAAATATAGAGATAGCGTTTTTAATATGCCCAATTGGGGAAAACAATGAAGCCCACACACAAAAGAGGGGTACAATGCACCTTTGCGTGTTGGAAAGGGATTGTGCTTTTTTTGGTTCACGAAATTTTAACAGCAAAATGCATCCACTTTACAGGAATTTACACATGTTGACTACCAAGGCTGGATGGGAGGTACATGAGTCACTTCTCTAATGCTACTATATATGGGTTAACTACGGCAACTTAACAGAGAAAGACAAATCTTATTCTAAATGTGTTAGCTATTTTTAGTCTTTAACATAAGGGAGTACAGTCTTGGGTGCTTAAATACCAATGTCGTCTTCTGATGGAAAGAGGAAATGAAGAAGGGGATCACAAAACAGCTAAATGCAGAGAACAGGCAGAGGCCACACCACACAGCAGCAGATGATCATTAGCTACACAATGGAGGGGGGACGACAAAGATCTGATAATGCAGAATGTAGAGCCAGCCTCGATACTATGAGACAGGAAATAAGAACAGAAATAAAAGCACAATGAAATCGTTGATGCCACTCCATGGAAATCAGTGCCACGCTAGCTTTAGTTAACTGGCTAGCTACGTTCACTCAGCTAGCTAGTCAGCCGGGCAGCTAGTAGGACGATGTGAGCAAGCTAAAGCAGAGTTAGCTAGCTAGCTAGGTTCAGCTAGCGTCTTAGTTGGCGGAAATTCTCGCCTGTGTGTACCTGAGAGCCGTGGTCAAATGTGAGCAAATGGTGGATCCGTAGAAGCATAAATATGTAATTAGCAGGCCACAGCCAGGTGCCAATATCGCTACACAGTTCCAAGAAACAAGACAATTTTGAAAAGAGCTGTTAAGCGAGCGAATGTTTATAATATTTCATACAACTAACGTAGCTAGCGGATTACCAAGCTAAGCGCTAGTTAAACAAACAACGCCAGAATGCTGAATAAACGCTCACACAGCGGTCACATAGAAAAGGCACAAATATTAACTCTGTGGACCTTTAGTGCTCTACCAATGACAATTTACATTTGTTTGCTTTTACAAATGAGTATCAGAGGTAACCCAATACGCACGTTCACCAAATGGCTACTATTCAGGCCTTCGATGGGGATTAGCAACGCTAGCTAACTTAACTATCTTAGCCGCGCACGGATTCATATTTTGCAGTATTTTGGAGACCACTGCGACACATGAAACTTATAGTTAATAACAACACAACTGAGATTCAAACTGCTCCTAGTTTACCATCATTAAGTTAGTTCGCCAGTTGATTTAGTATTTCTCATAAAACATATTTGCTAGCTGGCTAGCTAACAGATTAGCTTGCCCTCAAAACAGAAATCAGTCATGCAACGGTTTTTTGAAACCCTCCCTGGCCATTTAGCTTGCTTGCTAGCTAGCTAGCAAGAAGAGGGCAAACCACAATCAGTCTATTTATCACTAGCACACGACCTAAACTGTAACATTACCGCCAAGGTCGATTTGATTTGGCTGGTGAAAGTGGTCGTGCCTAGCTATGTTAGCAAGCAAGTGCTACATTTTCTGAAGACTCCGTACATAAACATTACTCGTTCAAGCCAAGTAAATGGAATAAATACCTCTATTTCGTACTGAGCCGAAAACTGGAAGAACCAGGTATCCAACGTGTACTAACACCATCTTTGAACTCTTCTGATCGTTTAACAGTCTTTAAATAGATGGCTCAAAATACTCTCCACTACAAAAAAAAAGAAATATCTAACGTTACATTCAGGCGGACCGTGCAGTCGCCTTGAGGACAAAGAGAGAGAGCGAGCGGCGGACTGCTGTATGATGAGCACAAAGCTCTGACATGAGGATGTCGCCGCTGTCAGCCACCGCTGGGGGCGCTGCCGGACGGAAAACAGACGCCTACGCTCTTTTGAGTACTCCCACATTTTCAGACATAACATGACAGACAAATACAAGGAAAGGCCAAATTCTCATGCCGAGGTCCATTTTATAAATGAAGTGAAGGCGAAAACATTTTTAAAAGACTCTTAAATGCTTGAACTGAACGTTAAATGGTTGTGAAAGTTTCCAGTCATCGAGGTCATTTAATTAATTGTCCCAACTGTCAAGCCTTGATTTATTATGCCTGGATTTATGGTACAGTCTAGTCCTGTAGACGTTTCGCCACTCATCCACAGAGCTTCATTTCTAATGACTTCATTAGATTCAAATCCTGGGGAATGTTCCCATCATTCATTTGAACTGATAAAACCCTTAAAATGATTAGTTAAGTATCTTCAAGATCAGACCTCATGTCCACTTAACTCAAATTTGTCTATCAAGGATTTTCAAGCCACACAATTCCAAAATTTCTGAATAAGCCAGTCATTGAGACGTAAACAAAGTGACATGTTGCATTGTAGAGAAACTTATCAACTCCTATTTCTTTATAGTGGTGGTGATAGGAACCAGGGGTCACAATGTCTTCAACGCAAATACACCCATGTATTTACTGTCCAAAACAACCTGTGAACTTACCTGTGTCTTCTGAGTTTTTGATAATGGTAAAACAGTAAAAAAAATATGTGTTCTTTAGGGACTATTTTTAATGCCCTGCAAATCTATTAAAATGCATTTTAAGCCAAAACTCTGTCTCAAAACTGGTGTAGAACACTGTATCAGGCATCATGCAGCTTATTTGTAACCATTTTCTGTATTAGTTTTCTGTGAGGTGGCTTTTAGGCTTTAAGTGCTTGAGACATCTGGTTCCCATCACCACCACTGTAAACGATTCTGACTCTGTAAGTTTCTCTAGAATGGAGAATTTCACATCAAACCACTGTATGTATTTACACCTTGATGACCAAATCATGCAGAAGTTGTAATTCCCTTTTAAGTATTTACAAAATATTCAGTACTGACTTTGTTAACCATTCAATTATGCACAAATTAAAAAAAAAAGAGGAATGGGGTGTTCCTCTTTAACTCTGAAGATCTTTGGCCTACACGAGACCTTTTAATTCCATTTTTGCTTCCTAATACCCGACTTCACAGATGCTGAGCTTAGCTTGTTGTTTCATTCTTTTTTTTGGCTGTCATTGAAGACGTCCCTCCAAGAGTAAAAGATAAGTAAAAGGATCCTGGAAAGTCTTTGTGGACACGCCACTGTATTTAGTAAGTGCACTGAATCTTTGTTGGATTCACCTGTTTTTTTTACATAGTCAGGAGTTTTAAACAGCACAATAAGCTTCTCTAGTTGGTTAATTGAATGTACTTTTGAGCAATCATGCAATCAATTTCTTTTTCAGGGAAAAGTCCTCATGTCATGTTCTGGTGATTTTCCACTTTACGTCAATTCCAAATACAGTCTGTAAGACTCAAAGACACTGTTGACTGCAAAGTTTGATGATGGTTAATAAAATCCAGCCAACGTTGCTGAGAAAAAGGGTAATAAACCTTTTTTTTGTTTCTTATATTGCATGTGCAATTTTTTTTTTTTTTAACTATGAACTATAATGTGTTGTTCTGATGAGGCGATTATATAGGCTATTTGGTGTCTATTCCCCAGTGGTGTCTGCAGAGAGTGACTGGGTGACAGTAGGACCACATAGGTCCACATCACAAAAAAGAACTAGTAAGAGTTGACTTTACAGGGCTAACTTGTTCCATTAATATGTCACTTTATATTGTATGACCCACTATAGCCACCTGTATTATTATTATTGGTTTGTTTCAATATCTAAGCCCTCCACAGAGATGTAATTGTACCAGCCAGCATGCATGAGTCACTGGTTTCAGTCCAAGATCATTATTGATTCCCAGTATTCAGAGGTATTATTTTCAGTTTTCTCAGCCAAAATAACGTTACATTCCAAACGTGTACATGCAAGTTCTATTCAGTGCAATGGAGAGCCAGTATTGCCCATTGTGTACGATATATCCCCCAGTTTTATTTTTTAAGTTTGCCCTTTTATGAAGACTCTGAATTCTGTTTACTCTAAATTCTAGGTATAACCCTTCATGAGCAAGCTGAGGGTGACAGTGGAAAGAAAAAATTCCACAGGAAGGCTGAAGAAAAAATTTTTTTAAGAGAAACCAGGATTTGAAGGGAAACCTACATTACAGTTACAGTCAAAGGAGGAATGGGTGAAGTATGAAAGAGCCAAATTGAAAACAAGCATTTGGATGACAGTGAAACGTTTGATTGGACATCAGTCTGTTAGGTGAGTTAAAGGCCGTTATAGAGAAGAAGGGCGGTGAATGGCAAAATCCCATGTTGGAGTCATATCAGTCAGCTTTGCAGTAGTCAGCAAGCTTTGCCAGCTTGTCTGAGGGATAAAAGAAATTGTTAAGCATGCTTGGATAACACAGTCCTTAAGGCAAGATCCATATGATGGTCATAGCATGTTTTTATTTTAACATTAAGAGGTTAATATTTTCTGCTGTCTGCCTGATGTTAAGACAGTATAACCCCTAGAATAAGACACTAAAATCTGTACCAGTTCCAGCTATAATTGTTATACAGTCATAAAGTCATATAAGTTTGAACACACATGGCATGTTTTGTTGATTTTTTTTTTAAATTTAGCACACATTTCTATTCATTTGTAAAATTTAACATATTAAATAACAGAATACATTTGCCATAACCTTTGTAAATGCCACATTTTTATGTTTTATTTTTTTCTCAATATGTTAAATTTAGCAAATAAACAGTAATTGTGCATTAAAATGTGCAGACATTTGTTTTTTGTAGCCTGCAATTGATGCCTGCAACCCGATTCAAAAAAGTTGAGACAGGTGCAATTTAAGACTAGGAATGTTGAGAAATGTTCAAGAAGCATTCTAAATAAATAGACTGTTACCAGTGTAAAGTTCAAAAGCCAGAGTCTATCATAGACTGGGGAGGTATATTGCACACCTGCAAAAGCACCATTAATGCTGAACACATTTTGGAGCAACATATGGTACCTTTTAGACATGGTTATTTCAAAAAGACAACACCAAGGAACATTCTGCACAGTACAGCAACATGGCTGCGTCATCAGACAGCGCGAGTGCTAGACTGGCCTGTCTGCAGTCCAGAACTGTCTCCCACCAAAAATGTATGCAAAATATAACAACAAAGGTCCTGTAGGGTTGCACAGCTGAAGACTTGTATTACAGAAGAATGGCAAAAGATATTCTACTTTCAGAACTGGATCAGTTGGTGTCTTCAGTCCCCAAACGATTATTATGTGCTGTTAAAAGGAAAGGTGATGTAACACAGCAGTAAACATGCTGCTGTCCCAACTTTTTTGGAACGTGTTACAAGCATAAAATTTGGAATGAGCAAATATTTAAAAGAAACAATGAAGTTCATAAGGCAAAACATAAAAATTTGTGTTTTTGTACTATTTTCAATTTCATAGAGTTTACTAAACACTGCTCACTTTTTTTATTTCACCCAACTTTTTTGGAACTGGATTTGTATTCTATATACAGTCAGTTCTGTAATTATTGCCACCCTTGATAAAGATGGGCAAGATGGGCCTTTGTGGTCATTAGCTCAATCTCACAGGAATTTAGCCTAAGCAAACAACATTTTGGCAACAAACACTCAAGGTGGATTTTAGCATAAAAAGAAGGACGGCAATACAGAAAATAATGTCATCCTCATTGTTAAGTATGTAGTAGTGGTAGTGGAGGATCCGGAGGTTGTTTTGTGTTTCCTCCAAAGGCCCTGAGATGTTAGGATACGTGACATTGTGGACTCAGGAGTGTAAGGAGATTTTATATGAATATCTGGTCTCTGCCAAAAAGCCAAAACTGGGCCATCTTCCAGCAGATCTTTATTGCTCTGTATTCTCCAATCATCAAGCATTGTAGGAGAAAACTCATTGCTGTCATGTTGGAAAAACAATACAGCACAAAGTACTAAATGCAGGGGTTCCAATAAAACCAATAGTTGTACTCATTGGTTTTAAAGGGATTTATTGAGTAAATTTATTTAAATTAAGTTACATTTTCTCATATTTTCTTTTTTAAGGGTGGGTATAGGGAACAGAAAAGGTAGAAAATCACAATACATCAGGACATTTTTATGATACACAAATATGCATCACAATATTTAGTTTTTTCTAGGTTTGATAAGTTGCAACAGACCAAAAAAAAAAAACAATAGTGCTCCATTTATACTATCAAAAATACAGTCATTATAGTGATGTACTTCATTGTTTTACACACTGTGCTGCACTACATCCAATTAAGCAAGACCAATTATGCTGCCAGTGTAATAAAACATAAGCTTGGTCAGTGCTGTTTAATATCCACAAGATGCTCAGAAATGTGTATTGTGACATAATGTGACATAATTTATCACGATAACAACAAATATATTATCATATTAACCACCCCTAACTTTTTTTTTCATTTTTATCACTGGTGTCAGTTATTATGGAGCTGACTGTACATGTCAAGTACTGAATTCACTGTATTGTAAATAAGCTGTTATTTATAGTAAGTATGATTACTAACATTTTGGTTTTGACTTGCTACCCGGTCTGCTACTAATACAATATACAGTGTGCTGGAGTTTAACCATTCAAGAGAGTTCTTGGCTACTGGAGACAGAGGTGGCAGGAAAATGTAAGACTAAATATATCAGTATAAAAATATTGGTATCAAATCAGTATAAATTCTTTAAAATAAAAAGAGGGACTTTTATTTATTCTTTTATTTTGTCTTTCAAATGAGATTTTAAAGGGAACCCTGACTGTTAAGTCATGTAAGTCTCTATATGGTGTACATGTCCAATACTATTAAAATATTGTAGAAAGCAAGCAAAGTACTGTTAATTATTAAAAATAGATAAAATCCCTCTGCTAGTAGGTTGCCATTTTTGTTGCAGCATCTCTCTCTCTTTCTTCTACGTTGTGTGAGGAACGGTAAACCATATAACTTATCTAGTTTAACTCAAAGATATCATTCAGACTTTCGCAAAAACATGACATCATCACAGTGCGACAATGGCAGCCTACTTTTTGATCTAATTTGCAGAGAACTTAAACCGGCTCTGCTAATATGTCAGTCAGTTTGCGGATACACAGGGCACACAGAGCGTCTTTGGATGTTCTCGTTTTTCGCACTTTTCAGAGAGTACATCGACACTTATGTTTACAGTAATGCAATTAAAATATTCACTAGAAATTCACTATTTTTCTCCTCCAAGAATACTTTTAAAATAAATTTTAGAATTATTTTAAAATAGTAAACGAGACATTTCCATTTGGTTTATACGCCACAATTTAACAGTACTGGACATAGACGCTGTTTTAAGCCATCCACGCCTTAACAGTAAGGTTCCCTTTAAGCCATCTCCCTCTCACTGCACAAAAGGACTTTTACTTTGAAATCTACATTCGACGTGACTGGAAGTCCGTACTGCTGCTGCTGCCGCTGCTGTGTCTACTTTTCGCCTGAGTAGAGATGGTTTACGGCTTCTCTTGTGTAGAGAAGAGATTATTAACGAAGTCTTTAGTTGTTCACTGTCGTATTTAGAGTCCACTTTCTTGCTTATTAGTCTTTCTGGACGTGCAACGACCAGTCATTCTGCAGAGGAAGACCGTCATCTTTCCAAACTCGAGAGGGCCCGGGCTCGGCTCGGGGAACATCCGTTCCTGTCATGGAAGGTACGACAGGCAGACTAAAGCCTGCTTTACCGGATACGAGGAAGTAGCCTTTACTGTGTACATGATAAGAGATGAAATTCAGCCAACTAGAATGCTGAGGTAGTTTTCTCACAAGTGACATTACAGCCTTTCAGTATCTGCGCATTGAGTCTTGGTGACAAAACCTCAGTCTGCACTACGGCTAAAGGAGCCGGGTCACTCGTCTTTTTACACAGTGCACATTTAAAGTATTCGGACTGATTAGGGGAGAACACGTTATTAGACGGCCATCTATTCATAGTAATTTCTTCTGAGACATATGCAGCTTCCGTCATGATTTTGGACACATTGTAATTTTTGATTCCGCACGTTTCAATGTGTCTTAGCTCGCTATAGAGAAGCGTTGTTATTCTTCCCTGTATTGCGCAATACCGTGTCGTTATTAGACTGTACTCGAAGACTTTTTATTACGTTTTACTGATTTTGATTATCAGTGTGTTGCAGTGGTTCTTGCAAGAGCACTGAATTGACTTTCAGCACTATCTGTGTCTTTTATCAGCAGACTGTCAGGAGAGGTAGAGTAGCCTACAACCTCAGTCAAGTAAAACTATCGTTGCTTTGTAAAAAGCACATAAACGGCTTGCAAAGAAGTACAAAAATACCATCTAAAAAATACTGAAATGCTAAGTAAATTTCAGAACTGCAGTGGAACTTCTTAGTATATCCACCGTCTATCAGCACAGGAACTGAAGTTTGTTTGTTAGGTGCTTGTCTTTGTCTCTTCTTTTTTGCTTATTTTTCTTAGTTTTTTTTCTTTTTGTGGCAAAAATGAAAAATGAAATTAACTTCAAAAGTCTGAAGTATGACCAGTTACAATGCATTACATTTGCTGTCTTCAACATCATTTGATTAACCACAAAAAATGACTAAAATATAACATGTAAAAAAGGACATTTCATATATAAGCAGATGTATCTTGAAAACACAGATACAGAAAATATGCATTGAAAATTTGACTTGACTACATGTAACTGAGTAAGTGTAACTAGTCATGTTCACACAGTTCAGCAAAATGTATGTTTCTTACTTACCACAAAGGAGGTCATGCACTATTACTATAAATCTGTCATGTCACAAAATTGCAACAGGCAAAATAAGAATAGGCCTACAACACAACAAGAGATGATTACAAAAATGCTGTTTGTTGTGAATGCATTTCAAATGTTTGGAAGCCCAACATTAGTGATGGTAGAAACAAGCAAAAAACAATCTTGAAGGTTTTAATTCGAACTTGTGTTTCGAAACTCATATTCTCTGCATCATCATGCACAGGACTCAGCTCATTCCAGTCAAAATTACTTGCCCTTCTCTTGGTTCTGCATACAGTAATACTGATTACAGGTATCTTATTCCTGTGTACTATTGATGACATGAACAGCTGAGAATTAAACCTTTAAAATGAGAATTTTCACACCTTTTTTATCAGTACCATTGGAATGTTTATGTGGAAGAGAGACAGGTTTCATTTTTTAGGGCAGATTCTCAACAACTGTTGAATAATGTGAAAAATAGGCTAAACATAGTAGAAGATATTTTTCCATCTCCATAAATCTGCATATAATACTCATGAAGTGGTCTATTTTGTGCACAGACTTAAGAATGCAATGTCCAGGAGTGAAACTGAAAATGCTGTCACCATTAGCCTCTGTGATGTCAGGTCACGTGCAAGACCTGGATTTAAGCCCAATTTGGTTGGAACCGACTGAATTTCACGATCGGGCAGAATTTCAGCTTTATCGGCCGTCGTTTGCCATGCAGTGTGAGAGAGGAAACGATGCACGATTAACTGCCCAAACGAGCTCCGATTGAGTAGTCGCACGATCGGATAGATTTCTGACATGTCAGAAATTTTGGTGCTTGTCTCACAGTGTGAGCAGCCTCACAAACCGATTTCTCAAAGTCACACCCAAAACCACGCACAATCACAACCACCGCTCCTACACGGACGCAAAAAAGTCCACACTTGCAGCACCACCGTCCGTGTATGCCGACTTTATTCCATTCGACTGAGTTGAATTGCGATGTATAAATAAATAGTGTTGTCTTCATAGAGCTGTAGAGTCTGTAGACCACCTGGTCCTCAGCTTCAGTGTACAGTGTGGCACAACTTAGCAAAGCTGGTGTAGCAGTTTGTCAATGGCTGAATCTGGCTTCTGCACCAAAATAGTGCACTGTTTGTCCAGTATGGAACTGTGCACACATGGCTGAACCTCAGAAGGCTATTTATTAGACATGCGATGCACTTTATGGGTGCAGGAGCAACTATGTGGTGCACTATATAGGGAGCAGGGAGCCTTTTGAGATTCAGCCAGTGATTAGTTATTAGGACATCGGAGGCGCAGTGTGTTGTTTTACATAAAACAGCTTTATTGTAGAGAGAGCTGACTGTAGGGGCTGCATTGCACATGCAGTGTGAGCACCCATATCGCCTCATGTCAGTCGGGTCGAGTGTTTTCGTACAGCGTGTGCACATAAATCGCAGGCTTTGGCCACACGCGAGAGGCGATACAAACATATAGTGTGAGCTGTCACCAAAGAACAAGATTTCTAAAATCTCACAGTGTATGCCTGGCTTAAGAGCATCACTTCCCAAAACCATTACTTAGAACTTTGGTCTCCATGGTCACCAGCACCTCCTGGATCTGAAAGTTCAGTTCTGACCAAGCTCTCATGCTGCTGATTCAGTTGATCAGGGATCTTCTGAACAGATTTATTAGTTGCCTCAGATCTAGATTACAGTTTTAGCAAAGCTCTGCAGGTAGGTAGATCTTGAGTAAAAGAGTTGTGACCACTGATCTAGACTTCAAATGAAGGTTAGTGGCTACACAGATACACATCCATAATAATCAACACTTGTGACTTGGTGAATTGCTAAGCTAAAAAATATGGTCCTCATGTTAGACTTGCAGTCTTAATCTTCTTTTGATTTCCAGGAGATGGGGGCAGCGAGATCAAACAGTGGTGTCTCTCTCAGGTTAAAGGAGCCATTGATGACGATGTAACAGAAGGTAAGAGAAATAGTGTTGTATTCAGCATTTTATCTCATTGCTGGGTCCTCGAGTGAGTGACACACATGGATCTGCAGAACCTTCTGTTTATTTTAAGAGGATATGTACACATTGCAGAACAACAAGAGCCAAGTATGCTCTGAAACCTCATGACCACACACTTTGCATACATTTGCAAAGTACACAGACCTCCTATGCAGTATTATGTTTGAATCCTCTTTGGATTTGGAACAGTTGTAAAGTTGGTGCACCTCAGATATATTATGCCAGGTTATTTATCTGTTGTGTGATTAGCAGACATAAAGCATTAAACACACTGCTTGTTGCCAGTTTAGGGATACCTAGATTTTCAAGATGTTTTTGATAAATGAGCATATTTTCTCTGATATAGTTTAATATATTAAATTGAACATATGTTTTTTTTTTTGTTTTTTTTTGTAAAATCTGCAACACTGAAGCATCAACTGACAAAAGTACTACCTTGGGTATAGTGCCATTTCCAACACATTTTGTCCCCTTGAGCTGAAATTGCATCAGACCTTTCAGTTGTTTAACCAACTTTGTTCAGAAGAGTTTTTAATATGTGTCTTTAACAATAGTTTGGAAAAGGAAACTGTTCTGTTATAATTTAGGTAAAACCTACTCTTCAGACCATAAAAGAGAGTTTGATGAACACAAAGCTGAATGACTTCTTAGTCATATTTATTTATAGAGAACAATTAAAACAAGAGATGTTGCCCAAAGTGCAATACAATCCAATAAAAAAAAAATGTAATTAAGTAGTAAATGTATAGAATAGAAATTAATAAGAAGGCAAATTGTCTCTACACTTCTTGAAGGGCAGTGTTTGTTGCCAAAAGTTTGATGAATTGAGGCTGTGTTTTATACGTAATTGTACGTATTTTCTATATCTTCTCCATTGGATAAGCACATCATGGCACTACCCAGAACCATGGAGCTGGAAACTCAAGCCTCAGAACAGAGAGACAGAGCAGGATATTGTTCTGCCTAGATAGGGTGGAGGATGAGGGGTGTGGTTGGATTTTTATGTTGTGGACTAGATGGCAGTATTTGCAGATGTCTTTTTTCTTTAAAAGAAAGACTGTACATGGTGCTCTTTTCCTTTCAGTGGTTTCCAATTCATACATAGTACTGTACATTTTGTGCACACTCATTTAGACCATATTCTCCCCTCCTTGGTAATAATACAGTGTGAACTTGCATGTATGTGTTAACAGCTGACATTATCTCTGCGGTGGAGTTCAATCATTCAGGAGAGCTTTTGGCTACTGGAGATCGAGGTGGCCGAATAGTCATCTTTCAACAAGAACAAGAGGTAAGAGGTATAATTTATATCAACACCTAGTGACTTTATCATATGTAGGAAAAAAAATGCTTTTGTTACGGCGCTGTGTCATGGGCATTATACAGTAGCAAAAAGTGCATCAGTCAGTTAGAGGTCTGCACAAGCATTAATTAAAGCCTGAACTTGGCATGTATCCACGACTTAGAGACCTGACCTTACCAGGCCCAAATGGTACGGCCAAATTTGAAACCCAAACCTAACCTAAACTCGCATTGCTGCGGAACAGCTGCATCCACGTTAAGTGTTTTGCTGAAGAGACAACCTGCCAGTCCTCCTGCTTGAAGTGCTATCACTAGCTCTACATCAGTGCTCACCATCCGTGATCCTGGAGATCTGCCTTGGTGTGAAGTCTAGTTCCAACCACAATCTGCCCCACCTGCTAATTAACTTCTTCAGAGGTTCTTGTTTTGCTGGCTCAGATGCATTAGTGTTAGGTAATGGGAGGAGTGGCATATTGGATACAGGTTCGAGCTAAAAAAGTTAGAGAAAAAAGCACACTGAAATATGGTATCCATGCACTGCTGCGAGTCACCATGTAAAACCTGAAATAATGATTGCAAGTCAGAGTTTTTTGGAACATATCATACTTTCTTTATGTATTAACGTCACACACCCAGGCTTAAAGAAAGTCCTGTTTGATGTTTAGGTCTCCAGTGCAAAATCCATGTTATACAAATGAAGACATAATGACAATAGTAGATAATACACGTATCTTCTGAGTTCTCTTTGAATGCTCTTTCAGCGCCCTCACAATCATCAGATTCATCTGCTCGCGGAAGGGGTCCTCAAGCTAACTCAAGTCTGATGTTGTATGTAGAAAATTAGCCCAAAACCTCTACATCAACCACTGAACGTGTGTGGGGGGGGAGCTATTACTTTCCCACCACTACTGATTGGGTAGTGATTGTGCGAGCTATGTGGTTGATGAGTGGTTTGATATCTGTGGCTCTCCTGTCGTTTTCTTCAGAGTAAAACCTTGCCACAGTCTCGAGGAGAGTACAACGTCTACAGCACCTTCCAGAGTCATGAACCAGAGTTTGATTATCTGAAGAGTCTGGAAATTGAGGAGAAGATTAACAAGATCCGCTGGCTCCCTCAGAAAAATGCTGCTCACTTTCTGCTGTCAACAAATGGTGTGTACATGGCTAAAATTGTTCTGACACTGCAGACTTGATCCATGTTCTTCTGTGCGGTGTACTTTTGGTTCAGCGTTTTGATTTAAAACCAAGGGTCACCAAACCAGTTGGAGATCTACCTCACTAGACAGTTTAGTTCTGGCCCTAATCACCCACATCTGCTTCGGACAATCATGTAGGGCATTTATGAGCTGAAAGATGTGAATTTGGGGTTTAAACTGAGCTTGATAGGAAGATAGATCTTCATCAGAATGTTTGGTGACCAATGTTTAAAACCTTGGATATGCATCAAAGTTCTTCAAGGGGAAAGCAAATAATGAAATATATGCTCTGTCCTGAGAATTGAGTCACTGCTAGTCATGCAGAAGAGCAATAGAATAGTGCAGATTTCATTATAGTCCCCCAGTTACTATAATGAAATATTTATGTACTCAAATGTACAGATAAAACCATAAAGCTGTGGAAAATCAGTGAACGAGACAAGAGACCAGAGGGCTACAACCTTAAAGAAGAGGATGGACGCTACAAGGATCCTACATCTGTTACTACACTACGGGTGTGTACACAGGCATAGTTGCATATTCACTCTACTTTTCTCCTGTCATTCTCAACAGTATAGACTGTTTTGTTTTTTTTTGTTGTTTTTTTTTAGGTGAATTCATTGATCTTGTCCAGATTAAGGCCTCTGCAAACTGTGATATCTGCAGCCTTACAAATTTAGTTCCGACTGTACAAGATGATTGCAATAAACTTTTGGCACACTTCTGTGGCAGTATTGCGCGTACTGCTATGCAAGAGAATGATGACATTGGGCCTTATTCACCGATATCCTCATAAGTTTTTTCTTGAATTTGTTCTTGAGAAAGGTCCTAAGAAAGAGTCTACAGCAGATTAATGATATCTTCTTAAACTGCAAAATTGTGCTCTTGAGTGTGCATAAATTTTATTCTTACTAAAGAACAAATCCTACATAAGAAAACGGTGAGTGCATTTACATGCACTTTAAAAATATGATATCTGCAGAAAATCCATTTCTAGATTCTGGACATGTATATGAAAAAATATAAGAAAAAGTATCAGGAATCAGTATCAAATTTAAGGTATCAGTATTTATATCAACAGTGTTTGAATGAGCTACTTATGTATCTTTAGATAGTATAAAGTAAAGTTTTGAATGTAAATGTGCATGTGTGATGCAGTTTGTCTTACACAGGTTCCAGTGTTCCAGCCCATGGATCTGATGGTGGAGGCCAGTCCTCGGCGGGTCTATGCCAATGCACACACCTATCACATCAACTCTATTTCAGTTAACAGTGATAACGAGACCTACCTGTCTGCAGATGACCTACGAATCAACCTGTGGCATCTTGACTTTACAGACCGTAGCTTCAGTATCCTTCCTTTGTGTGTGTTTGTGTGTAGGATCTTAACTTTGTTCAGGGGCACATGCAGATTAGCACAAACTAAAACTGACCCATACTTGACCAGCTAGCAGAAGGTGCTGCCATCCATTTCTCTTTCTGTATTCAGCCCTTTAACCACTGGTTTCTCTCAGACATTGTGGACATCAAGCCAGCTAACATGGAAGAACTGACTGAAGTGATCACAGCCTCCGAGTTTCACCCTCTACAGTGTAACACCTTTGTCTACGGCAGCAGCAAGGGCTCTGTGCGCCTGTGTGACATGAGAGCAGCTGCGTTGTGTGATAGACACTCAAAATGTAAGAGACACTTTATACTTGGGCACAGAGCCGAAAGCCCAGTCTTTTAACAGGCTAGTTCTGTCTCTCAGTCTTAAAGCAATAGTTTGGCAAAAAAATCAAATTAGCTCTATTCTCCCCTTATCCCAAATATAATTGACCAGCCAAGACCTGTTTGATGTCTAAAATTTGCTTTGGAGCTACAAGGCTAATGTAGCTAACAAGTAATGGGATAATGGGAGCTTGTACCTTGTCCATTAACATTCTGCAAACTGCATGTCTAAATCGTCACAAACTTTATTTCAAAACACATTGAGTTGTTTAGTCATTAGTCATAGACTTGCTTATGTGTTTTCTTATACTGTATGACATACTGCTAAAATGGACAAAAGTATGCTGCATAGCTAAAAAAAAAAAAAGTCTTATACACTTTTATACATTTTATATATGTTAGTAATGTAATACTGTGTCAGAAACCACATAAGAATTAAGTAATTATTTAAAGTCAACATGAATCAGAAAACAAAATGAATTTTTCCTATGTACCGTATTTTTGAGAAAACCACTACTTCATGGAGGGTCTCTGAGCTAGCTGAGCGTTTTCACTTGATGATAGGTGGGGGTGGTTGAATTTGGAGATGAAACATTTTTTTTATTGGTTAATATTATTTTTGAAAGAATAAAGGAACAAAATGTTTTTTTAATGATACAGTAGTTTAGGAAAACAGGAGAATTAACTAATAAGTCTATTTTGATTTCTGAGTGACTTTTAAATGTGATTGGTTTTTTTTCTTTTTTCTTTGCCTTTTGCTTCCTGGTCACATTAAGATGCAGAGAATATGAAATGCTTCCATGTGCTCAGGGCTGCCATCATCCATAGATTACTGAATTATCAACGAACTTGCTAATTGTAGCCCTAGTAGGGAAGTGATTAAACTATTTTCTCGAGATAATAACTGCACAAGATAGCAGTGTATCTTGAGATTTTGTTGGATCTCTGTAGGTTGCAAAAGTGAATCGAGCCTTTTGCTATTGTTCAAATAGTGTAATACGTCATTTAGCAGCATGTACTCTCTGTCCCCAGTGTTTGAGGAGCCCGAGGACCCCAGTGCCCGCTCTTTCTTTTCTGAAATCATCTCCTCTGTCTCGGACGTCAAGTTCAGCCACAGTGGCCGCTACATGATGACCCGTGACTACCTAACGATCAAGATCTGGGACCTCAACATGGAGAGCCAACCTGTGGAGACTTATCAGGTGTGTCAGCATGACTGTCTAGTTTTGGGTTGAGTATAAAGGTTTACTGAAAGGTTTCCAAGTCTTAATGCTGTCTGAGTCTAACAAGGTTAGAAAAAGCCTGGCACGATTTAAATTTTTTGTTTTATAAATTTAGCCCAGCATTAAACCAGCAGCAAGCCTCTTTGAATTGAAATGGACTAAACAGCATGTTCTGATGAGCTTAAGAGCTGGTTTATTTGATAACTCCATGCCTACTCAATTAGAAGGCATGCAAATCAAAGAAACTACAGAAAAGCAGTTGCTAAAGATGCTGGTGTCAGTGCTGCAGTTGTTTTAGAGCGGCATAATAATAAATCAGGAAATAGTAGCTGCAGCTGGGTGTATTAATCTACCTTCCTGCAGAATCTTCCACACCTGCTCCAGCTAATTAACTTCTTCACAAGTCATTGTTTGGTGGGATCAGATTCATTAGTGTTTTGTAACTTGGGGGGTCAGGATGTTAGATACAGGTTGGAACTAAATTCTGCAGGAAAGCAGATCTCCAGGAGGAGGGTTGGTAAGAGGTTCTAAGCCTTTTTTTTTTTTTTTAGCAAAACTTGATTTACCAACAAGATTATTGGTGACGTCCATTAGTAATTTAACATTTGCATATACAGATTGCTATTGAGTAAAGTAAAGCAAAGTTAAATGAAAATGCATGTTGAGAGTTACGGTGTGGATGATGCCTAAATGTGAAGGAGACCATTGTCTGATGTAATTTTATCACCACAAGGGGGTGCTAGGGTGCTGTGTCTTAGAAGTCAAGATGTTTTCTGTTGTCCCCTTGTTACTTGAGCAATTTTGTGATGCTTTCACAATGTTTAAGGCAGTTTTTTATATGTATAGGTTAGTTTATTTTTCTGTACACCATTTATATCTGTGATAACATGCCAGTTTTTAGTTTATTAAAGGATATAAATACTTTAAGACCAAAAAGCATCACATTATGAGCAGGCTACAATCAATTCATGTGACTAGATTTTGATGGTGATATTTTTAATATTCCTAGGTCCATGAGTACCTCAGGAGTAAGCTGTGTTCTCTCTATGAGAATGACTGCATCTTTGATAAATTTGAATGCTGCTGGGGCCACGATGACAGGTGAGACACAATGTACAGGAAAGACACTGAATTGGAAATTGGCTCCCATTCTGTGGTGTAATCTGACATTTCTGATATTCTGTTATTACAAATCAAGAACTAAGCAAGCTCAGATCAGAGTGACAGAGCACTGAAACATGCCAAAAGAGGTTATATCCTCGTTATTTTGTTATGTCACGACTGCATTTTAGGATTATGGTGGAAACATTCGGCTGGGGAACAGAAGTGTCATTCATTACAGTTTTTTTAGAGAAGTCAAGGAATATGTGCTTACTTGTTAAATTATTGTTTTATTTACTGAACTCGAGACATGTAGTTCTGAAAAAACCCACCCTTGTAAGCTTGATGCTAACACATTATAGAAAATCTCATTTACGTGCTATATGTTCATAGTGAGTATATTATAAAGGATGAAAGATGCCATGTTCCATGCTTTATTAAATGCAGATTCAGATCCCAGAACTTTGGGAAATCCTCACTTTTGATCAAAATATAGGTGCCCCAAAGAGTATTTTCAGCCATGCTATAGAACAGTGGTTCCCATCTCAGTCCACCCCGGGTGGGTCGACTTTTTTTTCTCCAGCCCAACTCGCAACACATAGGAATGAAGGAAAAATGTTGACCGTCTGGGGCACCCTGAGACCTGGCTTGCGAACAAATGCCATATAAGAAACTTTTTTTTGATTTCCAGGAAGACCATTGTTTGAAAGACATTTATGAGTGTCAAAAATGAAAAACCTTTGCAGAATGTAAATATTCTTTGCCCTTTTAATGGTTCTTCCTAGGTGCCTTTATATTATGTGGAGATTGTTTAAACCTTTGAAAGGTTCTGCACATTTGCACATCTCATTTACAAAAATGGTTCTCTAAAGAGCCATCCATGGAAAGGTTCTTTAGGGAACAAAAAATGGTTCTTCTATGGTAAAGAGTAATTTCTGGCACCTTTATTTTTAAGATTGCTGGTTGGGACTTTACCACCCTACTGCCCCAGTTAGCACTGCTCAGTTTCCCTTGTAGGTGGATCAGGGAAGTTTAACTTGTCAAACACAGGTTGTCAACTAATATTATAATTTGAAATTTACTAAGACAGTACACACAGTGCAACACTATGGAACACATGCATTAAAAATACAAGAACATACAGTTCGTTTATAAAATGTGCTGAGATACTGTGGTGAAATCCAGAGGAGTGCCACCAGCTACACGTCATAGCATATGCAGAGCCTCGCTATCAAAAAAAGAGCCTTTATCTCTCACAGACAGAGTAATTTCCCTTCTGCAATCAGAGAAACATATGTGCGCTACCACATACACAGTCTTGCAGGCCTATTGGCAAATGTGACACACCATGGTTGTGACTGTTGTGTCCATCTCCTGAAGTGGAACAAAGTAAAAATAGATGTTATATATATATATAATTTTGCATTGCCAGTCCCCGTTAACTGTCAAACCATAAGACAAAAAAATATGACAGTGGATTAATATGAACTGAGTTTGTCTTTTATGCTAGTCTTCAGTGTAACTTGCCCTTCTTAAACTCAGGCTACCCTTTTAACTACCTGTCTAAATACCAAGCATGAAGTACTAAGTGAATCCTTTCTGACCCATAGTGGAGCATGACTGTGAAAGCAGTATATCTAATAGTGCTCATTACACCTGCCTTGCTCTATAACATGGCTTGATAATGGTCCTTCAGGTGGAATGTTGTTCTAGCCTACTCTTCAAAATGAACTAACAGGAATGAAGCAAATTTTCTAGCTGAGCAAGCCATTTAGACCTTTCATTCAATATTGCCTGATATGAGCCTGTCATATAGAGCTGAGCTACCATTCTCAGCTTGGATTGTTTTCTGTTAATGCAGCAAAAGCTCATCATCCCAAGTTAATTTTAATGGATGTACTTGTTTTTTTTATGGCAGAGAAGAGACCATAACTTGACTTAAGCAGAGTTATGAAATTATAACAAGGAATAACATCATTGCCAGAGTAAACATGTCATTAATGTTTTATTTTATTCCTTTTGTGGGTTTATTGCCTTTTTGTGGTCTGTGTTATAGCAGACTTGTCAGTGGGTGGTGTACAGTATTATTTGCTTACCATTTTGGACATACCGCAATTTTATCTTAGATCGAATGAGAGCAACTGAGCAGGAAAATATGTAGAAAGATGTGTTATATAGTGTAATTAAAATTATATTGTTGTACTGCAATTTTGTTTACTATCTAAAATGACCAGTGAACCTACATGTCTACTGAATTTTTATATGAAATGTTGATAATGGTATTATAATGGTAAATGGTTAAAAATAGTAAAATTTCAAATCCCTGCAAATTACAAATCCCTGCATGTATTAAAAAAAGCCCAAAACCTTTTCTCAGAACTAGTGTAAAGCAATGTCTTAGGCATCACTCAATTTGTTTCATTTAATAACTTTTTGTCAGGTAACTTTTAGAGATGTTAAACTCTTGGGATGTCTGCTTCCTTTCACCACTACTGTGAACCATTCTGACTCTGCAAGTTTCTCTACAATGGCACATTTCACATCAAACCACTCTGACTGATGTTTATATTGTAAAGCTCAAATTATGGAGACAAAAACATTGGAATTTCCTTTCAATGATTCATTGAAAAACACATTTTCATTTGGGTTTCTTATCCTGTTCTCTCTATCTCTTCCCCAGTGAGGTCATGACGGGCTCCTATAACAACTTCTTCCGCATGTTTGGTCGTGACGGCCAGCCTGGAGTGACCCTGGAGGCCTCGTGGGAGAGCAGCTCGCCCCGCTGCCCGCTGCGGCCGTGGAGGGTGTGTGCAGGGAGCAGGCGCAAGGAGGACGAGATCGGGGTGGAGTGCCTGGACTTCAGCAGGAAGATTCTCCATACTAGCTGGCACCCTCAGGATGGCATAATCGCAATGGCAACCGTTAATAACCTTTATATATTTCAGGAGAAACTGAACTAGGACTTTTATGGCTTTGTCTCTAGTTCTGGATCCAGGGGCTCGGCCTAAGTGGTTACCATTAAATATCCACTTCTGGTCAGGAGCTAGGACTGTTTACACGTTTTGCAGTCAACTCACTGTCTTACCATTTACCCTTTGTAGCGCCTTGGAGAAGATGCTTGCTTTAAAAAATGCTCTGCTACAAGAAAACTGTCTGTGTGCATTTGGTTATGGCATTTTAAATGGTTATAGTGGTCGATTTATTACTTGCTTAACTCTTGTTTGTTGGCCTGTTTTTTGTGCTTAGTTTTTGATGCATCCCATTTTAGGTTCTCATCCAAAGACTACTCTGCACTTAAAAAACTAAGTTAAAGTGCCATGTTAGAATTATTTGATTTTTCTCATATATACACATACCTACCTACCACAAACTACTTTTTCAGATCCTAAACAAATATGAATTAATCTGTTGGAATACATGAAGTGAATGGACTTGAATCTGTTGGACCTGCAATGTAAAACAAAACTGCTTTCATTTATCATGTAGCCACCAATTTGAGGTAGTTTTGATCAACTCTATATATCATGTCAAATTGAACCCACAGTTAGTTCATTAAACAGAAATCCAGCTCTGTGACACAACCCCCTGGACCCCACTTATCGTCTTTTTTTTATGATTCTCTTAGTTCCCCTTATCAGTCCTCAGTCTTTTGCTCAGGCAGCCTTAAATGGCAGGGAGCAGCCCTCCTCAGGCTCAGTCCAGAACTTGGCACAAGTCTATAAATGCAGTTATCTTTATGTGCGGCCTATAAGTGGCCGTTTTGTGCTTATAATGCTGATAATGTCCTTAGTGGGCGGAACTAACAGTGGCATTAAGTTGTCCAATACTGTACACTTTGGTGACTGGTATCAGTCTTTGTTTTTTATTGTTTTTACAGGGACAAAGGAGCTGATGTTTTGCCTAGCCTTGTGTGTGTACAATTGTACATGTCTTACAATGTCCTCTATTATTTGAGTGTATTGTGAATAATTTTATTTGCAGCTTTTTTAACACAGTGGTTCCTATAAAGGTAAAGAAAGAATGACAGTTATTTTTTTATGAAATTACACATTTGAAATGTCTTTCTCAGGGTATTTTAATGTAGTCGTATCACTGATTGAGAGTCGTTGTTTGCAGGGTCTCTGTGTTTTAAACTGACTCTGTTGAAGTGAGTAGACGGACAGGAATAGAGTTTGCTTCTAGTTGTACAATGAAAAATAGGGCTACTTGCCGTAAGTACTTAACAGTAATAGTGTCCCATGTCACTCTTATAGTTGTAAAACCCTAGTGTGAAATAAAAGTTACTTTAAAATTTTTACGAACACTTGCTTTTGTATTCCAAACAGCTGTGGACGTATAGACAGACTGGGACAATTACGTACATGATGCTCAATAACAATAATAGTATTCAGTATTCAGTAATGTTTGATCCACGTTTAAGTTGTTGAACAATAAATGAGGCATCCAGAAATGGATCTATGCCAGTTCTGTTAATAGGGCGATAAATTATGATGTGACTGCTTTGAAGCCTTTTTTAAACACTTACAACACTTCTAAAAGCTATTTCTTTCCATTTAATAAATGATCTAATAAACACAGTTATTTTGGTTAGTGGGGTTAAGGTTAGTGTTAAGTTAGCTACAGACGCCTATGGAAATATCTCACAAAAGACAACAATGTGAAGAGGGTTATAACCATCATGTTAATATGACTGCACATACAGTTTTATGTGCATTTCAAGATTTTGCTTGAGTAAAATAAAACTACAAAACAAGGAGTGTCATTAACCAATAACTGCTGGTTAAAATAGAATCCGAGCATCATTTGTATTGGAAAATTGCTGTGTAATTTATATAATTTTTCTGTCATAGTTCTTTGTGAGACCAAATGTCCTCCAGATGATGGAAACAGTAACATTCTGATTGTGGGGACAGTAATTTTTCCAAAATGTTTAGCTTTCATTATAAAAAGGAAAAAAGCAGATTAAATCATTTTGGTTGGTGAGACTAAATGCCTAGGACCCACTGGCGAGAGACATTTTATACTCCTATGACTCAAGAATAACTCAGTTTGCATTGATTATAATGTAATTAGTAAACAGTAAGTTCACTGTGAATTTAATGAGTTAAGGGTAGTGTTAGGTTGAAGTGTTGCCACAGCATTATTTAGGCAAGAAGATGAGGGATTTGTAACACTTATACTCACTGTATTACCTGAATTATACAGCGAAAACGGAAGATTTTTGCAGTTTGATTTTATGAGCGTCTCCGCAGGCATCCACTGAACGTGTGAGCTGAGCGCTGGTGCAGGAAAGCTTCACTGTCTACAGTGAATCAACGAATCGTTCTTTTGAAGTCCAGCTGAATCGAGCTTCTATGTAGCAGAACGTTTACGTCCGCTTCGAGGGCTGAGAGCCTCTAATAAAATCTAAATGATATTCTTTCACTATTTAACCTCATAAATGCATACATTTGCAGTATAGCATATGAATGCATTCTCTCCCTCTTTCTGTTCTGAGTTTGTGTTTTCTGCATTCTGAGTCTGGCTCTATTAGAGAAGAAGCTGTGACATCAGACTCGCTCACTTAACGGGGAGTCCCACCGATTTTCACATTTTCGGCGTAATTAAGCCGTTAAGATGTAAACAAAGTCATTCAGGTTTAATGTGAAATACTTATAATAAATAGATAAGGTTTTGGACTGAAAAATAATTTTGCAAGACTGTCAATGGCGGAGAGATACTAACAGGGCGTTATCAGGAGAAAACAGCACCCAAAGAAAACCAATTTTTACATATAAAACTCGGAGGACATTTGTAGGTTCGCTGGTCCTTTTGGACGGTAAGTAAAATGCCGATATTTGCGTGACCACCCTGGGTCCTCACCGCCACTCTGAATGACGTTGTGTACATCTCACCGATTGAATTATGCTGAATAAAAACCCTTTAATCGTTGTTAACCGAGTAGATGAGATTATGTGAATCAATGAATCATTGAGTCGGACATTTCGAAGGAGTCGGCTCGATAAACTGAACCGAATATCCCATCAACATCGATGACGTCACAGTTCAGGTGGGGCCGCGAAGGCTCGCGACGCGGCAGCGCGTGCAGGAGGGCGCGCGAGTGACTGGAGAGGCAACATGTCCGCCACAGCCGCCGCGCAGCAGAACAACAACGAGGAGCCCGGGCTGAACGGTAGGACTGTTTATCATGTACCGCTACTGCGGGATTCACACAGATTTAGTGCAGATGTGGACGCAGTGGGTTGGTTTTCCTTGTCTACCGCTGCGTTTCTCTATCTCGAGGTTTTAAACAGGATTATGCAACGCCTTTTGTTTCCCTTCGGCAGTAGTTGGAATTTCCTCCTCGCGCAGGCAGGGCGGGGTCGAGGCGGGAAAGTGCAGTCGCGTCATTCAAGGGCACCAATAGAAATATATAGAGCGAAGCCTGGGGCAGGAACGCGGAGTGATTGACAGTCCGTAGACCGATCGTGGTTCAGATAGTGTATTAGCGGTTTGCGGGAGGCGGAGCTAACATGATACAAAACAAGGCAAAAGAGGGGGTTGAGAAAAATGGAGACGGGGGCGGGGAATTGTAAATAACTAGGCAACTGTTACAATTTTATGGAGAAGATTTAGGGATTGATTGAATATTTGTTTTTTTCCTTGAGTTAAATGTTCTGTACGTTACTAGTCTGACTTCTAACCTACACATTATTTTGATTTTGGTTGCATTTACTGTCTGACAAAGTCTTTTTTCATCCGAGCATGAAGCTTAGCAGCACAGAACAGTGAGATCTAATAGCGTTTCATCTTCATGCAGAATAGCTCTACAATGTCTGGAAAAAGACATGCACATAAGAAACTATTAAAATCCACGTTGACTTGCTGTGGTTTGGTGCGATCTGGCATTGTCCTGCAATAGAAACAACTGGTTTTATGATGTAACAGCGAGTTGTGTAGTCTCTGTAAACTTCAGAGTCCCGACGTGGCCTTTTAATAAGCAGATTCTCACTGTTGCCCTCCACTCAGACAGTTTCACTCAGTTCTGTGCATTTTGTTCCTCCTCATATAAGCCTACCTTGTTTCCCCAGACATGTAATTGGTTAAACCTGTGAGAAACGTTTTATTTTCCTAAATAATTTGGCTCATTTGAGATACTTAGTTCAACACATCTGTGTGGACATGAGTAGACATTTTGTGAGGGGAAATTTGAAGCTGCTAAAAGGCTGAAATATGCCCATCAATAGTAGACCTCATCATATGAATTAATATGAGTTAAGTCTAGTCCAATCTCCTGCCAGTACAGTTTTTATGCTGCATCACAGGAGCCTTTGAATGACGCCACACAGGCAGACACGTACAACATGGACATTTATTGTCCACTGTAAGCCAGCGCTAATCCTGAGGTTACTCTGCTACACTTCATTTGAAGCTATCAAGTCTAAATTTAGAAAAGATGACTCCAGTGTTCTGTTTCTCTGCAGTGGCAGATTACATAAACCAAACATGAATACTTCATGAAAAATGGACCTGAAAAATAAATTGTTGTATCTGTCCATGTCTGTCTTTAGTAGAAAGAGGTCTTTGTCTCAAATTGGATTACACAGCATAGCTTCCCATCTTGTTACAGATCCTTGTACTGTAACAGTACATGCAAATAGTAATGAAGAAGGCTTAGATGTCCTGATGTTTATGAGCGACTCATTTTTGTCTTTGTCCACTCTAATGCAGCCAGAGAGGAACATGTCTACACATGTTTCTGGCTAGAGCTTAAAGTCTTTAGCTCTGCCTTTTGTTTGCTCAGCTTGCATACGGTTTACAAAGTAATCTCTTGTTTTGAGATTGGAGAACCTTTGATGACCGTTACTGAGTCATTCTATCAAAACAGGACAATTTGCGTCCTGTGAGTTCTCAGAAAAAAATCCTATTTTTTTTTCCTCACCGTAACTGATTAAATACCCACTGACCCTCCAGAAGCAAATGTGTACTCACCTCAAGCATATATATTCTTAAAGTAGTATACATTTTTAATGCAAATACATAGTATAATGCATCAACCCTGTTACAGTAGTTGCTGTAAAGACCAAATCTAGATTTTCTTAAATATCATATATCCCTAAGGCAGATTTAAAAGCAAATCATTCGTTTTAGATAACAAGAACCTATTTAATGCAAAACTTAAGTAGGATGATGGTAACAGGGTTTAGGTTCAGTCTAAGTCAGCTATTATTCTACTTGTGATGAAAGCTTTTAAACCATATGATGCCCGCGTGGTAATGAACATAATATATTTTATTATTATGTTTGGAAATGTAATAAAATAATGGGTTGGCATGGATAGATTGACAACCCTGTCCAAAGTAAAAAAAATTAAAAATAGACAAAATAATGCAAAACATAAGGCTCTACATTCCTCCATGTTTTTCATCAGATTCAAATGATGTCATTTCCTGTGAGTCATCCTAAATTTATGAGTATTATATTTGAAAGGGACAAAGACAGTAACAAGGCTGATTTAGGGTGTGTGGATGCAAATAAATTATCATTTTAATAAATCAATATTTAATTTATTTTCCTAGCAAAAGAGGACAATTTGTTGCATTTAAAAGCAGGAAAAAATGATTAAACCTAAAAATTTTCTGTACATTTTTCATCAGAAAGCTGCAAAATTAAATGTGGTGACATATTAAAATCAGTGGTCATGAATGTAAATGATATGTAAATCCAAAAAAAAAAAATAAAGATAATATTTTTGTTACTTTTCAAAAAACTGCACAAAATTAACTGTCAAACAGTTGTCTTTATGTAACGGATGCAAATTGTCTTGTTTTGGTGGAAGAACCCTACCCATGTCATTCTCCTGATCTTTCCATCTAACATCGGAGAGCTTTCCATAAGGGCAGATCTGTAAACATGACATGTCACCATGCTTCCCAGCCCGAACTGGGTGTCCAGACACACTGTAGGAGGCTTAGCGACCTTCGTGGCACACACAGACAGAACTGGGTTACAGAGACAGTGGGGGTTGGAATGAGAGAGAGAGAGAGAGAGTGAGAGCGAGCGAGCGAGCGAGCGAGCGCAGTTTGGAAAAGAGAGCAGTTTGATTTACCTCAGCACAGCACGCCAGAGATTACATAATCCTCCCCTCCCCTTGCTGATCCTGCGGCGGATTCCATTAAAGCTGGTCTGGAAGCTAGGCAGTAGGGCCGTCGCAACCGGCAGCGACAGAAGCCACCAAACAGGCTGTTGTGTAACTTGACCCACATGGCTTGAATTGCGTTGGAGTAATATATATTATGTATTGAACTGAATCTGTTTGCAAACATGGAGTTAATGTTTCTCTGTAGTCATTTTATTTATATTGTTCAGGAACTTGGCATTTAACCCTTTCTCCTGAAGCTCCTCAAGCCTCCTTTTGAGCAAATCAGTTTTACCAGTTTTCACTCAGTGGACTGTCATCACTGGCAAAATCAAATGCAAGAAAATGCTAAATAACTTCAAATGTGCCTGATGTTTGTAGGTAATATGGTAATATGCCCATTGTGCAGCTTTACTATAATTATCTCAGTCAGAATCAAGAGGGCTGTGGGACAGCTAGGTCAGTAAATGAGCCGGACAGCACAGCAAGGCTCGGCTCCATGGTCTTTTGTGCAAATGGGCGGAGTGTATCCCTGAGGTTTTTATTGTTTTAATGCAGGGTGACAAATGATGCCTCTCTGATGAAAAGCCAGAGGAATGTTGGACTCATGCACTGCCATGGCAACTGGTCTGGCTGTGGGCAAAAACAAAAAGGCCCTATGGTGTTGTTGATTGAAAAAGAGAAAAAAAAACGGGATGAAATGAAGGATACTGTCTTATCTACAGGATCAGATCCGGATGTTGAAGTGGAGATGTCGGCCCAATGCTTAGTCAGTGGAAGCTCGCCAATGCTTCATTACTGTAGCATTGTTTGTTCCAAACTTGCACCAAGACCTTGAGAGTGCCTCTTTCTTGTTGTTTAACTAGCATTGGCCTTTCATGCAAATGTCAGGTCCTCTTAGTTTCTAGTCCAGTCCGATTCGTGTTCTTTATAGTTGATGGAAAATCCATCTTGTGCCCATACTGAAGTATTGCTTTTGATGCAGTTATTTTAAGTGTTCGATTTCAGTATGTCTTATGTATATAGTGATGTTGTATTTGTTGACTGACCAGTGGAGTCATTCTAAAAGGGTAAAGTTCCAAGCAACTCTGTCTGCATATGAATGACATTTATAAAACATCTCTAAAGCATAGCTTTGCCGGTGACTGTTATGCATGAGGTGCTTCTGCCCAAAGACAGTGTTGCTTAGCAACAGCAAGGGTCAGACGGTACCCAGACATGTCTCATGTATATGCTAAAGCCAACAGCACCGCGTAATCTGTTGTTAATTGACTTCACATATGAACAATGTCTCATGTATACTAGCCTCCTTTTAAGGGCTGTTTCTCTGGAGCCCCCTTTTGAGCAAGTATGCCTTTAAAGTGTCTTTGTATATATAACATCCCGATACTGAGACATTTTCAAGATACACAATGCACAGATAGCAAACAGGTTGTAACTAGTAAAAGAAGCACCACATTTAAGAAAATAACTTTGAAGAACTATGAATGTAGTAATTGATAAATAAATAAACTAATATATATATATATATATATATATATATATATATAATATATGTATGTATGTGTGTGTGTGTGTGTGTGTGTGTGTATAATTTATAAATAAGTATAAATACTTCATTTATTATTATAGGAAATGGCACTGACATGAGCTGATCTCCAATCAGTAACTTGTTACTATGCAGTTTATCCACGTTGTTAACAGGCTCTCTATTTTTGGTCTAAACCAGGGTGTCAAACTCAACCGCTAAAAGGGCTGTATTAAAAAATCTTAACAAATATGTGGACCGGAGAACGCCCTTCTTCACTGCCACTTTCTGTTGCCTCTGCTTAGCACTTAGTGTGGTATTCTTTCATTACATCCACACCATCTCCGCAAATAAGACAGATCCTTATTGAAAGTAAAAAGGTATTTGAGCTCCCACCTGTCTTTAAATCCCCAGCGTTCTCTGTCCTCTTTTAGTGAAATAGGTGTTTTTTTAAAGCTAGTTGTGTGCTTATATTGGTTGGGCTGCCGCTGAAATACACCTAGTGTGTTTGGTGATATAACTGGTGTGGTGAAATTGTGGTGTGACCGCTGTCCCATAGATTGTTGTTGGGGGAACGGGGTTGGAGCGCACATCATGGTGCAGTGCATGCCGGATTGTTGTGCAGCATATCGTGAAATGGTCTAATATAATAAAAAACAAAAATAAGAAATATTTTTAAATTATTTAATGGATAGGATTGTGCTATGGGCCTGACCTGGCATGTGGGCCTTCTGTTTGACACATGGGTTCTAAACTGTCATTTTCTAATATATGGAGTTGTTCCGTGTTTTAGATTTACTGACAATACACATGATATACTCAGAAAAGATTATTGCCTGGTAATTTATCATTGATAACATTGTTATATTGCCTGCTCCTACCTTCACATGACTCATGTTGCTTGTTACATAGAGGCATGTAAAATTTAGCCTTTCCTTGGTTGGTTTCTCAGGCTCCTGGGTGGAGTTGGAGTTGAATGGGAACACAGGGCCTGTGTCCCAGCAGCTGACCCCCAGCCTGGCCTCCTCTGCAAGCAATGGAAATGAAGGCGAGTCTTCAGCTCCCCTGCAGGCTGTGCAGGAAGTGGAGGAGGAGAGCCTGGCTGGAGGCCTTGAGCATGTCCCTTCATCCTCTTCCATCCATAATGGAGACATGGAGAAGATCCTGCTGGATGCACAGCATGAGTCCAGCCCCAGCAGCTCCTCTTGTAACAGGTAAGAGAACTGAGAGAAAAGTAGGTGTGTAAGCAGGCTAGTTTTATCAAGAAACACAAGGGCAACAACAGTACTAGTGACCTACAATGTAGATAAAGAAATTCATGCCTAAAGTTTAGAATCAACACCACCCTTTCTGGATCTTTTTTAACAGAGAGGTGGTCAGAAGACCACTACATCAGTCATAAAGTAGCTCATTTGAAAAAGAAGAGAGCAGTGAGAGGGGGAGGCAGATAGATCGCCCATGGTGCTTCTATGGCAAACTTGTTTTTGCCAATGAAGCCACAGGCAAGACCAAAAGAAAGTACATTCATTTAGAGTTTGAGGTTAAACCCTGCCAGTGGACGCATTAAACTCACTGTCAGTACCCCAGATAGCCCTGTCACTGCCACTGAGGATTTGAAGGATTTCAAGGGGCCATAAGAGCTTTTAGGAAATCCTTGTTTTTTGTGTGTTTCTTAAGATTAAATGAAGTAGCACTAACCAAGAATCACTCCATATTTCTTTGCTGTAAATGTGCTAAGGGTAGGATTTTATTGTTTAGTATGTATTTTAACGGTTATTTCGTTGAATTTAAAAAGAATAAACATTAAATTAGTCCTGTACTAGTATTTGTCTCTGTAACTAACGTAGTTTCTAAACACCCTTATGCCCAGCTCTTGTCTGGATTTAACATCCTGTCAAATTTGTGAGAAATATTACAAGCATGTTAAAATGTACTCTTATGTATGCTATAACATGACCAAATGGGACTTGTATAAAAAGCGGGGGAGGAATTTTAGGTTTTCAGCAGTTAGTCTTGGAAAACTGGATGAGAGTAGGAAGAGAGTTTTTAAAGCATCTTCTTTGTGTCACTGTACATATGCATAAATGTTCAGTATAACAAAATCTGTACTGACTTTTAATGATATGGCATTTGCTTTCCCAACACCTGGCCCTGCTTGATAGTGACTGTAAATATTCAGAAAGAAACACTCCATGTGATGAAGGCAGACCTTGCTGGAAAAATGTAAATAGTATGCTCACCTTGGTTTTCAATCGGAATAGGGGGCGCAAATGTGTGCATCTTCTTCAATCCACGATAATCTTGGGAGGGGAAAATCTGTAGAAACATTGTTAAATACCATTTTATGAATATATGAATATACTTACTTGTAATTGTAGCTAAATGACAACCAGACCCTCAATCATGCCTAATTGAGGGGTTTCTGGTATATAAACACTGGGAACGAGTGTGTTGGGAATTTCATTTAGTTTGGTCTGAATGCTGATGTGTGTGGTCTGTTTGACTTGGCTGCCCACAGGCAAATGCACCAAAGCTTTTTTGAAGCTTCTATCAATCAGTGAATCCTGGAGATTAGTCCAGGAACTAATGGAGTAACTTTAAATACAGTTATTTTGTTCATTTTCCTAGGACTGTAAATAATGATTGTTTGTTTATATATATTTACATTAATAAAGAGAGCACTGGAGCTTACCTAGAGAAACTTGTGTGGTCCATCTGTAATGAACCCACTGTCTGAGCCTGCTCAAGCATCACACAACATCATAGTCCAGCTTTGTTCGACTTTGAAATCTCTGTTGATCAGAATAACTTAATTTCAGTGATTCTCTATGCTGAAGCACCTGCCCATTGACTTATATTTTAAGTGTGTTGTGAGTCAGTGGGTTTTCTAAGTTCTAAATACAGGGACAGTATTTTCCATGGCAGAAGTTTTCAAACTGGTTCTTAAAGATCCTAGAAGTTCCACATTTTTACTTTATCCTTATGTTTATTGAAATGCGAACAAAGTAAAAATGAACCACTGGTCTATGGTAATAAACCTTAGTGTACACACGCAGCAGACAGAGGTTAGTTTGACGACCTAAACGCCTGGATATTCCTTTATGAAAATGTATAGAAAATAAGAGGCAGGGCCAGGTGTTAGGAAAGCACATACAAGTTTTCCCATCACTGTCCACCTCTGTTTGAATTTCTGCGCTACATATATTACACTTTCTAGTAAGTACAGATTTGCTTGTTGTGTCTGATCACCTTTGTTAGAATATCTGTGGTTCATGTATCACACTCTTTGTGTGTTTTGTGCACTTTACAGTCCTCCCCGACCCCACAGTCCTGAACATGATGAGGGTCTGATCACATTTGATGTGGAGATGCCCAGTGAGAGAGATTGTCAGGTAAGAGTAATAAGCCTGAAATTTTAGCTGATGATTGCCAGATAAGCAATTGTAATTAACACTTGAATTGTCTTTTATAGACTTAAGAACTAAAATAAAATCCTAAATTGGCTGATTAGCTATCTTGCTTTCTATATGTTGATAATTAGTTACACTCACCTGAAGAAAGATACAGCCTGAGCTCAAATAAACAAACATTGTTCACATCCGCCCTCTAAAGGTGTTACAGTACCCTCCGCAAATATTGGCACCCACTCCTCATAAACATGACCAAAACAGGCAGTAAAAAAAACATTCTTTATTGCTTATCTACAGTCATGTGAAGAAGTACACTAAACAGTACAATAAACACTATGTACACTAAACAGTATGTGTAGGTAAATGTACATAACAGAATAATTTCTGGCATCTACTGGGAGACATTTTTGCCCACTCCTTCATGCGGAATTATTTCAACTGTGCAATATTTGAGGGACGTCTTGCATGAACAGCCTGTTTCAAATCCCCCCACTGCATTTCAATGGGATTCAGACCTGGGCTTTGACTAGGCCATTCCACAACCCTCCAGTTCTTACTTTTGAGCAAGTTCTTGGTGGTTTTACTTGTATGTTTGAGATCTTTATCCTTTTGGAAGGTCCACTTTACACCATCATGCTTTACAGTTGGTATGAGGTAGTTCTGTGTGAATGCAGTTTTCACCAAACATGACTTCTGGTACTGTGGCTGAACAACTCCATTTTTGACTCGCCTGTTCATAGCACATTGTTTCAGACATTCTGGTCCTTCCAGATATTGATTAGCAATTTTTAGTCTTGCCCTGATGTTCTTTTTTTTGGACAGCAAATGCTTCCTCCTGGCGCGCTTCCCATGTAAGCCAAATTTGTGCTGTCTTGTTCTAATGGTAGATGCATACACTTTGACACCCACAGATGCAAGAGCTGTGATGAAATCTGAAATTCTTCATAACCTCTTTTTAGCATTTTATGGTCATCTCTTGGTTTAAATTTGCTGGGGCCTTCTGACCTGGACATGTTGACAGTAGTTTTAAATCTTACATGCTCATAGATGATCTGCCAGACAGTGAAAGGATTGATTTCTGATATTTTGGAAACACTTCTCAAACCCCTTTCCAGTCTTGTCAACATCTACAACCTTCTTTCCTTAAACTATTTGCACCCCTCCGTTTAATACTTTGTGCAGCCTATCTTTGCAAAGATAACAGCTCTGAGTCTTCTCTTACAGTGCTTAATGAGACCAAAAAACACATGGCAAATCTGAAACCATTCCTCCTTACAGAATCTCTCCAGATCTTTGAGATTCTGAGGTTCATGCTTGTGGATTCTCCTTTTTTTTAGCTCATCCTACTGTTTTTCTGAGTGGACTGGGACAGCCAAGGCAAAATTTTGATTCTGTGGTCAGTGAACCATTTTTTGTGTTGATTTTGAGGTTGGCTCAGTTTAAGCTTTCTGACTGTGGCTGTCAGGTTTTGATTTTTTTTTTTATCTGCTGGTAGTCCATGATACCATGCATCTGAACAAGTTGTAAAGGGCCTTTGGAAGAAGAACATCCCTACAACATCACAGATCCAACACTATACTTAACAGTAAAGATGAGGTACTTTTCTGCATGGCTATCTTTGTGTCTATGCCAAACTTACCTCTATTGTTTTATGCCAAAAAGCTTTATTTTGGTCTCATCTGACCATAGAACATGGTCCCACTGAAAGTTCCAGTAACATCTAACTCTACATGCCTGAGTTTGACTAGGTCCTTGACAGCAGAGGCTTACTGCTGGTGACCCTCCTTAACAACTTTTGGCTATGTACATGGCCTCTGATTGTAGTTTGGGAAACGTTCTGACCCCAAAACCTAACTAACGCCTGCAATTCAGCTGTGAAATGGAGATTCTTTGGCCACTCAAACCATCCTCCTTACTGTGCATCGGGTCAGTATAGACGTACGTCCTCTTCCTGGGCGTTGTTAGTCTTTTAATTAATGCCTACTTACTTTGATTGCTAGTGGAGATGGGCATTTCCAACTGTTTGTCTATTTTCCTGATCTGTGCAGATCAGCAACCTTTTGTCACACATCATTGCTGTATTCTCTAGTCTTTCTCATAGTGATGGATGAGTGATGGAATTTGGCCTTTGTGTCACTTCATATTTGTGCCACAGTGAAACAGTAAGCCATAACTGTCCATTATCATGAACTTTAAAACATAAAATATTGAATGGGAATATACTTGGGAAAGTTAGATTTCACTTATTTAAGAATCTCTAGGTGCTGTTAATTTTAGCACATACAGATTTGCATTTTCTTGCTCAACAAGCGTTCACTTTGTGTTATTAAACAGTAAACTACAAGTGTGGCTTCATTTTGTGTAGGTTGTGATTATTTCCTGACTGCACATAGACACTTTTAATTTGGGTGTGTCTCATCATTGTCAGGAAACGTTGCAGATTGTCCCTTATTTTTCTTTCACTGTTCTTCTATGCAGTCAGAGGACGACAGCCTGGAGAAGGACAGAGAGGACGACATCCTTATGAATAAAGGCGAGAGCTGGGTGGCAGACTGGTCCAGTCGACCTGAAAATATACCTCCCAAGTGAGTGACCATCCCCTGAATGTACAAAAAGTACAAACAGTTGGGACACTGTGCAAAATGTAAATAAAAACAGAATGTAATGATGTGCCAGTCATTTAAACCCTATATTTTTTTGATGCCAACAACACGTTTCAAAAAAGTTGTGACAGGAGAAATCAAAGGCTGGTAATGTTAAAAAAAAATACACATTCTGCACATATTGCAACAGCATGTCACACGCTGAAAACATTTGGCACATTATAAAACGAAAAATAAGACAAGACCCTAAACTGTTGAGAGCTGAAACCCTTATCTAGCAAGAATGGGAAAACTTCATTTTACTTTCAAAACTACAGCAGTTGGTCGTCTCAGTTCCCAAATGTTTACAGAGTGTCATTAAAAGAAGCCACACAGTGGTAAACATGCCCCCGTCCCAACTTTTTTGAAACTTGTTGCTGGCATCAAATTCAAAATGGGCATATATTCTTCAAGAAACAATAGACTTCTCATTTTCAACATTTTGATTTGTTGTCTTTGTACTGTTTTCAGTTAAATATAGATTTTATTTATTTGCACATCATTGCATGTTTTTATTTACATTTTGCAGCATATTCTGGACTTTATTCAAATTCAAATGCAAATTTTAAAATACTTAAAATACTAAATCAATTTTGTATTAATGGTTGCATTTCCAATGTGAGTATGCACTATTTAAGACATAATTGAAAGGCAAAATGTTTATTCGCATTTGCATTTCTGTGTATAATGGCTGTTAAGGTTAATATGGAAAATCAAAGTGCTTTTGCCATTTTCATTGTCTTAATGGTCTGACTCTGACATATTAAAAAAGAAATAACAATCGCCCATTTGCCCATTAAATTTCCTCATCGTAGTCCTACTTGCAATTGCATTTTCATGGCCAACGAGGCACTCCTGTCAATCAAACGCTGTGGGCCGGACGTCTGTTTAAAGTGATTTTTGTGTGGATATGATTCTTGGCCAATTAGGTGAGCTCATGGAGCATTGGAGATTATTCATGATTCTCACAACACACTGGAAACAAATTGGGCTCATTTGACTAATGTAGTTAGCTGCAATTTCAAATATTGCCGAGGCCAATGCTAACAGCAATATATTGTGCAGTCCTAGTCCACTGTAATAAACTGTGAACAACATAAATTGCTTATTCAAAATGGTCTACTTTTCTCAGGGAGTTCCAGTTCCGACACCCAAAGCGTTCTGGTTCAGTCTCTCTGAGTATGAGAAAGACTGGTGCTATGAAGAAAGGAGGGGTCTTCTCAGCTGAGTTCCTCAAAGTGTTCATACCCTCTCTGCTGCTCTCTCACATTCTCGCCCTGGGACTGGGGTGAGTGTCAACACAAGTTAGAAAGCTGCCTTTTTTATGTGACCTCAAATGGGCATAAAATCAGTTTAAGCAAACGTTATAGAGAGCAATGAGAGGTTACTGATAAAGGCAAAGCCTTAACTATTGGAATCTATCTAACAGGGCTTTCAAAAAGAGGTGATGGTTTAGAGGTCTTCAAATCTGGACGTTGTTTCCAGTGCTGTATTTTGTTTTGACTGGTACTTAATTGAACCGTTGATGAAACTGATTGGCCACCTAGTGTCATACCTATCAGTGATGGCAAAACCCAGGAGCGGATACTGGATTCAAGGTCTAGATTTGAAGTCCTCTGGTTTAGATACTCTTCAGTTTATTAATCTAAAATATGTATAAATGTATGTACTTTGTTCTTTCTAGGGTCTACATTGGGAAAAGGCTGACCACACCTTCCACCAGTTCGTTTTAAGTCCAAACTCATACCAGTGCCTGGAAATTCCATCTGATGCAGTGGTGGCAAAGTTGTGTCCAAACACCTCTAACTTGTTTTGTTAGATACTCTCTCTCCTTCTCTGCCTCGTCCACTCCTCCCCATACACTTTCTCTCTCTAAACTTCCCACTCATGTTTCTCGTGTTTATGACCTATCACCAGAAGAAGGTGGGAGAAGATCTATTTGTCAATCTAGTCTTGTGTTGATGTTTTACTTTGCATCTAATGCTGTGGGTAACTTAGTTGTTTTAGGTGTTTCATCTTGCTTTCCTGTTTTAACATGTAATTAGTACTTAGTAACTGACCTTTCTTCCTTTCTTTTACACTGGTATGCAAGGCGGACAGAAGTAACACCTGTGGTTCCCAAAACCTACACAGCTACTACTACAACAACCACCAGCACATTACCTGTCACTTTTTATCTTCACAGTGTGCTTTGTACCTACGAAACAGATGTGGTAGTGTTGTTAGGTTTAGTAGTGCATAAGATTGTGAATGGCTGATCTTGCAGTTGCATTTGGAACCTGCCTAGAATATTCAATATTCAGCTCCCCTTTATTTTCCTTTTAAGCGCCTTTAGACAAAGAGATTGTGTTCTGTAAAGCCAACCAATTAAGATAGCTGTGCCATCTTTGGAGCAAATCCACTCTCAGCATGTAGTTTAATTCTGGTCTTAAAACTGTGGTCTCAAGCCATTTTTAATTTAATCACTCCCAACACAAGTGTGTCCTCCAGGAAAGACAAAAAGGCACGCAAAGATTTTTTAAAATTATTACTTTGGTACACTTTATTAAAAGTAAGCGTACCTTAAAACTGAGAGCTTTATGTAGACTGTTAAAAGCACCCTTACCTGAACATCATGATTCACCAGAATCAAATGCTCTCTACTTTACATAGCATGTTAACTTATATTAGATATGTTCAGAGACAACTTCTTGACCACTCCTTGACTCTGGAGTACAGAGCAGTTTTCTCTGCATTTACTCACACCAGCAGGAAGAAGCTTACAATCCGGAAGTGAGCCTCACTTGGTAGGGAACTGGAGCTCCACTCTCTGATTTTCTTAAATGGAACAACGTTTTGTATTTTTTGGGAAATATGCTTTAGGTATAGATAAGGAAAGGTCGTTTTGTAATAGAGATAAATGAGGAGAGAAACTGAAGACATAGGAGTTATTGGGGAAAATTTTGACATGCATTTCTTCCCCTTGGATACAACCTTGGATAAGTGATATTAATGAAGTTCTACTTCTGGTCATCGCAAAAATAGGCAGCAAATTTGATGAGCCTTATGTTCCACATGCAAATAGAGGACTCGTAACGTTTGATAGGGTAATCATGGTACCACTCAATGGAATGTGTGCACACTTCCTAATTTTAAGATACCTGACTGGTTAAACAGTACTGCAGATGCAACATGCATACTTGCCTTGGATGCATATCATGCTGTCCTGGACCAATCTCACAGAAACAACATACTATGCTTCTTAGTGCCAAAGGGTCTCCACTGTGACGCTTATATCTGTAAGGCCTGACGTCAACACACATTCACATTACATCTTACATACAAGGACCCTTCAGTCTCTCATCAATACTTCTGTTGCTTGCTCCATTTTGACATTATCAAACACCACGTAAGGCTTTTTGGTTTTGTTGTGAAGGCCCATTCAGTCACTTCATTTTGTGTGAAATGTGAAGCACTTCTGTAATCATTTGTCGTATAGCAATGTATGTGAAGTGTGGATACATGTTTTTTTCCTTCCCTTAGAATTCTAATTTTTCGGTCTTCGAAGGTACAGTCAGTGTTTCCTGCTTTTTGTGACTTCATTTAAATACCATGGTTGTCAGGACAAAGTGATCTTTTTATGGTTCCTAGCCAAGGTGTATTGCTAAGATCCTTAAGATCTTATTGACGCTTACATTGATATGTCATTGAATATCATATATTACAGATGACAATATGTAGTTTTTTTATATATTTAAAAAATCACTGATTTGACCCTCTGAGGATTTGGAAGGAGACTGTTCAAAAGATTAAGGCACCTTGACATCACATTGTACCCTCTAATGTATGTGCTGGATCGATCTTGTCAGTTCAAAGCTTTTACCTCAGTCATTTGCCCCCCTCAGCATCAGCCACAACAAATACAACTGTGACAACAACATGGCCCATCATTACTCTGCACTGCCATGATTCCTCGTACATGTTTGTTCTGGTCCTGAGGGGGTGCGGGTGACAAGAGAGGTAGTCGTTACTGATATTTTCATAACGCCTCAAGCTTTTGCACCTATTTTGTCTCCCATTGCATGAATACAATGTCTCAAGCTCTGGATCTGCTTTGGACGATGGAACTGTTCCTTGAAGTGGGACAAAGAACTGTGAATGAAAAAAAGTTGTAGCTTATTACAGTGAGATAAACTAGGACTGCCCTGCCTCAAAAGGGTGGAATTACTATATTGTACAATTTACGCACATTATGTTTTTTTTTTCTTTTTTGTTTTTGCTTTGATCATCAGTAGAGCGACTGAAATATGTTCAGATTGGAGGGCGGGGCCCTCATGGTTGGCATTCCCTGGCTGTGTTTCATTTGAATTTATGGTAGCTATGGAAGTGATGAAGAAAAACTTTTAGTTTCTTTTATTTTTCACATATTGGAGAAAAAAAGACATTAAAATTCCAAATACAACCCAACATTCTCAAGAATACATGTTTTTATTTATTATCATTCCATTCATATGTACTTTGTGTTTCTGTTTGTGGGGTGAATATATAGATTATAACTAATGTTCAGATTGACCAATGAAAGATCAGTGAAACAATTCTACTAAAGCAAGACAAGCAGTTTATAGACTGTATGGCATACACACAAAACCAAACCAGTGATTAGAAAGCAAAGACTGGTAAATTTGGGTTCGACTTTTATTTTCAGCATGTACAACACAAGTGATAAACATGGTTCAAATCTAATTTCAGGACCAGAGTTTAGTTAATCTAATTTGTAATCCCAGAATGCCAATAGCCAAAATTCCATCCCACAGGTAGTATGTTCTTTTATCCTTTGTCACATCTTTCACCCACATTTCATTACATGCTTAATTAATGTGAAGTTAAACCCACACAGATAAGTTTATTAAACTGAATAATGGGAAGCCTGTCTAGTTGGAGTTGGAAATAGGGTCTTATCTGATTAATGCATGCTGGATGTGTGTGGTGTGTGGAATGTGTGAATACTTTCCCCCTACGATACGAGTGTCCTCCCTCGAGCGCTGAGTGTGAATGCATGGCTTTGTTGGTGCACTGTGACATTGAGGTTGTGTTATTTGGTACTCTGTCCCAGCAGACAGGCAAGCATGTGTCCTGAAGTCTGGTGGTGGTCTCTCCTGTCCTGATGCATGGAAAAGGTACGGAGAACACACGGTATGCATGGCACAGGAGGAGCATTCTTTTATGTACAAACTTTCAAACTGAAACTTACCAGTTATCCAGTAGTAATAAAACAAACACTTTTGTAAAATTGGAGGTAAAGTTGACATTACTGTGCTTCAGTGAAATTCTCAGAGTTCAAACATGATCAGTGTTTAAAAAGAATTTATGATGTTATGGGCCCTTTCACATCATTGCAAAATAGACAAGGGCACAAACTGTGACTGGAACTGAGACTTCATCTCTTGTATGGGCTGTATTTCTGTTTCTTTTTGGTCTTCTACCAAGTTCCAGAGGAACTCTGTCTAAGTCCATGGGTTGAGTAATATTTACTCTTTTCAAGTCTAGTTTTCTTTACTGCCAGCACCTCTGCCCCACTTTCCTCAGCTTGCCTTAATTACTACACAGTGCTCCTGTGATTAAAAGACATTTGCACGTGCGGCTGACCGTCACAAACAAATAACCCCAGAAAGATACACTATATGTCCAAACGTTCGGAGGCACCTGCTTATCCGGCGTTTCTTCTGAATTGGCAAGTTAGCTTTGCTGTAACACTCCCTACTTTTCTGGGAAGGCTTACCACTAGATGTTGGAACATTGCTGTGAGAATGTGATTGCATTCAACCACAAGATAATTAGTGAGATCAGGTACTGAAGTTTGATCTTTTAGCTCTTATCACAAACACCACTAACTCATTCCAAAGATATTGGATGGAGCTCCAAACACTCCAGAGAACACAGCTCCACTCCTCCACAGTTCATTGCTGAGGGGCTTTATACCCCTGTAGCCGATGCTTGGCACTGGGTGACCGATTCTATTGCCAATGGTTTTTAAGGAAGCTGTGTGTGCACAATTGAATGTCTTTGTGAGCAACTGGTGCATCTCAAAATAGCTGGACTCACCAGTTAGGAGTGTCTGGATACTTTTGGGCATAAAGTGTATTTGGCAGCATGTAGGAATTGTGATTGTTCAGTTTATCTATGTCTTGAAATCCTGATTAAACATGGACAAAGGCTTCTGAACTTTCTTTAGCCAAAGCATTTTTAAGGCCGTCATTTGTAAGATATGTAACGAATGATTCACTACACTTGTATAAAAACTGTATTTCTTGTTTTGATTGCATTAAAGGTAGTCAATATGGTGATTTTCTACTTGTCTCCGCATGTATGTTGTGGGCAGACAGGCCAGTATACAATTGCAAATTGTTTAGAACCCAGCACAAAACAGCAATGTAAAAACAATGCGCTGTGACTAAAATACACGTCAAATGAAGTGAGATCATACTGAATGAAGCACGATAGTCCTTCAGGAAGGAAGTGTATATCAGCCAATAATAGCTAATAATATAAGTATTACCTTATTCTGATACATGAACTATCATGTGAGGGTTGAATAAGAGTTTTAAGTCTGGTGGTTAGTGTGTTTTGATGCTGTAAACAGTGAAGAACAGTGTATGACCATGGTGGTTTGGGTTTGGGTTTGGGTTTTTGTTATTACCCTGGCTTTCCTGTGACAGTGGTCAGTGGAGTGTTCAAGTGGATTTTTTATTTCATCATCTCAAACATTGCAGGCATGCTTTGGTTCAAGGTCAGCTTCTCAACCCAGAAGCTGGGCAGTTTTGAAGGCAACAAAAAATTTAGACCAGCACATTACTGCCTCCCTATGGTGAGACAGAGAGAAGGAGAGACCCTTTGTCTGTGCAGCTGTATGGAAACTAATTGGTAAATGTACCATAACAGACATGTACGCAAAACCTAATGAAACTGTGTCTGTTTATGCAAATGACTACTCCAGCAGTAAAAATCTCTCAAGCATATATTAAGCCCTGGTCAGGCTAAGGTAACAGGGAACAGTTCAGGGCATGAGCCAAGGTTTAGTACACAATCAATTGCTATTACTTCTCTTTATATTAACTTTGAATACACAATTATTGAAGGCCTCCCTAGGAACGTGCTACCATTTGCTGTGCTGTGGCCAAAATTAGTCTTAAGAACTGGCTGCTCTCAGAGTAGCACTCTGCACTGGCATAGTTATGTTAGCTATTAAGGATGTCACAGTAAATTCACCTCTGGCCTAATTGCATTGTTTTTGAATAGGCCTAACAGAAACCACATATACACCATCTTGAATAGAGATTAAGCCTAGTCCTTGACTACACAGCATTCTTAATGAAGATTCTCCATCAAATGGAAAATATAGTATAGCTTGAGGCTTAATTCCAGAAACCAACACTATATGTTTGTAGACATATGCTTATCTGACATTTCTTCTGAAATTGTGTATTAAAAGGGATTATTTTCCCTCTACTGGCTTCTACTCTTCTGGGAAGGCTCTACCCTATATGTTGAACATTGCTGTGAGGATGTAATTGCATTCAAGAGCAGTAGTGAGATCAGGTACTGATGTTGGATTAGTTCGGGATTACAAATGCCACTCCAACTCATCTCAAAGGTATTGGATGGAGCTCCATCACTCCAGTGAGTGCAGTTCCACTGCTACACAGCCCGATGCCTGAGAGCTTTATACCTCTTTAACCACCATTTGGCATTGAGCGTGTGGATTTTAGGCTCATGTGCATCTGCTCCAGAGTGTCCCATTCTGTTGGCAATGCTTTTCTATCCAGATTTTACAAGCTGTGGGAGTGCAGTGGAACGCCTGTGTCAGTAATGAGTGCACCTTAAAAGACCCATAATCCTACATTTTTCTTGTATTTAACAATTTCCCTGACATCTACTAATGGAATTTTTGTGAGATTATGCACCAAAACAGCTGTAAATGTATTAATATATGACTTTTCATCCCTTAGAATCAAACAGGCTGTTTTTCTTATTTTCCCATAAAAATGAATATATAAATTGATTTCTGTTCATATTGGCTGCTTTGTATTGTGCCTCATTCAAAAAGCAGTCTGAGCTGAAACACTCCTTATAACCTTTGTGTGGATAGGCAGGGCTAAACTACAGTAGGCCGGATAGGCAGATATATGTAAACGCATTCATTTTCATGACATGACAAAAACAGGATGTATTGGCACCTTAGTTTCCAGCTATGGGCTGGGCAGTCAATGTTTAGACTAGAGTACCTCAAACTTTTTTATTTCTAAAAAAAAAAACTATTTTTAATAAATAAACAAAATACAATTTCAACGATATGGGCCTTTAAAGCAGCTAAATTCACTAATTAAAACATGTGTCTGAATACTTTTAGAAATGTAGTGTATGTTTAAGCCTGTTGCCTGTTTTAAAAATGTGCACTTTTGCATCTATATTTCCTGACTACTTTCCCATGAGAACAGAGGTCTTGTGTTACTGAGTCGCAGAAAGACAGAAAATGTCTTTGCATGTGTTCATTGTGTTTATTGATGTGAGGCTGGTTCAGAACACCCTAGCAGCACACCACGTAACACATGGCAACCACAGAAGCCCAGTGGGAGGAGCCTGTTGTGTCGCATCCCCGCGATTGGCTGATGGCAGGTGTTCTGAGGTTGCATGTGCAGGCATGGTGGAGATGGTGACCAAGTTATGAATCCATCCTTATTATAGCGTTTTTATCTAATTGATTAATGTTATTCTGACCAAGGTCTCTCTCTCACATAGATACTTAGAGCAGCTTATCTCTAAATAATTCCTTGTTTTTTTTCACTTATGAATTCAACAGCACTGGCCTGCACATATGCTGTATAAAGATGCTAAGCAAGAAAAAAACACTTCAATATTAAATCCTGATGTATGAAAAATAGAATTAATAATTTATTTTACCAAGTTGAGCACCACTGTAAAAATGCTTTAGATACAGCACAAAACTGAACAGTCTGATACATGTGAATACTGTGATTCATGGCAAAATGTGTAGTTTAAAAAGTGCATTCAGTTCTGAGAAATAATGTTTGAATGGGGCATTCACATTTCTTTACACTTAAAGGGGAATTCCACCAATTTAAAAAAAAATTCATAATATAATCCAGTGAACAGTCATTCAGAGTGGTTTGATGTAAAATGGTTCATTGTAAAGAAACGTAACGACTCAGATTACTTTAAAGTGATGGTAATAGGAAGCAGGGGTCTTGGTGTCTACAACTAAAAGCCATTTTATTTACTATCCAAAACTCCCAGTGCCACTCTGAATTTTAGATGTAATAATGTAATGATAAAATAGTGGTGTGAATCTGTAAAAAACGTTCTGCATGTACTCCTCTGGATTGGATTTTTAAAAATGTATGTTTAAAGCCTAAACATCAAAACTATCGTAAAACAATGCAATAAAAAACAGCGTATTCATTACCATTTCATGTAAAAGCTTTCTATGAGGTAAGATTTAGGGGTACTTCAACTCTTAAGACGTCTGGTTCCGATCACAACCACTGTGAACAATGCTGTAAGTTTCTCTAAAATAAAGCATTTCACAGCAAACCACTCTGCATGACTTTGTTAACATCTTAATCATTTAATTATGTAGAAGTTTAGAAAAATCGGTGGAATTCCCCTTTAATCTTAGACGATTCACCAGTGCTCCAGGGCACAATAGAACTACAGGTGTGCCATTCAGGTACAAGATACCTGATAAATAACACAGCCCTCTGATTTGAAGCATATTTACAGATGGGCAAACGAACCTGCAGAAGAATGACTGCTAAATAAAGAATAGCCTATACCTACGTTTGCATCTTCCCTCCTATAGATCAGCGCCTGTTTTCCTTCAGCATCCTTCATCACTCTGCTGGCTGCACAATGTTACGAACTCGAATGGCACAACAACAAGGCTGTAGTTTTACTTGAACTTAGCCTGAGAAAGAAATTACTCTAAATCGGCTCTTTTGGTCAAAGGCTGGTCCACTAATTGTTAAGGCAGCATTCCTGGGGCCGATTTAGGATTTAGGAATTAGCAGCTCTACAGCTCTCCACAACTAAAACTAAGGTTAGCCGGCGAAGCAGGGCGGGGCGCTGCGCATGCGCGGTGGGAAATCTCCGCCGTGCAAATCTCTCCTCATCGGCGAACCGTTCGAGTCGGACTCGCGTTGGCGCAGAGCTGGAAGGCGGAGAAAGGGGGAAAAGGTTGGCAGCGGAACCGAAAGGGGCTAATTTCTCTTTATCGAATTTTTGACCGAAAACGTATCAGTGAAGGCCATCGCCTTTGGGTTTTCCCTATTTTTAGCGCGTTTTGCGAGCACCGGCGACGTTGAGCATCAGCTCCTCCACGGCTAGCGGCGAACAATACAAACGGAGCCACCGCAACCACCGTCGACATGTCCGGCTACCAGGGCAAGAAGAACATCCCCCGCATCACCGTGAGTATTCTGGAGTCTGAAATTGTAAAACGAGCGAGTATTCTGGGGAATGAAATGATGAAACCCCCCATTTCTGTTGAGTGAGACCGCTAGAAGGGGGATTAATCTCTGAGGGAAGCAATGGAGATGGTGTGGGAATGTCTCTCTCTTGCAGCAGGTAAAGCTAAAATGACAGCCTGGGCTGACACCCAGACTCTGAATGACCGAATCTGTTCTAAGAAAGCAAACTAGCTGCCTGCTGGGGTTTTTATGTGTCTGTCATGTTCTGTAAGGCTTCCAGTGATATGCCATCTCGTCTGTTGCTTTCACTTTGGACCAGTTATGTCAGTAAAATTGCTTCAGCTGCGGAGCTGTGTGGAATATTTCTGTTCAGAATTTCACAGCCATGCCCTGTTTCAGCTCCTTCAGGCCTGTTGTCACATCCTTTGCATGTAGGATCTTTTTCCCCAGTGGTAAGCCTAAAAACAGCTGCCTCCCAGCATAGACTGTAACATGTAACCTACCTAGATTAACATGATGCTGAACATCATTGGACTATTCTGCAATGCTTTCAGATATTCTCCCTTTATGTACTGGCTTATGGAATTTCCCAGCTGATATTCCTGCAGTCTTAATGTTAAATAAACAAAATTTCTTCAGGTCTTTAGCAGTGGAAAATCCTCAAAAACAATGGCGTTGCATGTGCTTGGAGCATCCACCTTTGAAAGAATGTCACTTTATATGTAAAATCCAGGCTCTGTTTAAGCTGCCTCTCATACAATGGCTTCCCCACTGCCCCCCCTTCACTGTCAAAAAACTGCCACGCCGGTTTGATAACCATGTTAAATGGAGAAAACTGTCTCTGGAGTAGCTGAATGAAAATCCTCTTTTGAAAAGTAGGTCAATGGATGTGAACTATATCTCATGGAGCGAGCTGCAGTCTGAGCAGTGTTTTCTATGGTGACTAGCTGTTGCCATGCACACCGGTATGAATCTGTGCCGAGTGAAAATGTCTTGAGCATCAGGATTGATTTAATTATTTTTTCTCAGAGATGCTGATGATGGTCAGATCTTAAGAGTGAGAGGGGAGAGAGAGTGATAAAGGACAGATGAGAAGGGCTTCTAGGCCTGCGCTGTTAAATCTTGCCCACAGCCATTGGACACCCAGCTAAGCTTCTGCCATCTTAAGGCCTGGAGTTGCCTCTCCTCAGCGGGTAGCTGCCAGTGATACAGTCTTTGCACTGCAAATCCTAATGCAAATCCTAATGAGTCACTGCTTGGTGATGTGCAAAAGTATAGTTATTATATTTGTAGTCTACCTAATACGTTAATCTGTATTAAGGTTAGCCAGAAAGTCACTGAATGGGCTTAATCAAATCAGCAACACAGCAGAGGCCAAAAAATAAAATAATAACTCATCACTGTCGGAACAAAACCTTACATCTCCCAAAAGGTCACTATTCCAGAAAGGAAGAAAAAAACATTAACTTTTAATGGAAGTTAATGCGACATGATTTTATTTTAAAAGTTATATTGTTCATTCATTAGGAAATTTTGATGTGGTGTAAAAGGTGCTTTCATATAATGTGTAAAAATGAAAAATGAGCATAATAATGTTAAATAATCTCCATGTGACCAGTACAGGTTGACAGTACAATTGAGCTGGTGTAAAAACAAATCCCTTTACAAGCCTTTAGAGCATCATTGTGTGTCTGAATGTCTGCCTATCTCTTTTTTTCTGTGTCACTCTTTCGTGTCCATCTCTCTCCCTTCTTCATTTTCATTCCTCTCTGTCTGCGTCTGTCTGACTGTCTCTCTTTTTGCCCCTCTCTCTTTCTGTCCTCAGCTGCCTCAGCAGTGTCTGACAGTGTCACCCTGTCACACTGCAACAAATGCAGCATGAACACTGCCCTTCACTCTCCAAAACACACACACACACATACACACACACACCCCTGGCCCACATTTTTATGCATGTTTTTCAAAGCCAGTGTATTTGTGCGCCCCAGACATTGTTTAAGGATGTCTGTCTACTCTGTCTGCAGTTTTTTTGCATTTATTCACTCTTTATTAGGAAATTGAGCTCACTGGTTAGATAAAAGTCCAATGGGTTTTTTTCTTCATGCCCAGACATATAGCCAAATTAAAAAGCACTTTTGGTAAACAACAGGCATTGCAGTTTCTAATGACATGTTCTCCATTGTCTGACTGATAAAATACAGAGTAAAAGGGCCAGTGAGGTAACCACAGCTCACCTCAAAACAAGCCATAAGTGGTGTGTGAATCTTTTAAGAAGCTTAACCACTGGAATGTAGCACCTCATCAAGAGCTAGCGTATCGTGGTAAATAGTGCGGTGTCTCTGCGTAACAGTGATTAAGAGACCTAGTTGAGTAAATGAAACGCCAATAAAATTGCAGAGTATTTGAAAGTAATAATATAGCTTTTTTTGTAATGACAGCTGTCAGAAAACAGAATGTGCCAGTCAAATGAGACGCTGCTGTAAGTCAATGGCGGTTGTTACAGCTATTTTGGAATGCTGAAATTAAAAAGTGTGTTTTTACCTACATTCACAGCATATTGGTTTTATTATTTATAATTGATAACGCATATCATAGCAGGGAGACTCATTTGACTCACACCTCATCATTAAAGCAAAAGTTAAGTCAGTGAGGGACAGTACAAACTTTCCACAATTAGACAAGCTGACATCATGTTTGTATTAAAAAAAGTATATTGAGACTTCTTGTTCCTCAGCCAAGTGTTCTTTTCCGTGAAAAATGACTAGCCTGTGATCAACCTTTTATGCTACCTCTGCTGTTAGTCAGTGTGACATTATTTAGGAAGAACTTACAAGATCATACATGTTATGTTTTACTTTAAACGCTCGGTCTGTGCTTTTGATGCACTGTGAGTTCCATAGAACAGTACAAAAAGCCATTTTTTTCTCGTGGGTGACACTTTTGCCTTTTATGGGTTGAATTTTGCTCTTAGTATAGATGAATCCCAAACTGCTACAAAATTCCTCTGATATGTCTGTCCACCTCAAACTCTTTTAAGTTGGGGAACAACATCCACTGTTTAAGAAAGACCTAATTGTCTCTGCTAGACTACAACTGACCCCTGAATTACAAGAGATCCCTAACTTTTATGATGTGACAAGTATATTTTCCATCTTGTAATGAGTTTACCAAAGAGACCAACCACAATGATTAGTAACGGATATGTCTTAATTATGGCTGCGTGTGGTAAAAAGTGGTTCAGCAGATGATCTTTTTCCGCTAAACGAAATGTCTCCATTGCTGTGTTCTTTAGAGATCTCTGATTTCATGAGCTTTTGGAAAAAGAATTCAAAATATCCTTTCCTCTTGAGGTGATGTCTTTTGGGTTGCCAGTTCACTTATTAATTATGTATTCACTTTTATAGCCAGTTTTATAAACATCTGCAGATTATGCCTGGATTTGCGGATTCATACGACTCCCTCCTCTTGCTTATGGCATGTTAAAAGATACATCTTTCTTATGGCACATTAAAAACTTAATAGATGGGAAAACAAGCAAAACCTGCTTTGGAGTTTTTCCCAGAACTCCCCACTGCTTCACTGGGCATGTTCGGAGATTTCCATAAACTGTGACATATTTCAGCACACACTCCACGGGAGTTATCTCAGGACACCTGGTCTTACACTTTAAACGTCTTGAGTATATATGCCAGTAAATTACAAACCTGAGTGACCAGTTAGGAAATTACAGTATATCAACCTACAAAAAAAAGGAAACGGGTGATCGTGATCTTTTAAACATGTGCTGTTAAAGACATTAATTTGTCAGTTGACATGTGCGTGGGATGGCCAGAGGTTCTGTGCTTTGTCTGCGAACGAGTACAAGCTACAGATCCATTTGTAAAAACAGAACCAGACACGTCTGTACATTGTAATGTATCAGAAGGAAGAATAAGCCTGATCTGGCAAAGGAAACACAAAGCCCTCTGAAGATTTGTGCAGTTCCGAAGAGGAATGCCTCAGAGCGTACGCGAAAGACAAAGTCCATTAAAGCTTTCCCTCTGATCGGCCACAGGAGCTCTTCTGCAGCGTATCCATCAGTGCTCAGGATGACTCTACATTCAGGAATCTCAAAGCGCTTGACCTAGTTAGTAGCCTGGCATTCTTGTAGATCACATCAAATCTCCACTGCTGCTGATAGCAATTTGTGTCATGCATTCAGAACTTTATCTTCCTTTTCCTTAGTAGACATAAACCTGATTGCAATGGCATGGGTTTGTGTTTTTGAATGAGTTAAGGAAGTTTATACTGCTAGTTATCCATTTAGTAGGGCACAGATGGGTTCAGTATAGAATGGGTGAATCTCGGCAGGCCTTCGTTAGCAACCCCCCACGTTCCCTGGGGAAGCTTGGCTAAGAGGGGATGGGATGTGAAGTAGGCCAGCCACGGTGCAGTGAGCTACAGGAAGTCCAGCTGAAAATGGAGTTAGGGCAGTGTTCCTACAAGTGCATCTTCATCCACCACTTATCACCACTCTCACTGTCTGGACGCTCCACAAAGCTCTGTTGGGATCTATTAACAGTCTCCCTGATGGAAGCTATTGCAAACATATGCAACTGCAATTGTTATATTGAGTGATGGCATATTTGACTGAATTACAGTGGTCTCGTAATGAAAACTGTAATGTTCTCTTTGTGCACTTTGAATCTGAGCAGACATACTGCTTGGTTTACATTTGTTACTAATGTCCTTGAAAACAAATACATCATGATGAAGAGTGTTGGATATGGCAGTTAGAGTACAATATGACATCATCCAGCCAGCACAAATGATTGTTTCCCTGTCGACTCTTTCTGCCGACAACTTCAGAGTGAGTCATCAGACGGTGAATCTTGCCGCAGTACCCAAATAGCAGCCTGTGGATTGTTAGCCAGACCACCAGATAGGAAAGCTAGAAAAATCCATGATCAATTGAGGAGAACATGTTTTGTACATTCATTCTTCTTGAAAAGTCCATTTAA